CGGGGCTCCTAATGCCAGTCAAATCTTGGCAGCAAGTCGAATAGGTCTGGCAATGCGAACCACTAGGTGGGAACTGCTGGAACAGTGCAGCCGGTGCTCAAGAGGAAGTCCTAAGGCAACATGAAAATTGGCAAAGATAAAAACAAATAGATTTCTGATTGTTGCATGAATCATGAAACCCTCGAAATCAGGCGCGAATGACCAATACAATACACAATGTACGAGGAATATTTGGGGAGTTTATCAAGACATTCTGACAGCACTCTCAGTCAACATCTGGCTCTCATATTCACCAAGGGCATTCGCAAGTCGAATTCGATGATGCCGTCAGCGTCAACGACTTCTTCGCATCTTTGGGTGTTTGGCTCCCAGTTTGGTATAGTCGTAGTCGTGGTCGCATCGTATTTATTAATGAGCTGCACAAATATATGCATAGTTAATTTTCAGTTCATTGCCGCTGCCGTTTTCTGCTTTGTTTGCCGGGTAGTACAACTCGTGTTTGGTTTGCCTTCGCCATGAATGAATGAAAGTGATATGGAAAACTGCGCGAACAACTGAATGTTATTTAATAATCAAATAAATGCGACGCCCGACTCAATTATCGCATTGTGGTCTTATGGGGTGGGCAGCGATTACCGAATATAAAATGGACATTCCCATACACCATAACAATTTCGGGAATAATCGACTTCAAGTGGGCTTTCAGGGCAATGTGGCTTTTGGAATTGACTGCATTTACGTGACCAAAAAATGTTCCCATCAAAGGTAATCGCTAAAAATAGTTGGCGGTCAATGGGGGAGACTTACCAATGGTCAATGGGGGTGGAGTTTGGGCTCGGGCTGTGCCTGTCTCAGCCAATGACAATGGAATGGATGTTTTCACGTACTCCCCAGGCGATTTCCGGCGTGTCTACTGCTGCATAGTTTCGGGCGGCAGCTTCCGCTCTCGGAGGACACTTGACAATGCTCCGACACTTCTCTTTATTCGCAGCTCTATTGTATTTGGAGCGGGTATTCCGTTTGCGTTTGGCTTATTCCGTATTCCGCTGTCAGCAGCTCAGCATTCACTGCACTACACAAAATGGGCAATAGAGCGATGATTCAAAAAACCAAATTGCGGCGACGGGAGGAAGGGGGGATGATCAATACGAGCTAAGATTGAGGATGGGGGTGCACGTGCACTGTGGAAGCCGTGGCATTGACATTGCTCTCTCCAGAATGTCCATTTCGGGCCCATTGTCATTGTCCGGCAGCGAGACAAAGGCTGAATCCGTCACAAAGGGGGTACAAAATGGAGCAATCTGAGGATCTCATGCGCCACGGCAACCGCGGAACAGCAATCGCACGAAATCCTCCCTCGCACCCAAGCCGGACCGGCACTCGCACTCACACACACACACACAAGACTCGAATTCGCGCGTTGTCGCTGGTGGAGCACGCCTCGAAGCCGCTGGCACTGATTTCGCGTATAATTCACCCTGCGGTGCTTGCGTTCCGTTCAGCAGACAGACTGAGACTGCCGCTGTGGCAGTGGCGCAAAAGCCCCACGCTGCTCCAGCGACGCGACGCCAACGACGATGACACGAACCCCATCGTAGGCGGCGTCGGCGTCGGCTGGCGCCTGCGACGCGTCACTGCTACTGTTTTGGTAGCTGCTTGAATTGATGTTGCTGTCGCTGTTGCTGTTGCTGGGGCATCACTGAAGAGAGCCACAAAACTTTAAATTCTATTATAATTGTTTTTCGGCCGCACTGGAAGTGAACTTCGATATCACTTTGATGGCGAGCCCTTCCTCTGCTTCTCTCCTTATTTTTACACAATTTTAAAGTACTAGCAGTCGTATGTTTATAGGTGAGAAATCCACTCAGTTTTCTTGAATTTATTTTGGCGCGTGGATGCTAATTTGATTTAAGCTGACATCACGAAAATACGAGTATGCTGCAGCTTAAATATTCTCCAAATGATCGTGTGGATAATGTTACCAACGAAGCTTTGTTTATTCAGATATCAGATATTTAGTCTTGGTGGCAAGTAGAGTACCGGGTACGAAAATGTTAAATCAATTCTTATAATTTAATGAATATTTGAATCTGGATTTTTCCTGTATATCATTTCGGTTTTAATACCCTGGCTTGGAAATGCAGCATCGTGTATTTTCTGCATTCCTTGTACCTGGTGGACACTTGGCTATTAATAGGACCAGCTGAAGACGTTTCAAGCAGGCGACACTTTCGCTGCACTTGAGACATGGGCCGGACAGAGGTGAAGACACCGCAAATTGGTTCCCAGTCGGCTTTGCAAAGTAGCACAGAGGCAATAGGGAGTGACAAGGAGCCGGCTGGAGTCGTCGATAGACGGCAACATGTGCCCATGGTCCCACATGTGGCGTGGCAGGCTGTCGCTCTTAATTATTCATACACAATAAAACTAAGCATAATTTTCGACAGGTGCCTCTGGGGCAGAAACAGAGGCCATGCGATGGAAGAGGCACAACTAACTTAACGCACGCCGCCTCATTCTGAATTCTATAAATAATTTGAAAAGCAGTTGATTCGAGCTGCTAAAGGCTGTGCGGCTGACCCGGGGGGCGAGTGTGGGAGTAGCAGTAGCAGTGGGGGAAGCATCAGGGAAAAGCCGGAAAAATAGAAAACACATTCATACAAGTTGTTGTCTGGACAATGAGAGAGCGCCAGAGAAAGAGCGAGAGCGAGAGAGAGAGAGAGAGTCAAAGAGCGAGCTTCGGCAACGCTGACGACGACTGCGACGCAAGCAGCGGGACAGCAGCGCAGTGGCGTCATAAGCGGCGTATGCGTAATTTTGTGTGCCTTATCAGAGGCACTGCCCATGGCCAGCAAACTTTATTTTAAAGAGCCACATGCATTATCGAACTTGCAATTGCTGTTGCAAACGTATTGTCTCCTGCGGTCTCAGCCTCCGTGTGCAGCCTCGCCTCGGCTCGCCACTCTGCTCCCCTTTCCCCCCCACTGATTGCCACAAGAGTTGCTCGTTGTTTGCATGCCGGCTGCCCTGCCCCAAAGCCCGCCAATTGTTTATTCAAGCAGCATCGTCGCTCATGTTGCCCATGTGCACTTGTACTGCCCCATGGTGCTCCACTCCACCCACTCTCCCTTTATGCAACGCATGCCTGTGCATTCATTTGGTCTGCTGTGTGTTTGTGTCTGGCCGGCAGACTGGTGATTTTTTCCCGTCTAGGATGGAGCCATTCGCGCGTTGCGTCGCGTTGCAGTTGTTATCGCCGGAGTTTGTTGGTATCGCCGGCGCTTAAACGGCTTTTGTGGCCGTGAATCAGCGACCAAACATGTAATCTGTTTAATGGCCAGTGGGTAGTGGCCCTGCACCCGGCCCGGACGATTCTTTGGCCATTCCGAAACGCTTCACACACCGCTAGCCTCACACATTTTCGAGTATACGCACTGTGCGCCCGCGAGTCTTGCTACTTGCAAATATCTCTTTGAAATATATAGTTTTTTTTTTATTTTGCACACCTGTTGCACTCGGCCGAGGCCTGGCCATAGAAATGTCAGCTGGTCATTTTGGGGCAAACAAAAAAACGTGAAAAATCGTTAAACAAAGCAGCCGCAAATAACAACAGAAAGCAAACTCAAACTTGTTCCGTACTCCGCGATTTGCATATAAAAAATTTGCTTAAAAAACAAAAATTTGCCGCAAAAGCAAAAATAAAATAAAATAAAAATTCCAGGCTTCAGAGAGAGAGAGAGAGAGATCTCCGGTCTCTTAGTAAACAGCAATAAATAGAAACATTGCATATCATTTGAGCTGCTTTGTCTTTTCAATTATACCCTGCCAGAATGGAGATCTGTGGATCGGTCAGTAAAAGGCGTCGGCCCTTTATCTGGCTCACAATCGGCGACACTTCCGTTGATTTTATTGCCCTGGCGAAACCTGATTCACACATCTCCCGAGAAGTAGTCGTTACGATTTTGATGTCCGGACTAGCGGGGTTTATTTCTGTTTTCTAAGCACCGTTTATCGATTTAGAATAGAAGTTCTGAAATTATTGCACAACAATTCCATAATGGGTCGCAAAAGACAGCCTGATTAGCATTGAAACAAGACGATTCGCCTTGATTTGGCTATTATAAAACGTTCATCGTTATTAAACGAAGAAATCATTTGAATTCCACACAAAGTTTTAACTTCAGATTTCATCTTAATTAGTTGATTTTATGTCAAAGCATTTGGCTGATGTGTGAGCCATAGTGAGCGATACGAAACAACGAGAAGGATCGTGTGAGTCGCTTCTGGGGACGCGACTCTACTTACACCCGTACTCAGTCAGTATATACATTTTTGAGCATATGATTTTTTAGAATTTTAGAATTAAAAAAAAAATGTTACATATTACATGTTTTTTGCTACATATTTTATCTACATCTACTATGTATATTTGGTTTCTCTGAGATCCAGGCGCTCAACAAGGCGGACAGACAGACAGACAGACAAACATGGCTGTAACGACTCGGCTATTGATGCTGATCAAGAATATATACACTTTATGGGGTCGGAAACGTTTCCTTCTCTGCACCTGTAGTGACGTCATCCACATTCTGTAAGCAATTCCCATTTCATAGCAGCCAGCTTTCAGTCGTTTGTCTAGCTACTTACTGACAAGCGCTGCGTGCTATGATGCGCTTCTGGCGCCCTCTATGGTCGTTTTTGCAAAAATTTCCCTCAATAACGGGAACAGTTTAACAGGGTTTTGACTCATAGATGGCGCTTCGGGATTGGGAAATTAGAATTTTTCGATTTTAATTTAAATGTTAACTGAGACAGATATATAATTTCCCTATTTGTGTCTCTTTCTGTTAACATTTTAGCTAAAGAGAAAATAAATGTTAGAACTTTCTTTTATAATGTTGGTGTTAATTTAACATTAAAATCTAGAAAAATTAATTAAAAATCGAGAAAAACGTGAAAAATCGAGAAAAATATAGTACAGTATAGTAGTAAAATATGTGTCTGTTTCAAGTCTTTTAATATGTGAATCGTATGTACATAAGATGTAACTACAAAATGTATTACTATTGCTATTATTGTGATCCTTATCCTGGCCTGGCCTTAGTTGTCCTTTTTACCGTACTTCTCCCTTTTGTGGAACTTTCTGGGATTTATGCCATAGGCCTTCAGGCGATCGTCGGTTATTCCACTGGGCTGTGCACCATCTGTCCTGCCTTTCGCTTTGAAGTTGTTCGTCTTCTTTGCTGGGAATGGTCTTTCGCCGGTCTTCTGGTTTGATTTTTTAAATGGATTCGCACCAGCTGAGGCTCTGGTCGCCTGCTCCTGTTTGCCTTGCGAGGAACTCGCCCCTGATGATCCATTCAGCGCCTTTTTTTCTTTGCCTTGGAAGGGAGTGCCATTCGGCGCTTGCTTCTGTTTGCCTTGGAATTTTCTGACTGCCGCCTGGGCTCGAGCAGGGATCGCTGGATTTTGTTTGCTGTTGAATGGGTTATTTCCATTTGTTTTGTCCGCTTTTAACCCTTTTGGACGCTGGTTCTGAGCCGGCGTAGCCCCTCCTGACTTGGGGGGCTTTTGGTTTTTGCCAACAGACTTATTTGTCTTTGCCTTATTCTGCTGCTGCTGCTGCTCCTTCTCGGCTCCGTTGGTTGTTTGATCTCCCACTTCTTTGCTCTTCTTTGCGGCCGGTTCATCGTGTTCCGCTTCCTTTGCTTCATTATCCTGATCGTGCCCGATCTGTTTGGGATTCGCTGCAACAGCTGCTGCAGCCTTGCGTTTTAAACGTTTTCTTTTCGATTTGGACAGGCCCTCAGTGGCGATTTGAGCAGCTGGGACTGGAACAGAAACACTGCTCGTGTCAGCAGCTGCCGCATTTTGGGGACTCTCTTCCGTTGGCCGATCCTCATCATCAGAGCTGAAAATAGTTCGCCTTGAGATTTAAATCGTCGGAAGAATGAAGCCAGATACTCACCCTTCCTCTCCATACAGACTCTTGAATATCTTTCGCTTGAGATCTTCGTTCTTGGCCTTCATTTTGTACAAACGTTGCTCCTTTTTCTCCACATGCTCTGGCCTGAACTGCACTGCCTTTTTGAGACTGGCCCACTGGTTTAGCTCCTTGTTCTTGGCCAGCAAGATCTGCAAGCAAGCCGCCCGAATGTAATCTGGATCTAGATCCCAAATTAAAAGCCCTGGTCTCTTCTTACCTCTTCGATGGTCAGGCCGAAGTCGTTCGGCGTGGTCTCGACGTACTTAAATCGACACGGCTGATCCCCGACTATGTCCTCGCAGTCCAGTTGATAGTACTCGTCGATGTACTCGCCGTAGGTCTTCTCTTCTTCGGGATTAAAGGCTGGCTTCTCCGCCTGAATCATCTCCATGAACCGATTGCGTCGCCCCTTGCGCCCCTTGCGACCGCGTGTGCTCTCGATCAGCTGCTGCTGCAGCTGCTGCTTCGATGTTGTGGGATCGTGGTCGCAGTCCATGTTGAAATCATCATCTTCACAGTGCTCGTCATCGTCATGATCCCTTTCACTCTGTTTCCTGGGATCATAGTTGTCCCAGTCCTCCAGAGTCAATTCGTCAATGTCCGAGGGGCACTCTGGCTTCTCCTCTCCCTCATCGACGTTGTAGTACTCATCGTCAAACAACTCTTGCATGCGACGATCGTGTGCGGCCGGATCGAAGTCCTCCTCCAGTTCGTCGTCCCTGAATCCCAGCTCATCGTTGCCCGTGACTGCTTTCAGTTTTCGAATTTTCTCCTCTATTTCCTTGCGCTTCATGTCCTTGATCAGATCCAGTTCCTTCATTTTCTGCTGCTTCTCCTGCTCCTTGCGCTCCTTCACCTCCTTGCGCTTCTCCTTTCGCTTGTCGTCTGTGCGTCGAATCGATTGCTCTACGGTGCGGGGATAGCGCTTGATAAACTCTGCATCCGGCTCCTCGAAACGGAAATTGTACTTTTGCTCAAACTCGGCCTGCTTCTCCAGTTCCTGCTCGTCCTCGGACAGCGGGGCATTGTCGCCCACAATCTCATCGTAGGTGGGTATCTCCGAGGCATCTGTTTTTGCATACCCCTTGCTGAGGATATAGTCCCTGAGGAAGCACTCACCCTGTGTCAGCTTGTTGCTGCTCCAGTACTCCTTAAGGGGTTCCAGCTGCTCTTTGTCATTCTGTTCGATCTCTGTCTGTTGGCCAGCCAGCCACTTGGCGAAATCCGCCTCCTCTGCATCCGTTTGCTCCTTGGTCTTTGTGCGTTTCTTGAATATGCCACCGAACTCCTCATCCTCTCCGTTGTCCTCCTGGTTCATTACCTTACTGAACTCTGCCTTCAGGCGTCGCTCTTCCTCCACCGCAGTGGGTGACTGCGCCCGCTCGATCTCCTCCTCCTCCTTCTGCTGTTGCTCGTCATCGGAGCTCTCAAACTTGCCATTGTGCTCGAGGATAACCTTACGTTCGTAGTCCTTCAATGTGACCGGCTTGGCTTTGTTGGACCGTTTCCTTTTGGTTTGCTCGTCTTTGTCATCCTCGTCCCCGGAGGACTCGTTGAAGAAGCGCGTCTCCTTGTCGTATATTCGTGGATCTTTGCTCTTCAGCGAAGAGAGTGTCTTGAAGAAGTCCTGATCGAACTGGGGATCCACCTCATCCTCCTCCGATGATTCGCTGTCACTGTCGAACTCGGACTCGGACACATCCAGGCCGCGGTCTTTATCTGTAGCAATCAAAACGTTAACTTTGAATTTTCAGCGCAGAAAATATTGAGTTACATTTCTGAAGAAGCTCCTTCTTGCGCAGAGTGTTGTATGTCTTGGCATAGTCCTGGTTGGTCGTTAGCTGCAGCTCGTCGCCCTCGTCGTCTGACCCACCAAATAGTCTACCGCTCATAGTATTTTGTGGTTCGTTTAAGCAAATTAAATATAAATATAAATTCCACACGTGTTTCTTTCTAGCAGCTGTTTTTGTTATCGTTATCAGCTAGAGACTGCCGTAGTATTGCCGTTCTTTGATTAATGAAATACTACCCTGAAAACAGTGTTGCTGTACTCAAATATGAAACTTGGTTGACCAGCAACAATGACGTCACATTTAGTCAACATTTACGTTTTATGTTTTGGCCGTTTTTGTTTGAACCTTATTATGTAGACAATCCAATAAAAATGAGTTCTGAAAACTTGCCAGTCTTGTAGAAAATTTATGTATCTATCGGATAAAATTATTTGTTTAGGGCTGAAAGGACCAACTAGCTAGTAATATAAAACCGAATATCAAAATCATGGAATACGATTTCAATTAATAAAATAGAACGTTAACCCTTTGTCGACCTGGGGGGTATTTAATATTGCTACGAAATATATGTAACTTTAACATATTTTACGCATTATAGGTGAAAGATATCGGTGGTTATTTTTGTTTTGTATGTAAAGAGGAGAATGGTGCTACTAGGAGCCTTTACAAAAAGTATTATTTTCCGCGGTTTAACAAAGGGTGATCAACTTTTTAAATAGAGGGGTGTTAAGTGGGTTAAGTCTCGTTGTATATATATATTAATATAAATATTCTGCAATTTTGCCAAAAAAAAAACAAAGTGTTAACAACATTCCAGACAAATGGCTGACGCGGAGGAGAACCAGGCAAGCTTATCAACTACCAACGCCACCGACAAAGATGCTGCAAAGAGTAAGAAAACACCGCCGTACCCACTTTACTTTGTTTAATTGTTCTTATCAATTTTGTGTCAGTCTGTGTTCTGCTGAACGCTACAGGAAATGTGCCCATCATTAAGAAGCGTACCTGGACCGTGGACCCCAACAAGACAGTCAGCTGGATACAAAAGTTTATACACAAATACCTTAAGCTGGACGCCACGGAGCAAATTGTGCGTACACAGCCAGCAATAAACATTTAATTTCTTGCTAAAAACAAACCATTGCCTGTATTTTGCAGTTCCTGTATGTCAATCAGACGTTTGCACCTGCTCCAGACCAGATAATCAAAAACCTGTACGACTGCCACGGGACAAATGGCAAGCTGGTGCTCTACTATTGCAAGAATCAGGCGTGGGGCTAAATCGATACGCACTCGACTTGACCAAGTCTTAAGTATTTATTCAACTATTGTACTGTTTTTTATTATTAGATGATGTTGCAAATTCAACACTTTATTTCCCCAACTTGAGGCCTATACATTTCATTTACTTGACGGCCGACCAACTGTGGATAGAGCCATCCAAGAGCTCGCTTAATCGCCCCGCAGAGCTTCCAGCTCGTCAGCAGCCTCCTTGGATATTCTGTGATACTTGGCTACCGTCGGGCGATAGTAGTACGACTGGTAATCATTTCGCTCTGACATCTTGCGACGAACCTGTTCCTCGAGTTTCCTGAAAATGCAAGTCCCCAGTCAAGATAGAACAGGAGCTGGTTGTCAAAAGCATATATTACCGGATTTGAGCCTTCTCGTTTTCCTCAAACAAGTTGTGCAGGGCCTTCTCGTATTCCTGCTGTTGCGAGCTGAAAATGTACCGGGAAATAAAGCGGGAGATTGGGTGCTGTTGGGAATAGAATAGAGAAAGGCGTCCATTAGCGGCTGCAACGGCAATGCTGTGACTGTTACTGTGTCCTACCTTCTCGTACTCCCAGTGCTTGGGCACGTAACCCTCGGGAATCTCGGCCAACTGAGCGGGCCCGACGAAGATGTTCGAGTAGATCACCAACGCTGTGATCGGCACAACGCCAAGCATTACGTAAAAGTGCATCAGATCTTTGAACTTGTCCCATTGGAAGCGCGATGGCTTTACTGTCATGTGGTGGTGTCCATGGTCGCCACCCATCCGGCGCAGTTGTTGCTGCAGCGCTACAAAGGCAGGGGAGATCTCTGTAGTTCTGGTTGCGTAATGTGGAATAATGTGTTTACAGCTGCAAACCGACTGATCTAAGCTGTTCACTCACCATTTCGGCAAGCCGGCGCTTGGAGAACCGCGCGGTAGTTGGCGAATTGTGCCGCTGGCGACAGCAAACGGCTCCAACCGACCATTTTAATGATTTTAAAGTAAATTTAATAAATTGGAACTGGCTGCTGTGTGACCGCGGATTTGTCAATCAAATATACCATTTGACGTTCAGAAGAATACCGTAATATACCAAGCAAAAAAAATTAATGAAATATACCCCTATTAAATACCACACTGGTCAACTAACGTTCGTTTTTGTTGATTTTGATATTCGGTTTATTATTACTAGTTAGCCAGGACTCTCAGAACTTAAAATATAATTTTATTCGATTGATGAATACATTTTCTTGGCTAATCGGCTAATTTGAAGAACTCCTATTTTTTGGGTTGGTAGAAGGGTACGAAGGGAAAAATGTTGTGTAAAATGTGTAGTCTGCAAAACTGGAATAACTAAACAATAAACTTTTGATAAAAAACTATTCAAATAAGCACTTTCAGGAAGCTGAAAAGTACGCATCTTCCACCGAGTTCTCTATGTCGTAGAACATTATGAATAGCACGCAGATCAGGACCAGGAGCAGGATCACTTTGAAGGTATCGGATTGCACTGCAGTAGATAAAACGAATCGAATAGAGTTCCTGGCACCAATCCTACAAAAAGTGATCGATCCTTACCAAGCTTGTTCAGAAATTTAATTTCTTTCTTATTTGCCCGTACTTCTGTGGTGGCGGGATGGTTGCCTAAATGGTTCTTGAGTTTACGGCTTATATAAGCGTCGAAATTAGCCTTAGAAATGTTCTTCCTGCTCTTCTTCTTGTTGCGCTTCTTATTTCGGTGTAGGATTGAGGAACAGCTGGCGTAAATCGGTAGCCGAGTGAAAACCTTCCCTGGTGGAACTCGTTGACGCTGTTTGAGAGTCAAATTGTGGGCTATAACCTCTGGTTTTTGGATCATCTCCTGGCGTTCGACCTCTTCATGCTGCTGATCGTTCTCTTGGCCTGTGCTCCCTTCTGTATCCTGTGCCTGAGCGAGAGTTTCCTTTGGGTCTTCCACAACCTTTCGTGACAATAGCCTGGGTGATGTCACTGCTAGCCTCTGTGATAGTTCGTACAGACCCTCCATGGACGACATGGATGTTCGCTCCTTCAAATCAGGCAGCACAAGGACTGCCTTAAGATTGCGTTCTCCAATGTACGTGTCACAGGGAGTGCTCACAATGCCATGGGCAGTGACCTTTCCCTTACTCGGACAGATCATGATAGAACTGCGGTTGATAGAAGTCGGGGAGTTGCTTTTGGAGGCTGGCATAGCTGTACTTACGAGTCTGATTTGAAGTTTTTGCTTTTGAACGCCTCAACAAGCCGTTCTTCTTCCGAATCGTATTCGTTAGAAGATTCCGGATCGGACACGGACCTTGGATACGGCATTGAGCAAATATTTTAATATTAGAGAACTTTTTTTTGAGAGAACTGATTGTATCTCATTTGGAAGGAACTGGAATGTTCTTTTTATGAAGTTTAAGCATTGCAGGGGCATGCTTTGATGAAGAGTTTAGCTACGTAACGTTATAGCTTTTATTTTTTATTGACTTTTTATAAACAATCACGTAAGAAGAGTCCTCAAAGTAATTCAGGGCTGAGAGTGCTAATTTGCTAGTAATATTACGAAACTCGAAACATTTTAGCGCGGCTCAGGTAAAAGATATCGTAGTTGTTTTTTGTAAATTATGAGGATGGTAGGATTGATCTTCAAGAAGAAGTTACAAAAAGTACTTTTACTCAAGTTGTTCAACCGTTTAAATAAAGGGGGGTTAAGTGGGCTAAGTTCGATTTTTTTAAAGGTATTTTTAACATAAGAAGGTATATTTCGGTATATTCCTGAGAGTCAGTCACACTGACAACGTCTTGCAATAAAAAATTAACAATATCTTTTTTTTTGCTATTGATAAAAGGTAATTTGCAAGCGCCTCTAACTGATACTGTTCAGGAGCAAAGTGCTGTGTATTAAACGAAAGACGTACGTTTTCGCATTGGCATACAGATAGGCAGCATTGATGATATACTATAGTCCACCGCCCAAGCAGTCGTCTCCGAGTTGCTGATAAAAAGTACATACGGCAAGAAGTAAATATTGTTAAGTGGTGACAAAACACAAGTGCGCAGTTCGTTGGCATTTTATTCCTTATATTAGTCTGGCCATTGCACGAGTATGTGTTAAGGAAGACTCTGCATATTCCCTGTATGTATGTACATAAGCACAGGAGCGGATCAAAAGCACAGACGCTGGAAAAAGTGCATTAAATACCACGATTTAATTCGTTGAAATTTAAAGTCCCAAGTTTCGCTTCGCTTCGTTGTCTGTGTTATCTTTCGTAAAAGACCCTCGCCCTGCCTTTAATTTTCGCCAGCACTGTATGTATACTATGCGGTGGGGCGTAGGCGTTTTGGCCCCCATAGTCCCGCCCCACTGCCTGCCAATCCCCACCACTTCGCCTTAAACTCTATTCGTGTCCATATAAAAGAGCAAGAAACAATCCATTGCCGTTCGATGGCAATCCATCGCTCGTTGGCAATGAATGAATGAATGAATGTGAATCAGCGCAAGGCACTATGGCGCGGCGACAGTCAAGAAACTACATAGCTTGGTGTGACGTCACCGATAGACGACTCCTACTATATGTACAGCACACAGCTTGAAGCGCTTGAAGCGACAGTTGGCCCACGACCGATTATGGCTAATTTATTCTCACTATATTCCAGCTGTACTGTATTTGCTACATGCCAATTCGATAGCGCGACTGAGATACGTCCTGCGTCATTGCATCGCATCGCATCGATAATCCACACTCTGTACACCTGTCTGTCCCACAATGGACAACACCCATTCGCATTTCACATCGAGATTACCAGGTAAGAGCGCTTCCGTTTCGATATGTGTAGTTGCGGATTTCGAATTTCAATCTTTCATTTCTGTTTTCTGCTTAGCTTAGCCGCTTAGCCAATTAATTCGCTGTGAAACAATAATCCCCAAAAGGTCAAAAGATCTGTAATCTGTAATTTAAAGCTTGGGAATTGTTTCGTGGCGTGGCGCCGCTTGTTTTGTGTTTCCATTAATGTAACCGTAGCCAAGGGGGGGGGCCCCCGTTTAAGATCCAACTAACAATTAAACTAATTTAATGCCAACCCGTCCCCGCCTGCCCACCCTTCTTTGTTTTTGGTATCAAGTTGTGCTACTAACCCCCATTTGAAGCTGTAAAATCTCACTTACTGTACCTGTACATACCTACATATACTGCATATACTATTGCCCGTACTACTCTACATATTATGAATCCTGTGTTTTGTACGTTTTGTCGCTAGCTGTGTTTGTTGCCAATGTTTGTTTGAGGTTTGTCTGCGTGTATGTGTAGCCTTAGTTTTCTCTACGTACAATACATAATTCTCTGTGGCTGTCTCTGTTCCCTAACATAACCAAAAACAATAAAAAATATGTACAACAGGCGACTGTTGGAAGAACCCCCATACTTACTAATCCCACGAATCCCAAGTTATGTACGAATGTAACTCATCAATTACAAATTTCTCTGATCTGATCCATGTCTATTCACTTACTCAAACTCAATCCGAACTAAACTTGTTGCCTCAGGCCGTCAAAATACTTAAGTGAAAAGTGAAAAGCATTACTACTTGTAAGACTACGTTCTTGGAATATCTGTCCACTGCAACGGAAACCTACGAGATTAATAAACGCCTTCTCTCGCACCCACAAGGTCCTGCCATCAATTCGATCGTTGAGAACTCGGACGAGCCACAGCCCAGTCTCTCGGATCTGCACGACTTCGAGCCGAAGCTAGAGTTCGACGACACAGAGCTCCTGAGCCCGGCTCCTCTAGAGAGTAAGCGTTTCAGTGTCCCAAATTTGTGGTTAAGTAACAGCTGCTAATTGAACAATTGATTTATCCCTACCTTCCTAGAAGATGTTATGGTCGGTGACTTTGTGCTGGCCGATGGTGAGTGTGGGCCATTCCATGAATGGTATCTTGAATGACTCCCTCGATTCTCGTCTGCAGATCCAGATCTTGAGCCCGAGGAGGATGTGAATCCCCTGGAGGACGATTATGAAGATCAACTGAGGGAGCAGTCGGAGCAGTTTCAAGCACCCAAAAACAAATGCGACTTTCTAGGCACCGACAAGCAGGGTCGCCACGTCTTTGGCATTTACGCATCGCGGTTTCCCGAGAAGTCGCAGCTGGAGGGTTTCGTGCGGTATGTGTGTGCAACATCAGGTGCCATCTGAACAGCTTATCAGCAACGAAGCATCATTCTCTTATCATTCTCCATTCCGCCAGTCAAATCATCAAAGAGATCGAACCATTTGTGGAGAACGACTACATACTCGTTTATTTCCACCAAGGGCTTAAGGAGGACAACAAACCGTCGGCGCAGTTCCTGTGGAACTCGTACAAGGAGCTGGATCGAAACTTTCGTAAAAACCTAAAAACTCTGTATGTGGTGCATCCTACGTGGTTCATTCGGGTCATCTGGAACTTCTTCAGCCCCTTCATCAGCGACAAGTTCCGCAAGAAGCTAGTGTACATCTCCAGCCTGGATGAGCTGCGCCAGGCTCTCGGCCTGAACAAGCTGAAGCTGCCCGATAACATTTGCGACTTTGACGACAAGCTGAACCCCAGCCGCAAGTCAGCCGCAGGCGCACCCGCATCTCATCTAACAAGCAGCGTAAATGCATCCAGGCAGCAGCAGCACAAAATGGCGCCGACGATGCAATTTGGGGTGCCCCTGAAGTATATTGTTGTGAACAGTCCCTGCCTCAACTCCATACCCCCGATAGTGCGCAAGTGCGTGGACTCTCTGTCGATTACGGGCGTGATTGATACGGAGGGGATCTTCAGGCGATCGGGCAACCATGCCGAGATCATGGCCCTCAAGGAGCGCGTCAATCGCGGCGAGGACGTGGACCTGAAGAGTGTGAATGTTCATGTGATTGCAGGCCTGCTGAAAAGTTTCTTGCGCGATCTCTCAGAGCCGCTGCTCACATTCGAACTGTACGAGGATGTGACCAAGTTCCTGGAATGGCCCAAGGAGGAGCGCTCCCGCAATGTTACCCAACTGATACGCGAAAAACTGCCCGAAGAGAACTATGAGCTTTTCAAGTACATTGTCGAGTTCCTTGTGCGTGTGATGGACTGCGAGGATCTCAACAAGATGACCTCGTCCAATCTGGCCATCGTATTCGGCCCCAACTTCTTGTGGTCCCGCAGCACCAGCACCTCCCTGGAGGAAATCGCACCCATCAATGCATTTGTCGACTTTGTCCTACAGAATCACAAAGACATCTATTTGATCGATGTCAATCAGCACGCCCTGTGAAGGAGTGTGTCCGTGTCCCCGCGATCCCCCACAAACAAGCGATCCGTAATTTGTAAATTGTTTGATTTTAATGTTAGTTGTAAGCAAAAGCACAGCCTCCAGCCGGCAGAGTCCGCTTAGCACAAGGGCAAACCTAGTACGGTGTATAAAGAGTGTATCTTAATCCTAAGTTGAATTTTTAAACTGTGTGTAAATGTGTGAAAACGCTTGTAGCCATCCCAACCCCCACCACACTCCCCAAAATTATAATTATTTAACTCTCACTAAATGCTTAGTACGTTGATTTACCAAAGAAATTAGCAAGAGAGAAATTTGAGATGTTATACAATAAACACGCACATTCCCATTGCCCTAAGAAACGAAAACGAATACGAATACAGGCTTCTGCTGATGGTCGCTGAATGCTATGCTATAATGCTATGTGCACACCAATGTCCAATGTACGTGGAGTTGTGGCAAACTCAGAGTACGTAATACGTGTAGATTTTTTGAATTTCCTTATAGTCATACATACAAATTTTATAAAATAACGTATTGTTAAAAACTAAAAATAAAGTCAAATGTTAAAGCCCTAATCCGACATTCAACCAGTCCAAATATTGCTCGACTAGCACCCGCACCATGTGCCGGCACTGTGTTAAGACGGGCAGAGCAGACCGCTCATCTCTAAATTTTTTGCTCACACTAGTCACGAGAGATGCCGATGCTGATCTGGCTGTTAAATGCATCTACACTGAATCTAATATACCCCTTAATGTACTCTTAAGTACCGATTGTAAACACGTTAGTTTGGAGGACCCTTTCCTGCGAATGTGGATATTCGCAGGCATATTTTTATTGGTATCATCAGAGCGAAGCGGTCCAGTTTGGAATATTAAATATATCGTGAACTATTAGGGTTTAAATGTTGATGTTCTTCAGTTTGCGATTCAGGTCGTTGAACTTGAGGATTTTGCGCACAAAGAAGTCGCCATAGCGATGGGAGACCTTGGTGTCGGCTATGTGAATCATGTCGTCGTCAATGTAGAAGTCGAGCTGTAACGAGGAGCGAATGAGCACATTTCTCGAAGCAAACTGATCGATCATTTGACAAACTTACCTCAGAGCCGGACTTGAATGAGCCCTCCAGGCCACTGGGCCCCTTGCTCCATACCAAATTACGCATCTTGTGCTTGAAGCAGAGCAGGCGGATCAAGAGCTTGGACACATCGTCGTCGTTGGCATTGGGGTCGATGAAGGAGGCCAGCTTGGCCAGTGGCAATGTCGTGTAGAGCTTCAGATACGAGCGCGTGGTGGGCAGATCCTTCTGCTGGCGCACCTCATCCATGAACACCAGCAATTGATGCTCCATGGGATCCTTTACGTAGTCCTCCATGGGCGCATCGGCTGCCGGGGGGCAGGGGCTGACAAAGCGTGGGCAAGCAAACACGAAGAAAGACTTGAAGACCTCCAGATCGCCACACTGCATCTTGAACATGGCGTCGTGGTAGTTCTTCTCACGCAGCACCTGCTGAATGGACTCGTCGATGCACTGCGGATGCAGCACCAGGCAGATGGCCAGCAAGTGGTACATCTGCTCGGCCTGCTTGTTGATCTGATCGTTCTGATAGGAGCGCGTGCTGTACAGCTGCTTGGTGCGCTGGATGTACAGCAGGATGTCGGAGAAGGTGCGTATGGCATCGGCATAGCGGCGCATCATCATGTAGGCAAATCCGACGTAGTACGATGTCGATATCTGACAGGCTGGTATGTGCGAGTAGGCAGATTTCTTGTGGATCTCAATGGGCTCCAGCACCTTGATGGCCTGGTAGTAGTCACCCAGCAGGGAGTGCACGCGCAGCAGGCCGACCAGCGAGAAGTAGCCCAGCATCTTGTAGAAGGCGAGCTTGCCAAAGTCTCCGGACACAGTATTCGGATCAACACCGCCCGAAATCGCCTCCAGCTGCTTCTTAATGTTGGAGATATCCACCAGAGAGTGCAAGACGTTCAAAATGCACAGAATGCTCCACACATTGCTGTGGTTCACGCACAGCTGCTGAATCTCCTCCTGGGACTTGTCCGTAAGCCGGGCACTGCAATTGACATTTATTCACATGTATGATCGGGATGCACGTAGCTGGGAAAAGTCAGGGACATCTCTTACCGGTATTGGGCAAAGTTCTGGAACTGATACACAAACTCGTCAACGAGCTCCCACAGCCAAATGTCGGGCAGTTCCAGCATAACGGGGTTCGGCGCCGAAATGATTAGATTGAAGAAGTCGCAATAGTTGAAGAACGAGTTGATGCGCTGATCCAGCTTAGGGCCACCAGGAATCCGGGCATGGATGTGACGGTAGTACAACTCCTTGTACAGAATCATGAACACCTTGTCGCTCTCCACCAGTGCCCCGACCTCCTGCTCCTCTGGCCAAGACGATTTGTCAAAGTGATGGTCGCTAATCTGCGGAAATGTGTTCTCGTACATGTTTTGTATGTCATAGAGATTTCCCTCCTTAACGGCCGCGCAGAAGTTCATCAAGAAGTACTTGACATTCTCTGGCATGCGGCTGGCGTAGTAGTTGCGCTCGTACTCCATGTCCAGAGCGGGATCGCCGGTATGGGCGAAATCATCATAAAAGTCCTGCAAATTAACAAATTTCATCAATCAATGCATTTTACATTAGTAACTGGGACAAAAGTTGGGTTATGTTGTCGCCACAGGCAAAACTAATCATTTCGCTGCTTAGTTGTCGCGCCAAGTTCCTGAACTTACCCCGTTGTTGGAAAACTCCTCACCACCGTATTTCGACATTATATATTCTGAGGTTCTACACAAAATCCACAAGAAAGCACGGTTTTTTGTCAACACGCCAACAAAAATTTGGCGAAAAGAAAGAGCAGCAGCGTGACCGACTCTTAGAAATATACCGAAATGACAAGGTACATTTTGAAAATATACCGTAAATACTTAGCCCACTTAGCCAGCCCTCTATTTCAAACACGGAAAATACTATTGTTTTTATATACTCCTTTTAGCGAAATATGCGAAATATACGACCTAATATGCGAAAAAAAATGTTAAAGCTTTCGTGTGACGCACGATTTAAGAGTGAAAATCCTGAAGTGTAATGAAGTTCTTAATTCTGTGCCATTAATAAACACCGATTAAATACAATCGCAATTCTGGTATTTTCTTTATGTCCCATTTTCTAGCGAGGATTTTAGCCATTTCCAGATACACCACACTTATTTCGACTGTGCAGCGAGAGGGACGTGTTCGTGTGTCATCCCCGCAGCGTTAATTATTTCTAATTCAAACGAAGCACCTTCTCAAAGAGGGCGTGAGTTGTAGGAGCCGCAGAGCAACAGTCTCATTGAAAGTTAAATTGTGAACATATAAAAGACAACGTTGCAAGAAATTGTTGGTGTAGAAGCTGACATCGCGGACGCGTTTTCAGTGCCCAGCCCCACTGGACGCAAGTGCATTTGGCTGCAGTAAATTCGTGAAGCATTGCGCGGAATACGGATATAAATGTGTTTATAAATCGGTTGCCGTGATTTACCACCACAAAGCCAGAATGAGGCAGCCCAAGTCCTCCACAGAAGCGTCGTTCTTTTCGATTCCGTTGTGCCTATGCCTCCTCCTGCTGGCCAACAGCAGCCTGCGAGCTGTGCAAGCAGGTAAGAGTCCAGTGTTTAATCGTAAATTATGAATGAATGTGCGTTCGTTTTGTAGAATTTTATTGAAAAAAACGCCCTGAAAGTTGCATAAAAACACCAATTGTTTGTAAGCCAAAATTTGGGCGTGTTCCCCAAAGCTGAAGACTCGCTCTTCGTCATTTCCATTTTTCTTTTACTGTGTGCTTTGCTTTTCAACTCGCTCTTTCGATCGCGAGAGAGAGAGAGAGCGAGCGTGCGTGAGCGTGAGAGGGAGATCGAAACGATCACAACAAAACCGCCGACTAGCAACAACTCGCTTTCGTTGGAGCCGCACTAAAAATTCTCTTTCTTATCGGGTGCATGAAGCCACGGGAACAATTGGGAATTGCCGGTCGGTCGGTCCTTTGGTTGAATGAAGAATGCCGCATCCCTGCAAGGCCCCATCTTCCGGTGTTTCATTGCGCATGCGACTGATGACGCTGCCTGCTTCCTGTCTGCCTCTCGTGTTGTGCACGTGCTGCTGGCGTGGGGGCATCGCACCATATGTCAACAGAGCGGATTATTATAGAATTATTGGGGTCTGGAAACACTCTTTCTCCTGGCTAATAGAGCTGTTGCGCTTACAAATAAACAACAACTCGAGAGTTCATTTGCAAACATTTTTATGACTAAAAATAAACAATTTTTCTCGCAATTAGTTGCCAATTTCCTCTACGCCCGCGCCCCAATTTGAGGCGCAGACAACCAGCCGGATAGACATCCCCCGTCCCGGCCAAAGCGTTGATAAGTTATTTCTGTGCTTCGCCTGTCCGCCGCCCCATCATTCGCACTCCACGTTTCTAGATCGGCGGAAATTGCTTTTCCCCATCGGTCGCGTCATATTTATTTCATTGAGAACATTAGCAAGATTTAAAATTTTATTGGGATTAGATTTTCTCCATAAAAAAACCACACATTTGGCAAGGCAATTATGTAAGACCATTCGGGGAATGTCCATCCATAAAAATACTTCAAGAAGGACAAGAGAAGTAGTTCAAGGGAGTGGCACTGCCCCCCATATTGATTATTTAGTCGGGGCGGGCGGGAATTGTCGTGCGTGTCCCCGTTCTGATAGCTAATCATTGTGGATTTCCACGGCTCAAAGTCAGCTTAAAGTGTACATGAACTCTGGATGGATGGATGGATGGATGGATGGCTTGTTGGCCCTTGTAAGGGTTGTTTTGCCACGTCCTGGCCTTGTTTACCTAGGAGCTGCACCCATCCGCTGCTTGGGGGTTGGTTGCTTTTGCTGTTGCAACAAAACAAAGCTGTCCTGTCTGATGTGTGTGTGGTGTGCTAGGATTTCCGTCTGCCTTCTTCACTTGTTCCACCGTCTAAGTGGACACTTTGCAACATGCATCTGCATCCGAAAGAGGGTGTCGTCCGTCTCTTGCCGCACAATATTGTGGTACAAATAAGAGACAAGAATCTGCGTTCCTTGCATGGCTATATATCAATGAATATTCGCCCTCCAGTTGTTTATTATTCCTGTGGCCTTATTTATGATGTCCATAAAAAGCAGCCAGGGACCAGCCCGAAATAAAGTACTTGAAATTCTTGGCCGCTGTCCAAACATATTGTTCGCATCTCAATTTAATTTGCGCCTTTGACAGTTCCAACCAAACACAATGTATTCTGGGTCAAGCGAAAGAGTATATAATAATAGAGAGTCTCGTCTCCACTTTCAGATGCGTTCACCGACTACTTCTCCGACTATGAGTGCAATCAGCCGCTCATGGACAGAGCCGTGCTGACGGCCACTTCATCGCTCGGGGAGCGGGGGCCAGACAAGGCGCACTTGAATGGTAAGTTTCGCTCCAGAATTATTTAATTATTTATTTACTTTACTTTCATTTCGTTTGATTGATTTTGTATGCTTTAGTTAGCGTTGAAATTTATTTTTATTAGGCTGTTCCGTTGATTATTTTCAAATAGACCCTCCATAGACCCACGCCCCCTCCCTCACCTGTTCAGCTTACAGTATTTTTATAGTGTATTTTTTAAAATAGTCTATAAACTGGTATATTGCCGCTTTCCCACTGCGGGCATACTGTCTCACTGCCAAGAAGAAGAATCAGATCAAGCGAAAAGTTTTTTTTTGTTGCAAAACGCCTTGAAAACGCCCAGAATGAGTGTACAATCAATTAGATAGTTCTGTAATACAATTGACTTATCCCACACTAAACTGCCATCCCGATGAGCAGGCACGTTTGCACCCGCTGGGCCTTCGATCTGGGCGCATGGACGCCCACGCTGCCGCAGCTGACGCAGGCGGTGGCTGCGATACAGCCCGAGGAGCGCACCCGCCTGATGAAGTTCCACTTCATCGATGACTTTCTGTCCTCGCTAATTGGTCGGCTATTAATGCGTAAATATGTGAGCGTGTGCACGGCCACGGCCTACCATCAAGTGCAATTTGCGCGCGATGTGCGCGGCAAGCCCTACTGGGTGCGAGGGCAGAGCGGGTCACTGTCGCCAATACTCAGCTTCAATGTCTCGCACCAGGGCCGGCTGGTGTTGCTGGCTGGTATCACCACCAGTGCGGCGGCGGCAGCGGCGGACACTGACACCGACAACGACAAAGACAACGACAACGACACCGCGGGGAGTGAGGCGGCTGACTTTGGCATTGGAACAGATGTCATGAAGATCGAGTATGCAGGTGGCAAGTCCCTGTCGGACTTCTTTCGACTCATGAAGGGCAAGTTTTCGGCCCAAGAGTGGAGCTATATCGGCCGACCGCAGCACAATGAACCCGCCCAACTGAAGGCATTTATGCGCCACTGGTGCCTGAAGGAGGCCTACGTCAAGGAGCTCGGGGTAGGCATCACAGTGGAGCTGGAGAAGATCAGCTTCTCTGTGGACACCACCCATTCGCTGGTGGAGGCCGTCTCCCCGCTGATTGGCACCACGCTGCGCTGCAACGACAGGCCGATGGACAACTGGCACTTTGAGGAGCACCTGCTGGAGGAGAAGTACTGTGCTGCCATCGCATTCCGCAACTGCCTGCCCCAGAATCACGGCAGGTTCGAGATGCTCCGCTTCGATGAGCTGATTGCGAAGAGTGCAGACGCTGCCGAGCTGGACAGCAGCGTGGTGGCCTACTGCAAGGAGGCGCTGCTGAAGCCCCACAAGAGCGATCGCTAACTGAGCTGAGCTGAGCTGATTTGTTGTTATCTGTAGAATAAATCTAGATCTATGTTCTGAAATATGTATCCTATAATCTCTGCTGTTGGGCAATTATTGTGTTGTCATGTTGCCTCCCCTCCCCTCCCCTTCGCACCCGCAGCGCTTCACAGTTACTCAGTTTGTTTGCCTGACACTGGAATAACAAAATAGAAGAAAAAGCAAGCCGGAAATGTGCCTAACAGGCAATAAACCCAAATTCGGGAACCCGTAATGGGCCTCAGACAGGGGCCAGACAACGTTCGTTCGTTCGTTCGTTCGTTCGTTTTGGTGGGTAAATTTATGCGCCAAACAGGACACGGCAAGGGTAGCTCGTTTATTTTTGGCATTCCCGGATTGCCTTTCAAAGTTTTATCGATGATGGAAGCGAAGAGTGACTGCCGCGGTTGCCAGCACTGAAACGAGCGAAACTTTCATGCGGCGGCATTGACCGGAGAACTCTAAGAATGGGATTGGGAATGGGAATGGGTATCGAATCTCCCTCTCTGTGCAGTCCGCTACGTTCTCACACTATTTGGTCACACCTGCTCCGCAGCATTTGGCGCGCGGTTCGCAATTAAAACAAAGAGCCATCCGACTCCGACTCCGACTGCTGCTGCTGCTGCAATTGTTTATGCTTGCCCATTATATGTGCAAACGTCGTGCCCATTTAGTGTTGGCACCAAACTCAACCCTCCAAGGATTACAAAAATCCATTTTTGGCAGGGGTTGAACCCTTGCACTCCTACGGCTGATTTGAAGGACCTTTTGGGTTGCAGGGGGCAGCCACTTGCAGCTGTCAATCGGTCTCGCCCCGTAAATTATGGTTTATTAATGGGAATATGCAGACCGTTTTAAACTCTTCGTTGTCCCATTTGTTGTATACTTTAAGTGGATTTTGATTTGTTTTCGTTTTCGTTTTTAATTTTATCGTTTCGTTTATCATTTATTGCTACCCGCTACTCAATCCATGAACTGAAGCTGGCACCTCGTGGTCGGCCAAGAACTCGGACTTTGATCAGCGCTTGATCATTGACTTGGGCAATGTGCGCAATGTCACGCACATAGCCCTGCAAGGACGTCCTCATAGCAATGAGTTCGTGACAGAGTACACCATAAGCTATGGCATAACCGATCTAGAATTTGCCGACTATAAAGAGCCGGGCGGCAATGTAAAGGTAAGCCCCCCCCAGAGTCCGCACCTTTGTCTCGCTCTCTGTCTCTCTAACAAAAAATGAATGTCTCTCTAATCCGATAATGGAATGGTGGTTGGTAACTGGTAACTGGTGACTGAGGGAAACTCCTCGAGCGGATTGTTGTATTTACTATCCATTAACATTTGTGTTTGCTTTTGTGCTTGATTTTATTTTTTGTATGGTTTTGGTTATGTTTTTGTGGCATGTAATGTAGCACACTATTCTCCTCACTCTTAATACACACACTGCAACTAACGTGCACCTAATGCTGGTACAGGGAACGCCGCTTGGACGCCAGTTGAGAATACCTATAACCACTTTCTAACACTCGATCTGGGAGAGGTGAGCATGGTGCGCAAGATCGCCACCATGGGACGCATGCACACGGATGAGTTTGTGACGGAGTACATTGTCCAGTACTCGGACGATGGCGAGTTCTGGCGATCGTATGTGAATCCCACAAGCGAGCCGCAGGTACGGTGACTAATCCTAGGCTTAACTAAACAATTAACTAACCATCAGCAAAGGTCAAAGGTTTAGCGGTTGACGGTAGAGATTTACTCTAAAATGTAGACTTACTCTCGAATTAATATGTGTTCTCCATGCAACAAAACAGATGTTCAAGGGCAATTCCGATGGCAATTCCATACACTACAACGTCTTCGAGGTGCCCATCATTGCCCAGTGGGTGAGGATAAATCCCACGCGCTGGCACGATCGCATTTCCATGCGCACGGAGCTCTACGGTTGCGACTACAGTAAGTGCTGCTCTTTGAACGAACTGAAACAATCCCATTCAACATTCCACCATTCGATTACAGTCTCGGAGAATCTGTACTTCAATGGCACTGGTCTGGTGCGCTACGATCTGCGCCGCGAGCCCATTGCCTCGACGCGCGAGTCAATTCGATTCCGCTTCAAGACGGCCTTCGCCAACGGCGTGATGATGTACTCGCGCGGCACCCAGGGCGACTACTACGGCCTGCAGCTGAAGGACAACAAAATGGTGCTGAACCTGGACCTGGGATCGGGCCTGATGACCTCTCTGTCGGTGGGCAGCCTGCTGGACGACAATGTGTGGCATGATGTCGTGATCTCGCGCAACCAGCGGGACATCATCTTCTCTGTGGACCGCGTCATAGTGCGCGGCCGCATTAAGGGCGAGTTCAGTCGCCTGAATCTCAACCGGGAGCTGTATCTGGGCGGCGTGCCCAATGTCCAGGAGGGCCTCATCGTCAACCAGAACTTCTCTGGGTGCTTCGAGAACATTTACTTCAACTCGACGAACTTCATTCGGGGCATGAAGGACAGCTACGAGCTGGGCGAGGCCTATCTGTACCACAAGGTGAACACCATTTTCGCGTGCCCCTCGCCGCCTATCTATCCGGTGACCTTCACCACGCGCGGATCCTTTGTGCGGCTCAAGGGCTACGAGAACTCGCAGCGTCTCAACGTTTCGTTCTACTTCCGCACGTACGAGGAGAGCGGCGTCATGCTGCACCACGACTTCTACTCTGGGGGCTACATCAAGGTGTTCCTCGAGTTCGGCAAGGTCAAGATCGATCTGATGGCCAAGGACAGGCCCCGCATCATCCTGGACAACTACGACGAACAGTTCAATGATGGCAAGTGGCACTCCTTTGTGCTCTCCATCGAGCGCAATCGTCTCATTTTGAACATTGACCAGCGGCCGATGACCACGACCAAGAAACTGCAGATAGCCACTGGAGCGCTGTACTACATAGCGGGTGGGAAGGAAAAGAACGGCTTTGTGGGCTGTATGCGGCTCATCTCGGTGGATGGCAACTACAAACTGCCCCAGGACTGGGTGCAGGGCGAGGAGGTTTGCTGCGGCGACGAAGTGATAGTCGATGCCTGCCAAATGATCGATCGCTGCAACCCGAATCCGTGCCAGCACAAGGGTGTGTGCCACCAGAATTCCAGGGAGTTCTTCTGCGACTGCGCCCACACGGGCTACGCGGGCGCCGTTTGTCATACCTGTAAGTGGCATGGAGACTGCAGCTGTAGAGTGAAATTCATTCTCATTCTATCAATCTTCCCTTTTCAGCCAACAATCCATTGTCCTGTCTGGCCCTCAAGAATGTGCAGCATGTGCAGCAGCGGGTGAACCTCAATCTCGATGTGGATGGCAGTGGTCCGCTGGAGCCCTTCCCCGTCACCTGCGAGTTCTATTGTAAGTGGAATATCAGACAGTTGACTCACAGTTTGCTATATTGCTGGATGGGCTTTTGTGTGTTTGTTTGTTTTTTTTTTGCAGCGGATGGTCGCGTCATCACCACGCTAAGCCACAGCCAAGAGCACACCACCACAGTGGATGGCTTCCAGGAGCCGGGCTCCTTCGAGCAATCCATTATGTACGATGCCAATCTATTGCAGATCGAGGCCCTGCTGAATCGCTCTCACAGCTGCTGGCAGCGTCTGAGCTACTCCTGCCGTTCCTCGCGACTCTTCAATTCGCCCTGTAAGTATCTGCCTTGCTGTGTATCGTGATAATTGATGCTGATTTATGGTGTCCCTCGCCCCTTCGCAAACACAGCTGAGTCTGGAAACTTCCGTCCGTTCTCGTGGTGGCTCTCGCGCCACAATCAACCCATGGACTACTGGGCTGGCGCGCTGCCTGGGTCGCGTAAGTGCGAATGCGGCATACTGGGCAAGTGCCATGACCCCACCAAGTGGTGCAACTGTGACTCCAATTCGCTCGAGTGGATGGAGGATGGCGGCGATATCCGTGAGAAGGAATTTCTGCCCGTGCGGGCGGTGAAGTTCGGCGACACGGGCACACCGCTGGACGAGAAACAGGGCCGCTATACGCTCGGACCCCTGCGTTGCGAGGGCGATGATCTGTTCAGCAATGTGGTGACCTTCCGCATTGCCGATGCCTCCATTAACCTGCCACCCTTCGACATGGGCCACTCTGGCGACATTTATCTCGAGTTCCGCACCACGCAAGAGAACTCGGTTCTCTTCCACGCCACTGGTCCCACGGACTACATCAAACTGAGCCTGATCGGCGGCAATAAGCTGCAGTTTCAGTACCAGGCGGGCAGCGGGCCACTCGGTGTGAATGTCGGCACAAGCTATCACCTGAACGACAACAACTGGCACACGGTGAGTGTGGAGCGCAACAGAAAGGAGGCTCGCCTGGTGGTGGACGGCTCCATAAAGGCGGAGGTTCGTGAGCCGCCGGGCCCAGTGCGCGCCCTCCATCTGACCTCCGATCTGGTCATAGGAGCCACCACAGAGTATCGCGATGGGTATGTGGGCTGCATACGCGCCCTGCTGCTCAACGGAAAGATGGTGGACCTCAAGGAGCACTCCAAGCGGGGTCTGTACGGCATCCACGCTGGCTGCGTGGGTCGCTGTGAGTCGAGTCCCTGCCTCAACAATGGCACCTGCATCGAGCGCTACGATGGCTACAGCTGCGACTGCCGTTGGAGCGCCTTCAAGGGACCCATTTGCGCAGATGGTGGGTGATTCTAGCAGGCTGTTATTTAATCGTATTTAATTGGAGTTATTTTTATTGCAGAGATTGGTGTCAATCTGCGTTCCAGCTCGATCATTCGGTACGAGTTCGAGGGCTCCTTCCGCTCCAGCATTGCGGAGAACATTCGCGTTGGCTTCACAACGACCATTCCGAAGGGCTTCCTGCTGGGATTCTCATCAAATTTGACTGGCGAATATTTAACCATACAGATTTCCAATTCCGGTGTGTAGATGCAACTTCATTGGCGTAAGCAGAAATCATGTTCCTCTCGCCCATCCCATCCCCTTGCAGGTCACTTGCGCTGCGTCTTTGACTTTGGCTTTGAGCGGCAGGAGATCATCTTCCCCAAGAAGCACTTTGGGCTGGGCCAGTACCACGACATGCGCTTCATGCGCAAGAATAGCGGATCCACAGTGGTGCTGCAGGTGGACAACTACGAGCCCGTGGAGTATCACTTCGACATCAAGGCCTCGGCCGATGCTCAGTTCAATAACATTCAGTACATGTACATTGGCAAGAACGAGTCCATGACCGATGGCTTCGTCGGCTGTGTCTCCCGCGTCCAGTTCGATGACATTTATCCGCTCAAGCTGATGTTCCAGCAGAATCCACCGAAAAACGTCCGGTCCATGGGCAGTAAGTAGTTTGAATTGAACCCAGAAAATGCACAGATTACCCACCTTGTTCGTTATAGCACAACTGACCGAAGACTTTTGCGGCGTTGAGCCTGTGACGCACCCGCCCATCGAAATCGAGACGCGACCACCACCGCTGGTTGATGAGGAAAAGCTGCGCAAGGCCTACAACGAGGTGAACTCTGTGCTGCTGGCATGTAAGTGCATGAATTTCCATCGAGTGATTAGCAGCGGACTCATGGCTTTACCTTGCATTAATTGATAGGTCTGCTCGTGATTCTGTTCCTGTTGCTGATACTCATGTTCTTCTTGATCGGCCGGTATCTGCACCGCCACAAGGGCGACTATTTGACGCACGAGGATCATGGAGCCGATGGTGCCGACGATCCCGATGACGCAGTCCTCCACTCGACCACTGGCCACCAAGTCAGAAAGCGAACAGAGATCTTCATATAATCCAGTCGCAAGAATACACACAAATCATTTTACAAATCGCCTTAGACAAGCAGAAGACTCACCAAAAACAAAAAACAAAAAAACAAAAAAACAAAAAACGATTTAAAAAACGTAATGAAAGGAATCAAAGGAATACGCGGATAAGGCTCAACAACAAATGGATTGAGACTTTTCCACGCACTGCCAGCTTTGTAGTTGATTTGTATTTGGTTTTGTAGCTGGTTATTTATGTTTTATTCTTTTGGTTGTTTTGACGGCACCCCACACTTACCCTTACACCTCACACTCTCACTGTTGGAACACACTCAATAGTCAGAAAACCGTCCATTTTTTTTAGTTAATTTTATGAACACATTTCTGTTTGCGAAATTAAGTTTAAAACTTGTATTTTAAGTTTACCGAAACCAGCCAATTTTTGATAGTATGAAGACGCGTATGGCGAATATGCATACATACTACATACATACATGTAAAAACGAACATTCCATTATTTTTAATATGTACGTTTTCTCTCTAATGTATAATTAAATATGTCTTCTAATTTACACACAACGGAAACACGCGAATCGAATCGTTTTGTGGCTAAACAAATCTGCTGCTACTTTAAATAAAAATAAAAATCGAAAGGCAAATTGTATTTTTGGAAAATGCAGTTTAAACGTCTTAAACTTTGAATTTGCAAATCTAGATTTTAGAACTATATTATATACCAATGAAACAAAAACAAAAACAATACAAAAACGAGACAATGAAAGATTACAATTTTTAAATTTCAATAAAAGAAAAACTATAAATAATTGAAGTGTTTGTGGAACTTACCGTTTTACCGTTTGCTGCTAGGGAAACTAATGGATTTTCAGTCTCTGAAAGTTTATTCAATATAATTTTGTATACTAAAATATATATATATATATATGTATATATATGTATGTATGTATATAATGTGTGTGTGTGTGTACAGGCTATTCCAAATATTAATATTTGATGGTTTGTTTTTGATTTCCTTGTAACAATATCGTTTAACACTAATTTTGATTACTACGATTTGGGTTTCTGTTTTGTGGTTTATCTACTAGATGTATTGGAATATTTGGTTTGCACATGTATAATATTGTTATTATTATTGTTAACGAACCAACAGTCGTAAGTCACACATGTAACATGTCAAGGTAGAGTACTATGTATAACATCGGGTGGGGGTGGGTGGGGGTTGGTTTATCCACATCCATAATCCATCGTTGTTCTTATTGGTATAACCAATGGCACTACACACTAGGTCTCTCTACGCACAAGTGGTACGCTCTCTTTTGTTCGCATGTTCGTTGTATCTAGAGGGGGAAGGCTACACCTACACCTACGCCTACGCCTACACCGAAACTCGGTTCTAGGATCTCTATACTATTTATTGTATGTATGTATACCTAGTTCAACTATGGGATTATGTCTCAACGCAACATCAACATCGGTCAACATTGTTTCTAAATGGAAGATTACAGTTTTCTGTATTGATTATGTACCTTGATTAGTTTGGTGATTATGCTTATCGATATGCTTCAACACTGCTTCAAAAAAAAAACGACACCAACAAAAAAAATCACGACAGAAAAAAAACTATCACAAATGTTAAATGAAAATACAAAATTCTACAGGAATAGGGACGTGTTTGGCGCCCTGCACTTACTGCCAAGTGCTGCATATTGTCCTGTCCAATGCACCTCGTTCCGTGTCCCGTCTCCCGTGTCCATCAGTTCTGCCTCTAGTTGTGGACATTGCCACTGGCCAGCATTCGATATCGGTTCAGCAGCTGCACCGCTGCATCCTGCACGGGCTCGATCTTGCCATGCGTCTCCTCGTAGGCGTCCAGCAGGATTCGCTCTCACAAAACCGTGCAGAGGACGAACAGCAGTGACACGAGGCAGAACATGGCCACGATGTCGCGATGCAGCTTCCGATCCCGATAGAACGGCCGTGTGGAGTAGCTCTCCCGTCGCGTTTGGCGGAGCAGCCACACGGGCACGAACAGCTGCAGCAGATCGGGCACCATGAATCCAATGTCCCGAACTATCTGGTGTGCATAGCCCTCGCCCCGCACCACATTCAGGAAGAACTGATCGAAGCTGCTGGCGAGTATGTGCAGCAGGGCGATGCCGACAATGCAGAAGACCTTCTTCGGTGTGACGACATTCGTGGTGCTGGCCAGGTGCATCACCAGCACCGTTGAGAACAGTTCGGTGATCTGTAAAAGTCAAGCAGCAGGCATTTATGCATTAGATTAATTCTGTAGATTTTTAAATATTCTGTGAATCGGCAGTTAAAGTTCCTGGAATTTATAGTATATATCTCCAAAGGTCAGGTCGAAGGCGGTGTACCGTGAATATATGAATGCATATTTAACGTACAATTGCACGTACATATATATGGTATGCAAACACAGATGGAAACGAAATGGGGGCTACTTCAATACTTCAAAACTTTGATGCTTCGAACTACGGAATATAGTTTGTTTAATTGCTATGGCACCAGAAATCGGTAAATTTGAGAAAATGCAATCTCGCAGTCACAGATTAACGATGCTAGCGGAACACATTTCCATTATTATTTTCTAGGTCAACCCACTCATTTTTCAGCCGCCGCTTGAGCGCAGGGAATCGTGAATTGCTCATTAGCGGTGGGCAAACTTTTGAGTTTATACTTTTACGGGGATAGATTTGTGCTTGAAACTTATTAACTTGCAGTTGCAGGGCCTCTATTTTGCATTGCCAGTGCTATCTTCTGCCACGTGGTCGCCCACCAGCGACAAGTGCAGCAAAAGTGCTGAGTGCTGATGGGGATTGGGGTGGGGGGGGCGCGGATATTGTCCAAGTTTAGAGCGTTCGCAATCGAACGAACTTTGCCAATAAATTATGGATGGCCGGCGCTGCGGAACTTAGCTTAGACCTAGGGCTAGGGCTAGGGCACGGGCACATACTCGTTTGACAACACATGCCGTTGTGTTGCCGGGATATTTGAGTTTGAAAGTTGTGTGCTTACCGTGAAGAAGAGCTGGTGGTTCCACTGGTTGTAGTAGTCGTCGTTGTAGTAGTTGATGTACGCCCACCAGGCGTAGTAGTGCGAGAAGATGGACAGCAGGAAGAGCAGCAGCATCGAGTAGCGGACGCGGCTCTGCAGGATCAGGGCGATGAGCCGCTTAATGCACTCGTACAGGGCAATCACTGCGAAGACGGTCAGTATCCACATCTTGAAGCTGTTCGGAGTGGCATTGAAGTACATGTGCTTGTAGGCGGCCACCCCCGACTCGTAGGGGCCCTTGAACACGGTGTCCCAGCAGGAGCATGTGCAGAAGTGCCTGTCCACGTACCGGGCGTAGTTCTCCCAGAAGTACCAAAGAATGGCAATGTGTGCCGGCGGTATCAGGGCAGGTGCCAGTGAGCCGCAGGCGGTGGGTAGCCAAGTGATGTCCAACATGCTGCTAATACTGTTACGCGTAATATGTTCCTTACAAAATGATATGTTCTTGGATAGCTTCGCTATTTGGTTGCGTTGCCCTCTGTTGGTCCTCTGCTCTGCTCCTCTGCTATTGCGCTACTTTCTGAGTTCAGTCATCATCCTGCTTGTGCCTGAAGGAAACAAATTAAGTTCGCATATTCACGTCATCTCTTTTAGGGACTCATATATGTGTACCCATGCCCATGTGTTCTTGTTACTAATACTGCAAATAATTGTTAGACATAAACACCGAATCCAGGCGGTAAGAACAGTGGGGTACACAAGAAGGGTTCAGTCTAAATTACTGCCAGGCAGAAGAGCTAAAGATCAGCTGATCATGAATCAGGGCAGAAATATTATTACTCCACAGAAATTCTAGTCTTCCCAATTGTACCTCAACTACAGGTAAACATTTATGTGAATTGTCTACAAGGCATATTACCAGGGAATTTTTACGTTATTCGGTGGCTCCCAAGATGTTATCCAAACATGCATTTATTAGGCACCATTTATCCATCATTCAGTTATTACCCAATTGAGGCATTTTCTGGGCCACTGATTTGGGCGCGGCGATTGGTGTTCGGCAGTCTATAAATATTTCAATTGGTTTTTTGGGCCAATGTGCTATTTCGGGTTTTGCATAGTTATGAAAATAAACAAAATGGAAAAAAGGGAACGAAAAAATGCATTTAGCTGTGTGCAGCACATTCGAGGGTTTTTTTTATTTTTTTATTATTATTGAAATGAAGCCAGAGAAGGCATTTCTCACGGTGGAATGGAATGCAAATTCGTCATTCGCGTGTGTACTCCGCATCTGCAACTGCAGCGGCAACTGCAGGCTGAGTGACCGAGTGAATGTCATCCACGGCGTGTATGCCCAATTTGTGTGCCCAAAAATGATGCAATTATAAATTCATATACAGTCCGATGGTATCGGGGCATAGGCACTGTGGAAGTGGCGCAGGCAGAGGCAGAGGCGGAGTACACGCACGGTGAATTGCATTCCAAGCAAGACAACCAGCAGCCTTCTGCTCCTCCTCCTCCTCCTCCTGCTCCTGGCACTGCTGCCAAAAAGCACACAGCGAGCGGAGGCTGCCATCGAGGCTGCCTCTGAATGAATGCTATATACTGAGAATAAAACTGAGAATGGGAATGGGACTCGGACACGGACGGGGCGCAACAAATGCAGTTGGGCATACAATGGGTGGTACCAAAGGATTTGTATGATTTATATGAAGCAATCGTTTGACACTCTTGCATCTTCAACGTGCGATGCAAACAGCTGGTCAAACTAGATATACCCTGTCAAAGGATAAAAAAAACGAGAGTAAAATTGTAGTTCGAGTGGTGTGCGGCTGTTGCCCAAATTAATTAATACATCGCCTCTGAGATGGGAAGCTGCCAGCAGGGGGAAAACTATTCCGAACTGTTTTCATTGCTGCTGCTGCTGCTGCCGAGTAAAACAAAAGCAAACCCAAACGAATTGACGTCACGCGGGGAAGGAAGTCAGGAAGATGCAGGCAAGCATTGGCCACTCGTATCGGAAACTTATCTGAGCAGAAAAGTGAAAACGTTGTAGCATGCGGTATGAATTTTAAATTGCGAATACTCGTAGTTGGCTCACTCGCCGAATGGAATGGAATGTTTCATTCATAAGGGTCTGGCACATGCCCAATGTTGTGTGAATGCGTCCCACAAAATATGTGAAAGAACAACTGAATGTTCTCCTTGGGGAGGGAGACTTTGAGTTTGTCAACGTTACTCATGCGGAAAGGAGCGACCTTCATCAGCATATAAAAAGGTTCCAGGTTTCAGCTTCCTCTGTCCTCTGTCGTTTCGAATCAATCTTTTTCTAGTAATGAATAAGTTGACGGTTATGTTATTGTTCCACTGTCATCCCATAACGAGTTTTCCTAACGGATATTCACCTTAGTGTATTAAAAGTGTATTAAATCCCACTGCTTGTGGCACACTTTGAACACTCCGAGGATGGTTATCCCCCGTTTAAATGAGGTGGGGGGAGGGTTGTACGAATTCACGGATTAACAATTCCTTCAAAGGCTGTGTGCAAACAACACCTCAAGCAGTGTCGGTGCCAGCAACTGGATCTGGGTGCCAGACTGAGCGACGGTGCAACCGTCGACAGTTGTCACTTGAGGTGCATGCCATGGCATGGCATGGCATTGTGTTCCGTCGCGCAGGCAACGGCAACGGGCAACCCGTCGTATGAGTAATTTGAGTGTGCCGACTGGAGAATGAATGAGGGAATGGAATGGGAATCCCAGCCGCCGCCAGGCTAGTCTATGCACTCCTCGAGTGCCGTTCTTTGCATGCTCATTTGTGTCCCTTTCAATTGTCATTCGGGCCCTGTTGTCTGCCTTCGCTGTTCGCCGCAGTATGCCAGACACTTTGTCCCACAGAGGCAGACAGAGAGAGAGTCCTTAGAAGTGCTTGCCAGGGGAAGTACGGAATGTGCTGTGCCCCAAAGTTGAGAATAAATTTAAGGCTCGCGACCCTAATAGACTTGGCAATCGCAGGTGATAAACGAGTGGGCGATGAGCATTAAATGTCGAATGCTAACTGTCAAATGGCATAGACCTGCGTGTCTCTCGTGACTCTGTGGATACATAAACATTCACATATGGGGCACTTGTGCTTCGACGAGTGTGCATGTCTGGGGCTGGGGCAGGGGCACCCTGTAAACGATGTGGGCGGCTGGCTGTGCACTGAGATAAATCGCAGGCAATAATATTGCCTAGATGGGCGTTTGTTTAGTCAATATTTGTCTGGGCATCGACGGGGCACGCTACACAATACCCGAGCTGTAGCACCGGCACACACATGCAATCGAGTGGAGTACACAGTGTAGTACGCTGAATGTTGCAGCAGTTGCTCCGTCATGGCTGTATGCTGTATGCCCACAAATTGGCCCTAGGGCCGGCAGCAGGGAAAAAAAAGAACGGTGGAAAATCGAAATACAATTAGGCAAAACGCGTGGGCACGACACCCGTACTTGGCTGTGTGTACGGGTATATAAAACGATCCGAGACGGAGCATAAGCGCGCGAGTTGGGAGTCGTTTGGGATAGGGATTGGGGTTGGCTTTCCTTGCGATGCGTTGCGATGCGATGCTGGTAATCACTCACACTCTTCCCCTTATTCCGCCCGGCTTTTCACTTATCCTCTCTCACTCTCACTCACTCACTCACTCACACTCGGGGTCTGGCACTACCACAGCCTTTGCCCCTGTAGCCGGCAATCACTTTTCTCGATATGTGTAAAATAAATACAAGTTTCTGTTTAAACAAATTCCGTTTTGGGTGTGGATGTGAAATCTCTGTTGGAACAACAACCGCGGGGCTGGCTGGTCGGGAAAAAGACGACTGAAATTATTGTTATGCTGCGTGTGGATTTTGCTTTTGCTCTGTGTTCACAGCCGGCGCCGGCGTCGTGTCTGGCCCCCGTGTTTCCCCACCAGCCGAAATACTGGGCCGAAGCTCTCAGCTGTTGGAGCTGGCCCTAAGGACGGTTGCTATTCACCTGGCGTCCACTGTGGCTGTAGCGAACGCTCTCTCTCTCCTCCATTCGTTCTTTCGTTCTTTCTCTCTGTTACAGCGTTTGTCACAAGCTACATTAAATGGAGGGTAAGGCAGGGCGTCTCTACAGCAGCTAGGCGTAGTTCGGTGACTGCGAACCTGCATGTGGCGACTGGCAGAAGGCCTTACCTTCCTACCTGATTATATCTTGGTGCGGGAGCTCGCTCTTGTGAGTTTGCGCTCTTCAAAAAAATACTGGGAAATGCAGGCGGCTTCATATAAAGTATACGCCCCGTGGCGGATGCTGCTGCTGCTGGGCATGTGGCATATTGCATTATCAGCCGAAATCAAAAGGCAGTGGACTCATGTGGATTTACTTACTTACTGCTGGGAGCACACACACGCACAATATTGGGTTCAGTGTGTTCGTTTCTTATACTCACAAATATTTTCCTTTCCATGTCCGTGCACCTGTTGGATGACCTCCCGCTGGGCGAGGCGGTGCTTGTGGCCCTTGCATGTATGTTTATTTAGTTAAAACATTTTGCACACATTTATTGAAAGTTCTTTGGTTCAACATTACCATACATACAAAACAGGTTTATTAAACAATTACGGAATTAAACTAATTTGGATACAAGCGCTTGCACACACAAAAACTGCTGTCAGAGTGCATTTTAAATATGCTAATTAAATTGTTTTCCCCTTGCTCTCGCTCACTCTCTCCCGCCCTTCCACGTTGGCGGCGTACTCTCTGCAATTCTTTTTTTGAGGACCATTACAACCAACATTACAGTACGAGTTACGTTGCTGGACCCGTGCCCATTGTTAGCCACCATTACGAAGGAAACAGTACATAGGTTTTTACCGCAACAATGGCTTAAATTTGTATTCTCGTAATTAAAATGCTTGGCGACTTATTCATCTTCTGTTCCGACATTGTTCTCCGGCCCATTGTGGTACATGCCTGTGTACATACCTATACCTATGCATATATATATATACATTTAATTACATACAAAAATGATACACAAATAGGAGGAAGTAGTACGTACGTTTATGGGGTATAAATTCGATATATGTATAGTTTGCTTACATTCAATTTTCAAACATCGTGACAGGTACAAGTACTCGTTGACTTTATCAAAGTCGTTCGCTTATTTAGGTAGAGTGGCTACGATATACATACATATGTATCCTACTATATCTATAAGGTACCACAGGGCCACTGGGCCCGGGCAGGAGTAGACATCAAGACATAAAAGCAATTCAATTAATTTACTTGCCCAAATTGAAAATGTATCTGTGATTGGCTTCCTTTGAATAATTGAATGATGTCCTAATGCACAACTAAGCTGCCAACACAATGCAATAGTTGAAATAGTTCGCAATCAGGCTGATTGTAGTGGCCTGCAAACAGGCAAACAATCGGAAAATCCTTTTAAAATCATCTGCCCTCTCGCTGACCCTACCCTCGTCGAATTGTCCCTTAGTTACTAACGTTCGTCCGGCCTACGCAATTATCTGGATTTAATGTATGACTTTACCAGAAATTATGTGTCGTATGCCCATTGCATTAGCCCACAGACCACAGCCACTGCCCCTACCCTCAGCCCCCTGCGACTCCCACTCGAGCCGCTCTTTGTACTAATGTTGCCGCTGCTTATGCCTACCACTTATAGTAATTCCCTAGACCTACATACTTAATTACCAGTTCCAATCGCACATGCTGCACTTCGACTATTGTACTCGGATTCCCTCAAAACATTCCGTAAGCTCATTAAATACGAGTGAGTATGTTTGCTATCACTTTCTTCAGTTGCTGCTGCTGCTGATATCGTTATGGCTTCTCCGCCTTGAGCAGGAAGGATTTCATAACGCACAGCACAACACAATGGCCAAGAGTTCCATTGCCATTTCCATTTCCATTTCCGTTTCGTTTTTTGTTTCGCTTTCATTATGGGGCGAGCCAACGCGGTTGTGGTTGTCCCTCGATGGCATGGCATGGCATGGCGCATCCATTGCCGTGACCGAACAAAGCAGATGGCTCTCCTTTATGGCAAAGAGATTCACATGCCGCATTCGATACGGGTGGGTCCCTAGAGTGTGTGTGTTTGTGTGTGTTTTTGTGTCCAAATGACTTTGGATTCCGCGGATTCGATGCTTAAAAGATTCCCTTTGGTCTCCCTTTAGAACTTGCTCTGCTCCATGCCGCTGTACGAGTTGTTCATCTCCACAGCCACAACGACACTCTCCTCGTTCTCCTCCGTCTCCTCGGGCACCATCATCAGGTTGTTGTTCATCTGATATGCCTCCACGCGGTGTTCCGCGTCGGCGGTTGGACGCAACCGTCGGTTGAACGACGACCGGGAGCGGGTCATGTACGAGGATCGCGTGGTGGAGACCCGCCTCAGTACGCCCCGTCCAAAGAAGAGCATGCGCACCTCGACACGGAATCGGGGATGCGTGGCGGCATACAGGTACGGATCGACGCAGGCGGCCGTCTTGCAGAAGAGTGCCGGGATCATGGAGCCCAGGGGCGTGATGTGCCGCTCCTGGCCGAACACACCCATCATGGCGACGACAGCGTAGGGGGACCAGGCCAGGAACCACAGTCCTATGATGGCGGCCACAATGAACGCCAGCTTCTTCTCCGTCTTGGCCTTGTCCTTGTTCGACTGGATGCGGCTCGCCGTGAACACCACCTTGAGGATGTAGAAGTAGGAGTAGACGATGGTGGTCAGCGGCACGCAGTATGCGGCCACGAAGAACAGCGCCATGAAGATGCGCGCCGGGGTCTCCTTGTTCAGATAATCGAAGCTGCAGGTGGTCAGAAAGCCCTCGGGCACGTAAACGGACAGCCCAATATCCAGGGCGGGCATCACCGCAAACAGGAAGCTGTACGACCAGATGAGGAAGATGATCAGGTAGGAGCGAAGTCGCGAGCAGCGGCGCAGTGGCTGCAGCGGATGCACCACCACGTTGTACCGATCCAGGGCGATGGCTGTGAGGGTACCGATGGCACAGGTGCCACTGAGGCCGCCCACAAATCCGTAGATGCGACAGGCTGCATCGCCCAGCGCCGGCCCCTCCTTGATGTTGTTGTAGATGGCAATGGGACACTTGACGAGCATCAGAAAGTCGCAAATGGCCAGATTCATCACCAGAATGTTGGCCGGTGTCCGAAGCGATTTGCGGTTCGCAAACATGAAGATGACAAATGCGTTCCCCACACATCCCACCACCGAGATGAGGCAGTAGAGGGCGGCCATGAGGTAGAAGGTACTCTGCTTCGGCGGCTCGAATTGCAGCCAGAACGGGTTCACTTTGGCAATGTAGCTCAGATCGTACTTATCGCGATAGTGTATATAGCCGGGATACGAACTGCAAGTAATCCAAGGATGTTTCCGGGAAGAAAGATTATTTCAGATATATTTAATGCACAAATTAACCGCAGTGCATATGAATGGGTTGTGGAAGCTGTCGCTTGTAGTTACCTCAGTACTGTGGATACGTTGTCAGTCACCTCGTGCTTGTCTGGGACCTTTCCCACAGTTTCCGCTGAGGAGGCTGTGGATGCCGTCGCTGCTGCAGCCGAGCTGGTGGTGGCGCTGGGGCTGGCGCTGCTGTTGGCCAGCATCTCGGAGAGGGAGAGGGCACTGGTGAGCCAGAGGCTGCTGCCAGCTGCCTCCGTTGTCAGCGTGGGCAGGGCTGACATGAGGGCCTCCATGTCCATGGCGTGCGGTTTACCTTTTGCCAAACTTACGGGTTTCGTCCAAATTCAAACTGCAGCCCGGACGTGCAGGGCAGGGCTGCGTGTGCCCGATGTGCCTCGGAGGTGAGCACCGCTACGGACGCTGGGATTGCGCTTATTTACTTGTCGGCTGGCTCTCCAATTACCGCATTTGGCAATGCTGGCCCGTGTTGCAGCTCCCCGGCTGTCCTCATTGGTTGTGCATCATGGCGGATGCGGCGGTCACGAAGCATTTTCTCGGTTGTCTTGGGTCTGCTTCAATTAGCTCTGAAATAGAACAGATAAAAGCGTAGTTTATCTTAATCGATGCTCTTCGTTTGATTGGTCTTCCGCTTTCCTGTGGGATGGTCATGCTTTAGTAGCCATTTCAGCCTCAATTTAATCACATTTAAAAGACTTTCAGACTTGCATTCAGCTCTGCCTTTGTCTTAAAAAGTTAAACCTTTTGAGACAAATAAAATTGGATACTCCCTGATCGGATTATCTTAATTCTTGTGACTTAACAAGTTAACGGAAATCACGTGAACTGTCTGGAAGGTTTTTTTTTTTTTGTAATAAAAAGGAATGAATTGGACCATCCATACGGCCAAAGGGAAGAAACTATGGCCATTACGAGCACATCCGAAATTGAAGCCGTAAACTACGCACAGAGTTAAAGAAAATGTAATCAAGATGTCAACACAAAATGCAAAAAAAGAAAAAAAAAAAAAAAGCCTTATCCAAGTTCCTACTAATGATTCCTTTCACCTGCACGCCTCTCTGTGCTCAACGATGCCCGGGCACAAAGATCCAATATTGCTTACCCAAACTTAACTTCAACTTTTGTCGGTCAATCAGGGCGAGCGCAGCAGGTGGGCCCGGGCCCTCGATGAGAAAGTTTTCAAGACCAGCGTGAAACCAATAACATTGAGCTGGTGCCGATAGAGAGAGAGAGAGTCTTAAAGAATTCCAAACTCAAATGCCTTCTCAATTCCTCCCTTTAATTGACACATTTCATTATTTTAAGAGTAAATTCAATGAGAGTAAATCATGCCCGAATAAGTGTGCTACGCAGTGAATTTAAATTTAGTTTTTCCTGCTGCGGATAGTTTATTATTTCACCACCAAACACTTGAAATATGCCATAATTATTTGGCACATGCGCAGCGTTTAACAGAGGCAGGTCTGAACGCGTTCATGTTTTGGCAACAACTGAGCCCACGACACGGAGACTGCTGCCATTTATGTGTCTGCTCGTTGGGTCTCTCAAAGGGTGTCCAGACCTAGGCATAATTAAGATGAATCCGTAATCAATTAACACTTTCATGCAACCCAAATACAGCGGTTCACCTGGTTGAGGAGTGTCCAGAGTGTCCAGAGTGTCCGGCAGACTGGCAGGCACCAACCTGATGATTACTGATTATATAAATCCTACGAAGCCTTGTTAATTAAGGCAACTTAATTGCTTATTAAATAACTGAAAGCCGGTCACGTGAGCCCAGCAGGCCCCATGAAATTGTGGTTTTTGCCGCAAGTGCTCTTCAACTCAAACTCAAACATGAACTTCTCTGAGTCAACCCCTCCTTCGCGGGGGTTCAGCCGGAACTAGAATCATAGCTGAGCAGAGCAGAGCCATAGGCGAAGGCGAAGACGAAGACGAAGGCGGAGTCAGAGCACTTGGCAGCCGCAGGCGAGGCCAAAGACAAATTCCGTGAACAAAAGTTTTCCCTGAAGCAGCAGCGGGAAAAGAACAACTTCAGTTTTCAGCGTTCAGTCAACAGAGCAGAGAAACTGCACAACGAGTACAACAACTACAAGTGAGCCATGTCGCAGGCCCTTCCGCTCCAGCGTCTCCTTATTATGCGAGCACGAGTATTATTATATTTACAACTCTTGACGGCTCTGCCTTTTGTGGAAGATCTCGCTGCAAAATAGTTCCGTTCCGCTTTTATAAACGGCGAGGTATTGGTCTGAATGCGGCTGTGGCTGTGGCTGGTAGCTGTTGTTGTTGGTCCTTTATGCCATTTAATTGGCACTAATTGGCCAATTGAAATTTGTCATAGCTCTTGCTCGCTGCGCGCACAAAGGACACTAGATTTTGGTTTTTGCTCTCAAAACTTTCGGCCTTTGTTCTCGCTCGATGCGAAATAAATTTTGGCGCAAATCGAAGCGAGCCATTTTCGCCCATTTGTTGAAATTCTGTGGCAAATAGCAAAAGCAATTGCAACGGCAACGTCAACGGCAATTAATCATTCATAAAGGATACGGAACTCAAATGCCTTCCCATTTGCCACAAATGTTGTAATATTTGTTGGCTGCCGGTGTCTCGAAGCATGCGGCAATCAAGCAGCTTAGGTCGGCTGTCAGTTAATTTGAGCTGTGCACCGGCTGCTCCTGCATGCTCGTTAAATGTGCCATGTGCCATCTGCCGTTGTCACTTTTCGAGAAATTCCCCCAAACAAGAATTGAACGCCAATTAAACAATTACACACAATTACACCCGACACGATGTTTTCTTAATGAACCAAACTTTTTCTGATATGTTTGGAGCTTTTGTTTGTAGAGTTTTTTTTAAAGAATTTTTAAAATGATTTCATTTGAACAGTTGCACGTGTTTGGTCTTGTCAATTGGGTGTAACTTGTTGAAGTAAGATCTGAACGAAATTACACATTGATTTGATTTAAAGAAAAAACACTTTAATGCCTGGATTCTCGCCTTGACAGACAAAAATAGACGTTGACTGACTGACTGCCGTGCGCATTTTGGAGCTGTCATGAGCAGATTAATCGAATTGTGGAACAACAATCGCTCCGGCCAGTTGCTGAAACGTGATTGATGCTGCTTCAGACCCAGACGCTTCTGCCTCATCCTCCTCTTCAAAGGATGTGAAACTTCCGCAAGCTCTTCAAAGCAACAGAATTATGTGAGCAACCAGCCCTGTTAGGCATCATCCAGTCTAACTAGGGAGACCATTAGCAACAGCGTTTTTTTTTTGTCATTCTTTTGTGGACAACTGGCGTGACTTGTTAGTGCACGTTTGACATTCATTCGATTAGTGTCGTGTCGGGCAGAATCGGGTCGAGTCCTTTCAAAGTATCTCCCCTGCCCTCGCCATGGACCAGACCCTTACAAATGCAAGAGTTATCTTTCGCCTGTGCTAGGCTCGGTGGGGCCATTGGTGTGGGCAGAGGTGTCCGGGGGACTCTTTTATGTGGCCATTACTGGTGCCTCAATTGAATCTGTACATTTGGCTGGAACACTAGGATTTGGCTGGCGAATGCAAATGCATTTTATCCTTTACTTTTCCGGTACAATTTCATCTGCACTCACAATTTAATTACTAGTGGAAATGGTTTGAAATGTTCCCGTTCCCTTAATATCATCTGCCGGAGAATTGTGGCCTGTGGATGGGCGGATGGGCGGATGGGTGGGGAAACAATTATCCGGCCACTTGCAGACACGCAAATCGCTGAGAGCTGTCGGAAAAGAGCAAGCAACAATAATTTATTTAAATTAAATTTCAATTTCTTCTGTTGGCAGTGGTGGCTCCTCCTCCTTTCGCGTAGCTCCTTCGGCTGATGTTACCGCCAGAGCAAACAGCTGCCATGACAATTGCTTCGCGGAAAATGGTCGGCGGGGAACGGTTTGAGGGGTTGCCAGGATAAAAAGCATTTAGAGGTTGCTGGGAGCCCCATAATGCAAAATGCAGATGAGTGGGAATCACTTTACTAAATTGTGCCGAGTGCTGCATAGACATCATTATTACACTTTGTGCGAGCTTACAGCTTGGGCATGGCCATTTTCCAGCTCTAATTATTTTAAATACAGTGCGATACTCGTATACATATATAAGCTTGAATTGCTATTAAAAGTAAGCCATACTGTCATCAATAATCTTTTGAAACCGTTCGACTGAGAGGACCGCTGCGCTTACTTTGATTAGTTTTCATAATAATACAAGTAACTCAATTATAGCACATGGATTGCTTGCATTGAATGGCTAATAATAGCCATTTTCCCAGTACAGATAGTTCATATATGTACGTACATACATATGTACACAGGGATACATAACCATATGGATTTGTGCTTTTCCTAATCGCATTATCTTAAATCAAGTATAATATGGTTGGGTGGGAGAGTAAGGAGGTGTGCAATAAATGCGCACTAGTCAGCATATTTTTTTATTTTTTTGATAGCTTTAACTTTGTATTGCCCACGCAGAAAACCTTTTTCTTTATTGTTCAATTGGTAAAATTAATTTTTTCAATTATATTTTTTTAGTCATTAAAATGTATTTTTTTAATTATATTTTTTTAGACATTAAAAAGTGGTCGAAATATTAGAATACATGAAATCAATATATATATAAATATTTGTGTTGAATAGTGTAATCATTATTGGAATCGAGGGGATGCGCCAATCAATGTTGTTAATGAGGAAAGGTGGACCAGACTACGAACCAGCGAAGGGTCCTGTTTCCCCCTGTTTTCGATTTTTCGCTTTTAATAAAAGTCTAATTTATTCGTGTCCCCACTGTAAACGTTTTACATAAACTTGGCAAGAGACAAGTTATGCATAAATACGTGTGTAAGGAAAAATTTACGTGTCTTTGAAGAACGGTTTTAGTGGGACAAAGTTCGAGCATTGGATTAAAGTCCTGAGTGCTCTTGGTCCAACTATTCTTGGCCATAACCACCGCCATGGCTTACAGATAGATTGATTTTAACACGTACACAGGTCCTGCTGAAATTCTTTAGTTCTTTATTTGAATAGTTTTATCTGTAATACGAGTAATGGTTATTTTTTTCCTTTGTTAAATAGAGCAAATTCTTAAACACTACGTGAAAATAACTAACAGTTCAACTAACAATTTAGGGCTCTCAAAAGCATACAAAAATGATCAAAGCCTAAAGCAAAAACTTCAATAAAAATGTCACAGTAAAAATCTGCATTCTATTCTAAAAACAAACGCGGAAATAAATTCAATTAATAACCAAAGAGCGAAAAGCGAATTTCGACAAAGGGATGCTTTTATACGAATACCTTTGGATGTACACCTTCATACAGAAATATATATATACATATGTACATATAAATGGCGTCATAAGTGTACAAGTGAGTTGTACACGAGTATGTTTTGCCCATCAAAACCAGCAATCTCATATGAATGGATATATTGACAAGCAACTATTTCTCCCAGAAAAAAAAAGGATGCTCCAGTAGCAGCAAAGGCATGGCATTGGATTTTCACTGTTAATGTGCTTAGAATATTTGCTATTAATTTTAAAATAAATAATTAATAATGTTACTACATGTTTCGGTAAATAAAGACAGGTTGGCCAAGCCCTTATCAAATTCAACCGACTGCATCACTCGTTTGGCACACGGCTTGCGAAACCATTAATCGAGATTCTGTCTCTGCCGTGGATGCAACATCCAGACAAATTCGCTTGGAAAACACCATGATTAACGATAGTTTACGGGCTTTAGTTTCGTCACGTGCCGTTGGATTTGTTCGCTCTGTTGGTTGCCATCGGGGAACAGCCCAACACGAATTTTGTTATTCCATATTAAAAAATTTGCACAAGCCAACGAAGCAGCATCATATGAACGTGTTATGTAGGATGTATCTGCTGCAGGAACAGGCATCGCAACCATTATTGCACTTTAAATAATCATGTCGCGTTTGGGGTCAGCTTTAAAGGGGGGCTCACTGCCATTCGTTTATTCACCCCCACCCCCACTCCCACTCCCCGACGTACGACGCTGTCACATATCTGTGGAACGGACTCGGCTGGAATGGCATGCATATGCTCCACTTATTTTTCATATGCAGCATCAGAATGCTGCTTTGATCCGATGAACCCTTATTTGGCAAAGAGTTCTTAAACAAGAAAATATTCAACATTTTGGTATCCTTTGGTATTTACACAGGAACCAAAAAGGATTCGCTAGTATGGATACCTTTGACCCTTCGGATACGAGGTATATGTTCGTCGTAGAAAAATTCTGTACAGATGTTTTTTTTTTTTTGGTGTGTGATTTTTTGCTTCTCGACGTGAGCTCATGACCCCCATGGATGTATTGATTTATGCTCGCGCCAGTTTTCATTTCACAGTTTTCACTTGTGTACATAGGTTCGCAGCTTATTGCAGTCCTCATCGTCACTTACCACCTTCTCCACTCACCCATGCCTGCCACATGCCCCGTATAAATGTTCCAAATGAAATGCTTGCCGCCCAAGGCTGCCACTGAAAGTTCTATGCCGCCATCATCAACAGGCACTTAAAGGCCTAAATGTAGTTTTGATGGATGCGGGTGCTGGTGCTGGTGATGGCTCTGCTGCTGCTGAGGCTGTTGGACACAGAGATACTGCTGCTGCTGTAACCGAGAACTTTGTCGCATTAGAGCATGTCAAGTATTCATATTTGCTTGGATTTAAGGCACGACAGCTTTAAGATACGAGCTGCGCTGTGACCCGCCAGAAGTGCACTCGCCGTTGCATGTGAGAGGGTGCACAGGATGGACGTGGAACTGATACGGACACCCTGCATCACTCCGGGCAGCCCGAAGAGGTTTCTCCGAGGCCAGCTGCTCAAGGAGCACCACCACAGGCCGGGCCGGAGACTCTCTTCATGGGGGCTTATAAGTCAGACGATGCGAGATGCCACGACTTGTTAGCTTGGCAAATGTCACAAAGACCGGCGGCCACTCAGGTGTGTCTGACAAACAACGAAGACAATTTCAACCGATATGGGAACGGGGTTGAAACACGGACAAAGACAGTTGGGATGGAGCCCAGCACAGGCACTGGCACAGCAGCTTGTTGACTTATTCTTGTGATATTTCAGCTTCAGTGTCCAGCGGGATATGTCTTTGAAATCCGCTTAGTCGCCGGGGCGATGGTCAAGTGTGCCTCGGACATGGGACTGTTTTTTCCTGGCCAATAAGCAAACAAGCTTAAGCGCTTTTCTCAATTGTCCATTAAGACGCTCTTTACCGTGTTTTCACGAACGAAGGGCAGCCGTAATCTGCTTACAACAGAATGATGCCCATTAAACAACTTAAAACTTAATTTTTAAGGTGTCTTGAATAAAATTTTCGCTCATCGAAAATTGCTATGTAAATGGGTTGAGTTCGAAACGCAGTTTACTTATTCATCATAAATGTGACAAGCGTTCAGTGAAAAAGCTCTAAAAATGCCGGCGGACAGAATGTTGGCAAGTAAATAAAGTTCAGCAGAAAAACTTAAGTCAACACAACTACACTGGCGAAAACTGAAACTTAGTTTACATTTACGACACGTACATGAAATTCCGTCAATCTGATATGCAATGCTTGCAAATGCAATATCCAACAAACAATTTTTATTTGTTAACAGAGGAATATAACGATGTGTGTGCGTGCCCACACATATAGTGGAAATACTAGCTTACCATGAGACAAGTCCAACATAGTTATTGGCACTATTTCACTATTATTCGCTGGGAAAAAAAAAATAACGCTGGCTCACAACCCTACGTATATTTTGAGCTTACCCCTAAAACGAATGGTAATTCTATTAGAGGTTTTATCTGAGGTTTCGTTGATGAAAATAAGGAGATTAAAATAGTTGAATTTTGTATCCAGATGCCTCGGAAATTAACAAAACTTTCCAAAATAGTTAGGGGGTGCATTCAACTTAATTTATATCAGTATTACGAGGATATTAAAACCAAAATGGAAGTTTCTGGAATTAAACTCGGCTCAAAATAGATTGCCGTACCTGCACTTGATAATTTTATATGTAAGTACATTTTCCCATTTTTTAACAAATCCCCTATAACTGGGAATTCCAATATTAACCTTGAGTGCAAAACAGGAAGCTTAAAGGCTCACAATAAACATGATATTCCGATAATATATGTGTACATATGTAGGTACATATACCTGGAAACCATTAAAATGGATGGTTTTCTGATGAAATTCATCTGGTAAACAAGAGAAAAGTGCATTATCTGTTTAAAATGATTTATTCATCGATTTAATCATAGTATTTTGAATGTCATCACACTCTTTTTGGTAAGTGTATTTATTGGTTTGATGTGAAGCGGATGTGTGCTCAAATCAATCAAATCAGTGACCCTGCTCACCTTTTGGATTTATTGTGCAGTCTTTTCGTGTCGCCAGAGTATATTGAATTTATTTACTTTAGCTGCTGTTTTATTTGGATTACCAAAGCAGCGGAATTGTAACTTTTCCAGAACTTAAATGTTATCTCTGATTGCAAAATTGTCATTTCAATTGCCACTTGCTGACGAAAAAAGAAAAGTTCCTTAACAATTTATCATCGGGCAGACCCAAAACTTTACCAACTGCGATTGTGGAGTGGCGCCAATGGGACGCGAAACTTTGCTGCGATTTCAACTGTTTATTCAGTAAAATTATGCTGAATTGTGAATTTTTTAAGGAGCTTAAGCCGTTTGTTTGATGGCTTCGTAAGCCGCTGTGAGCTGCTTATACAGCACATTAACTTGTTGACACGCGGCGTATACGCGATTTTTAATTAAGTCAGAGTCAGAGACGCGCACACGGAGATCCACCGAAAAGACCATCTCGTCCGACTCCCAAAGGACTTGCACCAATCCGGCACTGTGTGACTGAACGCTCGCGTACGACTGAGCCACAGGATCCGGCAGCTGGCGTTTTTATCAATGAAAATTGTTGCTTGTCGAGGGCAGTCGCATCCTCCGCCGTGCAGCCAGTTGGTAGCTGCAAAGCACCGAGCACAGAGAGAGAGAGAGTGTGGCAACAGAGAGAGAGAGAGAGAGCGAGATATGCCAAGCGCTCTTTGCGAGTGCTCTCCGCTCTTAGAGCAATCCAAGCACCCACAAGCCTAAAACTTGGCTTGCTGTTGGCGACGAAGAATGCCCCGATTTGGTCAGCGAAGCAAGCACTTGTGATGCTCTAATGTCTGACATGGCATGGCAGCGTTGCATGGACCATTGATACAAAGCTGTGTGTTTATGGGTGATTATAGCCGCGCCATGCCTGTGGGCTTTTTGGGGGGTGCTAGGAGTCGCGGCTGTGGCGCGCGTGCCATGGGCAACCGCAACCCCTTCCGTGCAATTGAAAGTACTTGACTGTGCCTGTGTTCATGCCGAGGTCGCAGTGCCGATAATGGAGTGATATCTGATGCACATTTATACCGATATGATACGCGCTAATGCATAAACTCCCGGGCGTGCTGGTTGGTTTTGGAGACCGCGACAACAAATAGTTCGAGCTACGACGACAAACTGCCAACCTTTTCTGGTCGAGGCACTCTCCTGAACCACTTTCAGCCGTAAATTGAGCAAAAGCAAGCCGCAGCTCGTCGGCAGTTGCACTTTAATTAAAAATAAATACGAATAAAAGCCGCCCCTGTCCCATGGCAAATGCCAACGAGTCTTATTAGAATGATTATTGATGTGGATGTTGAACAGACGATGGGATTATTGCTAGGAGCTTTGTTCAGAGCTGTGTCTCTCTCTCTCCCTCTCACTGAACCATCGAATCGGCCGACTATGATGTCGATTACTCATCACATACCTCTATACCCGTATCTATGTACATGCATACATATATATGTATGTATATCTATCCGCAATCACGGTTGTTCCTAATGCTCCGGGCAACTCTTTGCGCTGCGACTTTTTACATTTCCGACAAATTACTAATTTTTGTGCATTTATTTTGTTGCCTAGTGGTTTTGGTTTTGGTTTGGTTTGGTTAAATCTGAGCAAAGCAAAGGCTTTGTAATCAGTGGGGAAATAAAAGCAGAAAGAAAAAAGCAAAAAGAAAAAGTTCCGCATTTAACATACATTTTACCCCCATTACCAGCAGACATTCGTCTTCCCGGGGTTAGATATTAAAAGTTCTACTTTGTGGCACCGAATTATAAAACATTTACGCACTCACCGCAGGCTGCCGTCTGTAAATATGTATATGCATATACATATATATATATTTTGTTACCAGCTATGAACTCAAAGCTAGAAAAAAGCACTTACTCTCTCGGTATCCGACTCTTCGTGGTGCCTCATCCCCTCGTCAAGCCCCAAACAAAGTAATTAGAGACATGCTCAAAAATAAGAATACAAAAAGAGTCTATGTACTACTTATTATAAAGCGGGCAAACGCGTAAAGTGTTCTCTGGGGAACTTTTCCAGATTGTTGTATATAGATATTGTAGTTTGTGTGTTGTGTTGTGTTGTGTTGCTCACGGAATAAGACTTTATGCTGCTCGCTCTCGCTTGACATGTCTTGGAGGTCGTTTTAATTTATGCCCAGCTCACGCCTGGGTAAAGTGGCAGAATGGAAAATTTCCATTGCCAAAAAACGGGCTTCCAGATGAGTCAAGCCGGTGAGTGGGTCAATTGCTAAATTCCCCTCCAGATCAGAGCAATCTAGTCAGCATAGAGACAATCGTCATAGGGCCATATGGAAACACCATTAGGCATGCGATCTGTTGTCCAATTGGTAATAAAGAGAGTTTATTGATCGATTCAAGCTGCAGTGAACGGCAGTCTATATTGTTAATGTTTAATGCCCCGGGGGGAAATGCAAAGCAAACATGCAATAATAATACCATTCAGCATGCATAGTACATTTCAATTGCATTGCGATTTGTGGCTGCGACATGTGATGCAAAGATAAACAGCAAAGCAATCAACCTAAGTATCGCTCAGATATAGTACTCGTATTTCGTATATTATGCATAGTACACTCGTACAGCTCCATAAACATGAGATAAGCTCTCACGACCCCGTCAATGATGATCAGACACAGAGGATAGGCCTGTGTACCTGTGGTTTTGCAATCCCGTCCACTCAAGACCCCACTCTGTCTCAAGGGTCCCGTCCACCGCAATCGCGCTCGTGCACTATTGGCATTTGGCATCCGACATCCGACTTTTCCGTGTTCGCTTTCGCCACTGTCCCCAGCTCTGTCATCGTCATCGTCGTCTTCGTCATCGAATTTGGCGTTCCTCTCACGCACACAATTGGTTTAGTCATTCGTCAAGAAAGAATAACGCGTTTCTGCCCAACGAATACTGCACACACTTTGTTTTCCATAAATTTCCAGACTCTAGACTCTTTTAAGGCATAAAATATAAGCCCAGATTTCGTATAATATTTTTTAAGCAAATTTGGCTGCGATTATATTTTTGAGTTGCATATATACATATATTAGTATATGTATATATATATATTTTATATTCCTCTATTGTAGAGTTAATAACTTGCCTAAATATGGCAATGATGTAATGCAAAGAGAAGAGGCATTTGAAGAAGAACAAAAATTAATTGAACGGAAGACTGCCAATGCTTGAGAGTTTTGCATGATGATACCCCGCATTAAAAGAGGGTATATTGGACATATGTTTATATGTTACATATGTAACAGTCGGAATTAATAGCAGACCATGCTAGGAATATTTTTATTCTCCTTTTGGATAAATACATACAGAAATATAATAGAAAATGAATTCAAACCGAGCTTAAGCTAGTAGAGTCATGTTGGAATATTAAAAACAACCTGAATACAGGGTATCACACGATGGAGACGCTGGAAAATCAATGTGTATGGAATGGAAGAAGAGCAAAAACCGAAAATTATACCGTTCCATTGGCAGTCAGGTAGACTCCGTCGCAGCGTAGGGCAGCGTGTGAAGCCCCCCGTAGTGGCAAACCATTTGGATTTTCGTCTTCCCTTTTGATTACCCACCGAAACTTGTCCCACACCCAGGGGGTGGGGCAGGGAGCGGGACAGTGTGTCGATGCCCAAGTGGGCAACTCTCACGACCACCAGGCCGATTGGGGACTCATTTGAGGTGGAATTGGAAGTACCCGTGGGCCAGGCCACAGCGAGCAGAAAGAGAGGACAACAGCAGCAGCAATCAGCAGCACAGAGAAGCTCTGGCGAAGTGATATAAGTGTGGGCACCGCTCCGACCCTAACCGCAGTTGTGTGACCGCACTTGGCGGGCGAGCACGAACAGAGCACAGACAAGACAGCCCAGACAATAGACACGAATACCGTCGGAAAGCAGTAAGATTTTTGTGGATTGGCAGCAGGCCCTAAATAGTTACAGTAATTTACAAGGTGACAAACGCAGTGCCGCGACAGTCCGACAGCCCGATAAGGCGGGCAAGTGTCTCTAATAATTGAATCGAATCTGAACCATGTGGAGGTGTTATACTAGTGTTGCACTGGGCTTTGCCCTGATCTTGGCCTATGGTGAGCAAACCGGAAGATAATAAACACAAACTCAAACGACTAAATTCCGTTCATTAAACAGATCAATCGAATCAAACACTCTGATATCGATTCCGTGCAAGTGTCAATGTCAATTGGGTTAAACAAATAATTGTACATTTCCCCTGGTAGTGATATCCCAAGACTAACTAATGAATGAATCAATCAATGAATAAGTGGCCTGCGAGCTGGTGTGACTCGTTCTATGAGGTATCCCATTCATTAGTTCGTTTATCGGGCAGACATTGAGCCAAAACATAGCGCTCTGCTCCCAAATCATAGTTGTGCCTAACGATTATCTCTATGATAGTGCAAATCAAGCAGGTGGAAATTAAAGTTTGAAGTTTTTATGACTATCACATCGTCAGAAGTCTGAACATGACTGCGTTACGAAATTTAATTTATTTCTAGCGTCTTACTATCTGGTCACCTGACTGATCTTTAACCTTCTGCCCAGTCCGTCTGGTTGTCTAGTTGTCTGGATGATTCCTCACCCTTGCCCATTATTCATGCATGATTTCCGTTCGCCCTGGACGCACATTTTCAATTTGCGCTGTGATCCACTTATTCTAATTTATTTAATTAAATTTGGCCGCAATGGTTAGCTAATTTGCGGTTCAAAATACTAAATAGGCCAGTTGGCCGAAATTAGTTCATAATTCACGTAAATTTTGTAAGCTGTCTGGCACCTGAAAACAGACGAACTGCTAATGGCAGATAATTCAGTTTTAGTGCTCTGCTAATTTGCAGCCGACAAATTAGTGGATAATATCACAGACGCGTACAAAAATAATCTTTGGCTATTAATATGCAAATTTTAAATAAGACAGATCATGTTTTTAAGGCTTGTCTTGCCAGACAAACTGACACCCAGACAGACAGACAGACAGACATGCTGTTTTTACCCTTCCCCTTTAATGGAACATTTATCGGAGAATATTCACGGCTTGAGAACTCAATAAACTTTACATGGATAATTGCTGCTCGATCAATGCTAATTAAACGTGCAATTACGTGTACGTGTAGACCAATGTTTGATCTGGAGGCACCTGATATACCCTCTGACGACAGCCAGAGTACAGCATGTGTACATTAAATCCAAGTGCCAATTGAGTTGAAACTTTTGAGTAGTAGCACCAACATAAGGGTATTTTTAGCTTTCCCCGGGATCAAAAATAAATGTCACTTTAATAGATACAAAGCTTGATCAAACAGCGCATCTCAATCCAGACTGTCGGCATCGGCACAGACACACAGTCGATGTGCCCGATGCGGCGGCGAGTGCCTAAGCAATTAACACATGAGGCAGATCGATTAACAACTGTCTCTGCTTGCTTATGCTCCTCTCTCCCTGCAGCGTCGACTGGGCTGGCTCAAGACTTTGGATATGGGGGGCGGCATGGTCCCGAGCACTGGAGCGAGGACTACAACCGCTGCAGTGGCAAGCAGCAGAGCCCCATCAACATTGATTTGGTCAACGTTGAGGACAAAGAGTATGCCCATCTGGAGTTTTTCAACACCTTGGTGTCGCCGAAGTCCATGCACATGACGAACAACGGCCACACGGTGCTGGTAAGGATGAGCTTTGAGGATGGCAAGGTGCCGCAAGTCCGAGGCGGGCCACTGGCCGAGCAGTCGCCTTTTACCGGCTATCAGTTCGAGCAGTTCCACTTCCACTGGGGCGAGAACGACACGGTGGGCAGTGAGGATCTGATCAATAACCACGCCTATCCCGCCGAACTGCATGTGGTGCTGCGTAGTCTGGAGTATCCGGACTTTGAAAGCGCCCTCGGCAAGGATCACGGAATTGCCGTCATGGCATTCTTCTTTCAGGTAAGCAGGAGGCTTAGCAGGGGAGGAGAACCTTCAAGTGTTTATTTTCTTTAATATATTTGTAGGTCAAAAGAGAGGGCACTGAGAGCTACGAGGAGTTCACACAGCAACTAGCCAATATCAATAGAAAGGGCATGTCGATTAACATAACAAACCCAATGCCCCTGCAGAAGTACCTTTCGTGGGACCTTTTGAACTACTATAGCTACGTGGGCTCGCTGACAACTCCGCCGTGCAGCGAGGATGTCATCTGGATTGACTTCATCGAGCCGATCGATATTACTGAGAAGCAGGTGAGTCATCCTAATCAAAAGCCCCCGCTGAATGAAGATTATCCACTTTGTACCCTCAGCTCAACGCGTTCCGGGAGCTGACGGCCAACGATGAGCACTTGAACAACAATTTCCGACCCATCCAACCACTCAACGATCGCAGGGTGTACAGGAGCGTACTTGCGCCGATGCCAGAATTCAACCAGAGCGCGATTCCCTTTGTGGACGCGGAAAATACGGGCGACAAGAGGTGGCCGTATTCCCCGGCAGTCCTACTAAGTTGCTGTGGCCTTGTGGCGCTGCTTAAGGCCTCAGCTTTCAGTGGCTTTTAATTGGAGCGCTGCTGCGGGGAAACGTGGGGTGTTTTTTTTGTTGTTAAATACATTGCACGCGCCTAGGCTCTAATTAAGCGCCGTAATTTACATGTCCTGCTCGCTGCTCTGTTTGCTCTTCAAACAGGCCAACCACTAATTTGCTCGAGCAGCTGCCTGCCGGGCAGGTCAAGCCATCGCAGCCAACCTATTGTATTTATCAGTGGACGAAAAAGCAGACGAACAAACGGACAGACAAACAATTAAACCAAAATGAACAGAAGCTTTGGCTCGCACGATATCCATCCATGATTTATTCAGCACTCGTCACAGGGGACGGGGACTGTAAATTGGATCCGTGCATAGCGGGCCTTCAATACATAATGCTGTTATTAATATGGTATTGCACATGTGATTTTAAACGCTTTATATTCGTGTACACTTAAGCTTTTAACTTTGTAAACGTTAACCAATAATTAAATGTCTTTTTTTATTTAACTAAATTAAAACAGAATGGGCGCACAAGCCTACAAAAAGCAATGGAAGTACAAGCTTTGCAATGCATTTGTGTTAATCAAAACAAACATTTAGTAACTCAAACAAAATTAATGTGCAATAGAGCTTATAAAACAAATTATTTGCAATTTATACCTACAGAGTAGAACTTTAATAATGTGAAATCTTCATAAAGATATATGTAAAACTGTTGACTGTGTGTCTGGAGGTCTATTCACAGTCCAAAACAGGAATGGGAACTGCGAAGAAGCTACACTTACGATGAACGAACGAACGATGAACGAACGGCCAAAAACAAGAATGCAATCCATAAGTAACCGGAAGCTATGCAGTTCAGGAATTTTTGTAAATTATTAAATGACAATTTTACACCGTTTTTACATGGATTTTAACAAAAGTGCTGCACACTTTTAAGCTGTAGAATAAAAAAAAGCATATTGAAAGAATTCCAAAACGATTTAGGTCAAGACGTGGGCTTAAACGGAGATTCAAAACGAGTTGAAATATTTCGATAATTTGCTTTGGTACCTAGAACCTTTTCGGCCAGAAGCAATGTACATTGGTACGCTTACTTGACGCATTCAACTAGTCGTATCAGCCGCATGACGAGGAGGAGGACGAGAGTATTATTGCTTGGCTCGGTGACCCCAGCTGTCACTGGACTCTAATGAATTATGGCAAACATGTGCACAAATCTATCAGCAATAGATGCGAAATTCGAAGAACTCGTCTGGCGAAAGTCGAGCTCACGAAAGTTATTTATGAAAATGATTTTTGGCCCCTAGTAACGACGGTGAACCATCGCTATGTGGCACTGCAGTGATCCACAGGGGACTTGAGCACCGATCCTGCCATCTGTAGGCGGTGTTCACTGTAGTTGGAAAACGGATTGATCATTGTTGTTTGCCATTAGGCTCCATTTAGCGTCTGGCCCCCGAACTTTACGTGTGATCCCTTGGCTATATTTGGACGCTATTTAAATTATAATGTCAGACTTCATTATTAATGGACTGATAGGGAAAGAGAAATTGGACTTTATTAGCCCAGAACTGGGCGGAATGGCCTTCAATGAACGAAGACACAATTAATACAATTGGACACCGAATCACTGCTACGAGTATAAATAAGGCAATTTTTCCAGCGTGGACAGTTTTCATTTACTGAGCGACTTCGACCTTCTTCCCATGCCTTCCGTGCATTCCGTGATTGCATTTGTAGATCTCGCACGTTTGAACCTAATTGATGACTGCATCAGCATCACGGTCGGCGTCAAATACAAATATTATGAAACTTTTCCATTGCCTTCTATGTAGCTTCCCCAAGCACTCAATACTACAAATGTATATGTATATGGGTACCTCTAAAATTATTTGATAAGCTTTATTGACAACCATCCACTCTCGATCGTTACATTCTGACCCCTGACGCTTCGGCGATGGTGACGAACTGTGATACTACGCTTCGTTGAAACATGAACAAGCCCCTCAAGCTCAGGCTCATGTCCAGATTCAGCTCCAGCTCCAGCCCAGACCCACATCCGAATCCAGCACAATCAATGTGGCTACGATCAGTTTGCCCATTCGTGGGCTGTGTGAAATCTCAAGTTGTAGTTCGCACTTGTGGAACGGATCGGATCGGATGGGAGCTGATCGGATCGACGTCATGTAGACGACTGATAACTTTTCTCAGGCAATCCCCCCCTTGATGGCACATTATTTCTGCGCTTGATGACTGTGTACCCAGATTGTGAGGCTTTTGTTGCTACTTTTAGACGTCCGCATGGACGTCCGACGCTGGATCTGGGACGTTGGCTTTTGCCAATGTGTATGCCGCTTTCCTGGCGGTTGTTCAAGGTCGCAACGAGAGCTATCGGCGATTGCTTTTGCCGCTTCAGGCGTGACATTTGAACTACGTTTCTCAGTAAGAAATATACCTAATATTTCATAGATCATCAGAATCCCTCTAACTCATGTCGTAATTTCCTATAGGCTATAGCTAGGCGAATCTTAGCTCTGAGCTCTGAGCTCTTGCGCAACGGCCTTAACAATCACTCAATCAGGTTACTTAACGCAGTGGCCATGCACTTGCTTCAGATACATACTCGTATGTACATATGTATATGTGAGTACGAGTCGTCCTTGTGTATCTGGCATGTCACGACGATGTAATCAGTCAAGTGCAACCCACAGTTTTATGCATTTGTTGCATGTGCTGCATGGGACTAGTGGAGCGCCAGATAAGCGGCGTGGGCGCGTAGGCGGCTCAGGCGTCTGATAACAGTTATTGAAACCAAATGCAGTATGAGGAAGGCTCGTGGCTTATCACTGGAGAGCCCTGCATACCCCACAGAGGAAAGAGAGAGCTGCTAAGCATCAGGCGGAGGTACGAGTGTGTTGATAGCCGAATGGGAGAGCAGAACGGAACTGAACTGAACGGTTGGCAGCGGGACGGGGAGCAGACGGTTCTCGTTTTTTTAAAATAACAAATGTGCTATAAATCATTTTCGAATATAATATAATAGAAGAGAGCTGCGAGTACTATATAGTACTTTTGATTGTGATTTCCAGTGGACGGCAGCCTATAAAAATGTGCGGCCCCTCCGGCCAGCGACTCAAAAGCGTTCGGTGGTTTTAAGTGCTCGGAACTGTTTAACTTCTGGTCTAATATAAAAAAAAAAACAAATTTCCTCAATATGAGAATCCTGGCAGAGGTAAATGCCATTCTGTTTTGAAGGAAACCGCGTTCAATGCCTTAAACGAATTTGAATGTTATTCACAGAATCACGTCAGCTTGCTGGATCCTTCGGAGCTGATGCGGCCAGAGCCCACCTTTGCCGACAAGAATCCCTCCAAGTTCCGTGACTACAGTGTGGACACAACGGATCCACTGAAGGAGCGCGTGCGTCAGACCTATCGTCAGATGCATCTGAATCAGACGGTGGACTTCGTCAAGGGTAAGCTCGGATTAGTGTGTGTGTGCCTCAACCGAATCTAAAAGCGGTTCCTGCCCCCCTGCAGGTCGCCGGAATCACTGGCTGAAGTTCAATACGATTCAAATGACGGTGCGCGAAGCTCTGGAGAAGCTCAACGATCTGGTGGATGAATCCGATCCCGATCTGGATCTTCCCAATATCATACACGCCTTCCAGGCGGCTGAGCGGGCGCGCGCCGAGTTTCCGGAGCACGACTGGCTGCATCTGACGGCCCTCATCCACGATCTGGGAAAGATCATGGCCTTCTATGGGGAGCCGCAGTGGGCTGTTGTGGGCGACACATTCGCTGTGGGCTGCCGCTGGGGCGACAGCATCGTCTATCGGGACGAGAGCTTCGTCGGAAATCCCGACGGTGCCAATCCAGCCTACAATACCGAGCATGGCATCTACAAGCCCCACTGCGGCGTGGACAACCTGCTCATGTCCTGGGGCCACGACGAGTACATGTACTGTGTGCTCAAGCACAACAGGTCCAAGCTGCCCGACGTCGCATGCAACATAATTCGCTTCCATTCGTTCTATCCCTGGCACAATGGCGGAGATTACCAGCACCTGCAGGCCCCCAAGGATGAGGAGACCAAGAAATGGGTGCTGATTTTTAAGTGAGTAGCCTCGCTCTTTCCTCTTAGCTTGTCTCTTCACCAATGATAATCCCCTTTGCAGTCGCTATGATCTGTACACCAAAAGCGAGGTAGTGCCAGACATCGAGGCTCTATGGCCGTATTACCAGACTCTGATCGACAAATATTTGCCAGGCATCTTGGAATTCTAAAAGATTTGACTAAAACATGTTATTAAATATCATAAGTAATTCTAAATTCTATTAATAACTATAAATGCAATTTAAACAGCTGTTGTGAATATATTCGAGTACTCATATTCATATTCACAAGTACGCGTATCAAAATATGAATACCAAATGTACTTACCCACATGACAATAAATATATACATATATTAAGTCCTATTAAAGGCGATGTTCCTAATGGGTTTATAATAAAACAAAATCAAAAATCTTTGCTTTTTTCTGAGTTAGGAATTATGGTAAGACTTGCCACATCAGCTCTCCCTCATCATTATATATCAGAGAGATGATACGAAATGTTTCTTTATAACGAATAAATAGTGTAAAGAAGGTATATAATGTACATATGTACATTTTTAATGAACATTTTCAATTAAAACGATCACCGAACTGAATTCAAAAGTGAAATTTCAAGTAATTTCAATTTCACATTCAAGGGCATAGCATCTCGATCTGTAGATTTATTAATAATATAAATAAGATCATAAAAACAATAAATACGCAACTAAATACAACTGTTTAAGTAACAACCTGTGATTTTTTAATACGAGAAACTCTCAATAGAACAATGTGAGCTTTAGCCAATGCAATGAAGCAGGCACTGTTTAAATGTGATTTAATAATAACAGTGATTATATGAAAGCACTTAAGCAAAGCAGCATCTGAATCGTTTAATATATGGAGTCGTCGTCGCCTATAATTTACTCGCTGCTCTCATTCTCTCTCAGGTCTCGTGCTTTTTACACTCTTGCTGAATGTTTCTGAGAGCTTATATATTCTCTATTAGTATCAATGTACGATCTGCCACCTAGAGTATATTGTCTCGTGTTTTTCCTCATTAATGGGAAATCATCAATCATTTTGTTAACCCCACAGCACTTAAAGTTAAATAATTTGTAGATCGGAGAATTGTTTAAATTTGTAGCATTACATTTATAATATTCTAGTGGCAGAGAGCGTGTGTGACTAGTATTAGAATACCCTGCGAAAGAGTATGAAAATACAGATTAATGGGTTCACAGCAAGCGCTATTAGCTGCAGTGCATTTTAAAGGTACAAATCAAAAGCATAATATGGGTATTCTATGGCCAGTATCCACCCACCTGTGCCAAGCACGCGAAGTTTCTAGTCCCATAGCGTGCAGCGACCGACTGTGCGCCATCCCCCCTGCGATTAGTTGGGCAGGTGGCGATGTGCCGCCTAACAATAAAAGCAGACACGGCTCTCGCTTCGGAAATCATTTTCTGTCAAATCGGAGTGCGCAACATGTTTGCTGCGAGATTTATTGTCCTGCTGAGTTTTTATTGGCTTAGCTCGTGCGCAATGGATCCTGCTGATCCGCTACTCGTGGATCTCCCCAATGGCAAGCTACGCGGACGTGATAGCGGTTTCTATTACAGCTACGAGTCACTTCCCTATGCGGAGCCCCCGACCGGAGAACTCAGATTTGAAGCTCCGCAACCGTACAAGCAGCAGTGGACGGACACCTTCGATGCCACCCAGCCCCCCGTGACGTGCATGCAGTGGAATCAGTTCACCTTTGGAGAGGACAGGCTCGCTGGCGTTGAGGACTGTCTGACTGTTAGCGTTTATAAGCCCAAGAATATCAGTCGGAGCAGTTTTCCTGTTGTGGCCCACATGCACGGAGGCGCTTTCATGTTCGGCGAAGCCCGGCAAAATGGACACGAGAATATGATGCGCGAGGGAAATCTCATTCTCGTGAAGATAAGCTACCGCCTTGGGCCGTTGGGTTTTGTCAGCACTGGTGACGCCAGTCTGGCCGGAAACTTTGGATTGAAGGATCAGCGCCTGGCTCTGCTCTGGATCAAGCAGAACATAGCCAGCTTCGGCGGTGAGCCAGAGAACATTCTAGTGGTAGGGCACTCCGCAGGCGGTGCTTCCGTTCATCTGCAGATGCTACGTGAGGACTTCAGCCAGGTGGCCAAGGCAGCAATATCATTCGGAGGAAATGCTATAGATCCATGGGTAATCCATGAGAGTCCACGAGAGCGGGCCTTTGAGCTGGGCCGAATTGTGGGCTGTGGACAGGCAAGCGATTCCATGCAACTCAAGAAATGTCTAAAATCGAAATCCGCAAGTGAAATTGTGTCGGCTGTCCGTAGCTTCCTCGTGTTTTCATATGTTCCGTTTGCGCCATTCGGTCCTGTCGTAGAAGCAGAAGACGCCACAGAAGCCTTCATAACCCAACATCCTATCGATATTATTAAGAGCGGGAAATTTGCCCAAGTCCCTTGGGCTTTGACATACAACACCGAGGATGGGAGCTACAACGCAGCTGTGCTGCTGGAAAAACAGGCTTCCAATGGTCGGGAATTGATGGTGGATCTCAATGATCGGTGGTTAGACTGGGCTCCGTATTTGTTTTTCTACCGTGACTCAATGGCGACCATCAAGGATATGGACGATTACTCCCGCAAACTGAGGCAGGAGTATCTGGGAGATCGGCGATTCAGTGTGGAGAGCTATTGGGACGTGCAACGGCTTTTTACAGACGTTCTGTATAAAAATGGCACGGAGCTTGCATTGGATCTTTACCGCAAACACGGCAAAAGTCCAGTGTATGCGTTTGTCTACGACAATCCAGCCAACACGGGAGTTGGCCAGTTCTTTGCCAAGCGCACTGATATTCCCTTTGGTACGACATTTAGTGACAGTATGTGTAGCTATAATGTGTTCCAATGTTAATATCTTACAGGAACAGGCCATGGGGATGAGTATTTCCTGATATTCGAAAACCTTGTACGAGGCCCTGAGATGCGATCAGACGAGGAAATAATCTCACGGAATTTCCTCCATATGCTGAACGATTTTGTTATCAGCGACAACGGAACTATGACATTTGGAAGCTGCGTCTTCCAGGATAATGTCGGCAGCAGCAAACGTCAGTTGCTTTCCATAACGCGAAATGGCTGCGAGAACCTGCAACTGGAGAGCTTTCTTTAATTATAATAAACATGTACATTTAATACAAATAAAAGCGACTATTGGCGTGTAGTGCACTAGTTCGGTAAAGCTAAACAAAAACGAGAAGGAACGTGTGAGTCGCTTCTGTGGACGCGACTCTACTTATACCCGTACTCAGTCAGTATTACAATTTTTGAGCATATAATTTTTCAGAATTAAAAAAAAAAAAAAATTTTACATTTTACATTTTTTTGCTACAAATGTTCTCTACGTCTACATCTACTATGTATATTATACAGCTAACATGTAGATTGTACATGTTCCATTCAGATTCTACATCTCCTTTGCTAGGGGTTGCTCGCGCACGCGGCAGAGTGTGCGAGCGAGAAAGAGAATGAGTAGCGTTTCTTTGGCTGGGCGGGCGGGGGAAGCAACTGAATATTAAATTTCTTCCTTCTGGCTATAATTATGATCCGATCTGATTCAGATTCAGCAATCTGGTAGATATCGGCAATCTCTACGATACTGGGTTTTTAGTTTTATCGTATCATTAAAATTGTGCCTGCCACAGATTTTCGGCCTTTGTGGGGGCGAAATTTTGAAATACACTTGAAGCAGTGTGATACCACATGAGTCTGGAAACCAAATTTGGTTGCCCTAGCTCTTATAGTCTCTGAGATCTAGGCGCTCAACAAGACGGATAGACAGACAGACGGACAGACCGACATGGCTATATCGACTCGGCTGTTGATGCTGATCATGAATATATATACTTTATGGCGTCGGAAACTTTTCTTATCTGCGTTACACACATCCACTTTTACCACAAACACAATATACCCCTTTTTGAGTAATTTTAAAACGAAACCAGTTACAGCCGATCGAGCCGCTTCTATACGAGATACCCCGGCATTATGCTGCCTTTCGACAGAGGATCTTTTGGTTTTCTCAAAAACATTAGTTCTGTTGTACGATTGTGAGAGTGGGTGCCGAAATGAGTAAACAGAACTAGAGATAACGTAACCCTGTAGTCAGCTCAGCTTCTATGTTTCCATTTAAGTGAGAGAGCTGGCGGTGGAGAGAGAGTGCTCATAGAATGTCATAATACCCTCCACAGACGTGTAGAAAAATAGATTCGATTTGATTGACTGCTGCAAATCTGATAGGCAATTAATTCTTTATGCACATACATATATAAATATATTCGATATGTGTACACATGTGTACATAGGTATTCAATGTTCCCCAATGAGTCTTGTCAAAGTCGAAGCCAAGCATGCGAAATCTCCTAATCTCACATAGCGTGCAGTGATCGATCGCTCGAGAGCTATCCCCCTGAGACTGGTTGGGGCAGGTGGCGAGGCGCCGATAAGACGATTTCTCGACAAGCAATAAAAGCCGACACAGTTTCCACATCTCAAAATAGTTTCTTTCAGTTCGCGACGAAGTGAGCAACATGTACTGTCTAAGATTGATATTCCTATTGGGCTGTCTTTGGATTAGTTCGTCCGCCAGTGATCCAGCTGATCCGCTGTTAGTGGAACTCCCCAATGGCAAGCTACGCGGACGCGATAAGGGCAATTACTATAGCTACGAGTCAATCCCCTATGCTGAGCCCCCGACCGGAGAACTCAGATTTGAAGCTCCGCAACCGTACAAGCAACAGTGGACGGACACTTTCGATGCCACCCAAGAACCAGCACTGTGCATGCAGTGGGACCAGTTCATCGGGGGATACAACAAGCTCTCTGGAGTTGAGGACTGTCTGACGGTCAGCGTTTATAGGCCGAAGAATATCAGTCGGAATAGCTATCCCGTTGTGGCCTATATACATGGCGGCGCCTTCATGTTCGGCGGAGCCGCTCAAAACGGCCATGAGAACTTTATGCGCGAGGGAAATCTCATTCTCGTGAAGATAAGCTACCGCCTTGGGCCGTTGGGATTTGCCAGCACTGGTGATGCCAGTCTGGCCGGAAACTTTGGATTGAAGGATCAGCGCCTGGCTCTGCTCTGGATCAAGCAGAACATAGCCAGCTTCGGGGGCGAGCCAGAGAACATTCTAGTGATAGGTCACTCCGCAGGCGGTGCTTCCGTTCATCTGCAGATGCTGCGTGAGGACTTCAGCCAGGTGGCCAAGGCAGCAATCTCATTCAGTGGCAATGCTCTGGACCCCTGGGTGGTTCAGCAAGGAGGCCGTGGACGGGCCTTTGAGCTGGGCCGCATTGTGGGCTGTGGACAGGCAAGGGACTCTGTGACTCTCAAGAAGTGTCTAAAATCTAAACCCGCGAGTGAAATTGTCTCGGCTGTTCGTAGCTTCCTCGTGTTTTCATATGTTCCATTCACGCCTTTCGGTCCCGTTGTGGAGTCGCCAGATGCCCCAGAGGCCTTCATTACCCAACATCCTATCGATATTATTAAGAGCGGGAAGTTTGCACACGTCCCTTGGGCTGTGACCTATACCTCAGAGGATGGGGGCTACAACGCCGCCCTGCTGCTGGAAAAACAGGCGTCCACTGGTCGGGAATTGATTGTGGATCTCAATGATCGATGGTTTGACTGGGCTCCGTATTTGTTGTTCTATCGTGACTCAATGACAACCATCAAGGATATGGATGATTACTCCTGTAAGCTGAGGCAGGAGTATCTGGGAGATCGGCGATTCAGTGTGGAAAGCTATTGGGACCTGCAACGGATTTTTACTGACGTTCTTTTTAAAAATAGCACGGAGCTTTCATTGGATCTTCATCGAAAACACGGAAAGAGTCCAGCTTATGCATTTGTCTACGACAATCCCGCCAACACGGGAATCGGCCAAGCACTGGCAAAGCGCACTGACATTAATTTTGGTAGGTCTTTTGTGGAGAGTACAGAGCCTTTTAAACAACGATTTCTTCTTACAGGAACGGTGCATGGTGATGACTATTTCCTGATGTTCGAAAATATGGCTCGAGAGCCCCAGTTGCGATCAGATGAGGAAATAATTTCACGGAATTTCCTACAGATGCTGAATGACTTTGTACGCAGCGACAATGGCACTCTTGCATTTGGAAGTTGCGTCTTTCGGAATAATGTCGGCAGCAACCAACTTCAACTGCTTTCCATAACCCGAAACGGGTGCGAAAACCTGGAAGTTGAGAGCTTTCCGTAATTCCAATCGGACAATTATATACAATTATTTTAAAAATAAATTACGGATGACTCTCGATAGACAAGAGATCCTCGATAGCTACTCAGATTCCCTATAAAAAAAAGTCAAAACACGGCAGGGTAGAAGCACGAATATCAATGGGTGGGAGAAAGAGAGATGATCCGCTCCTGTTAAGTATATGTCGGAACTGAAAGTCCATGCTGGAGATATGCTGGAGCCAAGCGGATGAGTTATATAAGAAGGGGTAACTTTTTTTGATCTGGAATATGTGCATGTACTTTATGGGGTTGGAAGGGCATTTTTGTTTGGCTGTTACATACATTTACAGAAATTTAATAAACCCTTGTAATCTCTATGAGTACCGGGCATGGCTCATTTTGGGTATGGAATCGAACAGCCAAAGGCGACTGCAGTTCCGCGAACGTCACAGGGCGGCCCTTTCAGTCGCATGGAATTAATTGTTACGCCTTATTGATTTAGTTTTTGTTTAAGCCGCTTCTGATACTACACTTGAATGCCCATCGGCTTGATATTATTTCAGGTGTTGGATTGATATAGCAGCTGTCGCTAATGAGTGCACAAAAACATGAATAGGCCGCTGGTCAGCGGACTGGACGGCTAGCATCAACAAGTAAAATGTATCGGTTACCGATGCAAATCTTACCATGGGAAAGGAAATGGAGCGGGAAACCGCTGTTCATGCTATTGCTGGCACTCGACGACTACTAATTGTGCAATAAACACAGCTGTTAAATGTTATTTTCATTCGTTGGCACTTTTGTTAATTGAATTGAGGTATTTAATTTATAATTTAAAAAAAAAGAAATGAAAACCGTATCACGGCTTCATACGGGTATTGCTCCCATGGGATCTGTTAAGCTTCGTCCTCGGGCCCGTCGTTTTCAACGCCACCCGTTGGAATACATACTAATATAATATATAGCTCCGATTTAGCTTTAGGCTGATAATTAAACAAATTATTACTGGACGTCCCACTGCAGGGTATATGAACTTCGACGCGTTTGCTTTCATGGCTTTTATTCATAACTTATGTATATATATTTTTGAATATGAATAAAAATAAACGCGAAATACTTCACATATGTACATATTACATACACCCGAAATATTCGAATGACGAGTCTGGTGATTAAGCGATTTGTTCAGGCACAAAGTGACTATAAAGCCTGGTGAAACCCTCCGGTAATGCGCAGTTCTGTTTCGAGGTAATATTCAACATGTACCTGGTGAGATGGCTGATCTGCTTGATACAGCTATGGATACAGTTAGGGGCGGCAGCATCGGTCACCCCAATAGCTCCCCTGCTAGTTAAGATCCCCAATGGCAAGCTACTCGGACGCGATAACGGCCACTATTACAGTTTCGAGTCAATTCCCTATGCTGAGCCCCCGACAGGAGAGCTCAGGTTTGAAGCTCCGCGACCGTACAAGCAACAGTGGACGGACACGTTCAATGCCACCCAAGAACCAGCCCTGTGCATGCAGTGGAATCAGTTCATTAATGGAGACAATAAGCTAATTGGCGTTGAGGACTGTCTAACCGTAAGCGTTTATAAGCCGAAGAATAGCAGTCGGAATACCTTTCCGGTCGTGGCCAATATACATGGCGGCGCCTTCATGTTCGGCGGACCCAGACAATACGGACACGAAAACATAATGCGCGAAGGAAATGTCATGCTCGTAACAATAGGCTACCGCCTTGGTCCGTTGGGATTTGCCAGCTCTGGTGACGCCGATTTGTCTGGAAACTTTGGATTGAAGGATCAGCGCCTGGCTCTGCTCTGGATCAAGCAGAACATAGCCAGCTTCGGCGGTGAGCCAGAGAACATTCTAGTGATAGGTCACTCCGCAGGCGGTGCTTCCGTTCATCTGCAGATGCTGCGTGAGGACTTCAGCCAGGTGGCCAAGGCAGCAATCTCATTCAGTGGCAATGCTCTGGACCCCTGGGTGGTTCAGCAAGGGGGCCGTGGACGGGCCTTTGAGCTGGGCCGCATTGTGGGCTGTGGACAGGCAAGGGACTCTGTGACTCTCAAGAAGTGTCTTAAATCTAAACCCGCGAGTGAAATTGTCTCGGCTGTTCGTAGCTTCCTCGTGTTTTCATATGTTCCGTTCACGCCTTTCGGTCCCGTTGTGGAGTCGCCAGATGCCCCAGAGGCCTTCATTACCCAACATCCTATCGATATTATTAAGAGCGGGAAGTTTGCACAGGTCCCTTGGGCTGTGACCTATACCTCAGAGGATGGGGGCTACAACGCCGCCCTGCTGCTGGATAAACAGGCGTCCACTGGTCGGGAATTGATTGTGGATCTCAATGATCGATGGTTTGACTGGGCTCCGTATTTGTTTTTCTATCGTGACTCAATGACAACCATCAAGGATATAGACGATTACTCCCGTAAGCTGAGGCAGGAGTATCTGGGAGATCGGCGATTCAGTGTGGAAAGCTATTGGGACGTGCAACGGATGTTCACAGACCTCCTGTTTAAAAACAGCGTACAGACTGCCGTGGATCTACATCGAAAGTACGGAAAGAGTCCAGTGTATGCCTATGTCTACGACAATCCTGCTGATTTGGGTGTTGGTCAGATTCTATCTAGGCGCTCTGATGTACACTTTGGTAAGTTCGAATTCAAAGCTTTGAAAACTCTTTACAAGTGTTTCATTTTCCAACAGGTACGGTTCACGGCGACGACGTCTTCCTCATATTCAACGTTCCATTCGTGCAAGTAAATCGTCGCCCCGATGAACAAATTATTTCACGCAATTTCATAAAGATGCTGGAGTACTTTGCTCTTAGCCCCAACGACTCGATGTCATATGGCGACTGCGTTTTCCACAATAATGTTGGCAGTAAACAAATGCAACTGCTTTCAATAACGCGAGACGGTTGCGAGAACAAGCAACTTGATTATTCTATAAAGAGTTCTTTAATCTGATGTTAAGATTGCGGAACAGCACTCGAAATAAACATAAATTGGTTTAGCTGGTGATTTTCATATAATCGTGGAATTATTCAATTAGCTCCTCTAAGTCCTCCTCGTCCTCTTTGTCTTCCTCGCCCTGCACATTGCCATACAAGTCGATTTTGCTGTCCAGAAAGCGAAAATCTTTGAGGATATGCAGCCTGTTGCTGAATCCAGCGATGGACATAAACTTGATCGGTTCCGTTTGCCACACTGTGGAATAGCAGGCAGTGTGCTCCACCGGAATATTGGCCTGTAGCACTCCATTCAGGGTGTAGGACTGCACATGATTGTGTTCGCCGCCAATGAACACGCCGTCATCCACAAAGTCGCACACATGCACACGTCCGGGAAAGTCAAACACGCAGGTGGACTCCAAGGACCGCAAGTGGAAGATCGATGCTCGTGGACCGCCGCCACACAGCAGCCAGTCGTCGTTGACGGCCACGGAACCGATCCACTTTCCCCAATCGGGACGAAGCAGCTGTGACTTTTTATACGGCTCTATCATTGACGTCTGGTCCAGTTGCTTGGTGTTCCAGACTCGCACTGTTCCATCCTCTGCACCTGAGAAGATTTGTCCGTTCGAGTTGCCAACCACAGAGTGCACGTAGTCTGTGTGCCCGCGATAGTCCCGCTCTATGCGCCCATCTTCGAGACTTATTTGATAAATTACACCGTCTCCACAACCGGCGAACAGGGTGTCGGTGTCTGGGCTCAGCCACAACGAATTCACGTCCGGCACTTCCACGGCATCTGCTTGCATCGGTATTTTAACCTCCCATGAGCGTTTCGTACTCAACACCTCGTCGTCTTCGTTCCAGTGCAGCCCATAGACGACACCCACTGTCCCGACTATCAGAAAGTCTCGACGAAATGCCAAGCAATTGATATCAACAGCAATACCCTGCGGGAATATCTTCAGTTTGCCTGGGGGCTCCTCGGTGCCTTTGTCCAGTTCTTTCAGGCTGCAAGTGGAATGTCAAATGGTGTTTATCATGGATGCGACAAACCAAACAAATGTTACCTGAGTACAAATATATCGCCAAAGAGATTGCCAGAAAACAGGTACTGCTGGGACGAAGATATAATCTGCGCCAGCACATTGTTGTATGCCCGTTTCAGATCTTTATACTTCATATTTGTTGTTAAACGTGGGATTTTTTGTTATGTTTTGTTTATACCGGCTTGGGATGAGTGTATATATTGATGTACAAATATATCGATATATATGCTGCTTAAAAAATATTGGTATTTTTGTGCGATAGACGGCACTTATATTTCAAATGAATAAAATTCTAAAACTAATAGTAAATGTCACAAATTCCAAGCAATGTATGACACTTGAGTTTCTCTGCCTACTTTACCTTTTTTATGGATGTTTAACGGATTTTAGAAAGCGGCACCGAGTAAAAGCTAAATGTAATTTATTATTGAAGTATTGTTGGGAAAATAATATATTTTTCATATATAAGAATATATTGTACTTTAGATTTTCAAAACCCAACAACCCTACATCGCAACGCAAGCAACTGGCCACATTCTGTTAGTGTTATCGCATTTTAGGCGCGACATTCAAACGCAGGAAATATTTATTTGAAATTTCATGTACTCACCCAACTGGTTTCAAAGTTCAATTAATTATTTAAGGAAATACAGTAAATGGTAATTGCAATCAGCCGCACAAAATCACTCGCTGGCGTCGCAATTTACATCTGGTATAAATAATTGTATTTTCCATGCACATGTGTGATTTAGGATGCTTTAAATTATGCACGGACAGATACAGATTCCAATAATTGTACTTACCGTAAATGTTTATATACGGGTTGCACACATTAATTACCATGCCGAATACCGTGCAAGTCCAATAAACGGAATATGTAAGTACATCTGAATGGTCGGCTTAACTTTAGCTCGAGTTCGATGGCACCGCATAAGTGATATTGTTATTTGCATTGTCACAGTGAGCATGCGGTAGGTTAAGAAAGTCCAATCTAAAGCCAGTGAATGCTTTATTCATCGCTTAACAGTATAGGTATTAATTAATGCAAGCAAACAGTGACGTATCAACTATGTTTAGATCAGGTAATAATTTGGTTTAAGGCTGAATCATGCGATTGAAGAAAGTCCCATGTGACGTCAAGTCGTAAGCCTAAAGCCAGGTGCGCGTGCTTATAATCATGTTTTATTTGCCTTTATGATGGTTGCCCATTTATGATTTGCTTACCGAAAAGGTAGTTTCAAATTATATTACTTCATCATCAGGTTTCTTTTGTTCAAACACTAGTCAATGCCATGTCTTTGTGTGTCGTTAGAAAAAACAAAGATTCAACTGAGATCTCCCGCCTAGGATCCAGGAATTTATTAAATAAAACTGTATATTAAAACATTGCACATATTGCTCTAGAGTCTAGACTTTAGGATCTATCCATGTAGCTTCTATGATTAAGGGGTATGCGGTAGTCGCGCCTTATCAACAGGGCATTCACACTGGTTTAGTTATACGTTTTTGTTATCGGCAGCTGTGTGTTGTGGTGGGGAAGGGGAGACTGTTTTTGTCGAATGTTCTAATTTATATGCAAATGCCAAATGGGTTATTAATGTCGAGACAGTAAATTTATAATTAATTATTTCGGCGCCACTACGCCGCTCGGCGTCCCCGACAACATAATTCACGTATTCAATGCTTAAACAAACAAAATTCCAAAGTTCCAGAATTCCCATAAAGCCTAGAACTTCTTTTGGGGCATAGAATAGTTTGAAATGCGGTTTTCCAACTCCATGAGTTCTTTATGTGTTGGCAAAACATATCAAGTTTTATGGGCGGCTTCAGCTGCGCTTCATTTGACTGAATATTAATGGCATGCAAATTTAATTTGACAACTTGACGTATTATGCGAATTGGAAATGAGATTCGCAGCATCGCAAATTCCTTTAAACGATTTGTTTTGACGACTTTCTGAAAGTTTTGATGGGTGCCGCTACGTAGGCTTTTACCACGTGCTTTTTGGGAAACCCGACGATGGCGGCGGAACTGCACTGGAAGGGGAACTAGTATTCCGAACTTGATATCCGACCCCGTCTGGATAGCTGGCGCCAAAAGTTTCTTTGCATTTGGCTAACGGCAATCAAGCGATCAAGCGATCATCTTTCTTTTTTGGCTAATGGTAAATGCTGTTGATGAATGTCAGTTAAATTTGTTTGCTACACAACGTCATGGGGATTTGTTATTGTGTGCGCCGATTTGGCCCAGTATTTGGCTTTTTTTTGGGAATTCCCATCGCTATAAATTTCTTCGCCAACTTGTTTCTCGGCGTCACAGCAGCCACTCTTTCCTCTTTCTTTTCGATCTTCGGTCTAGCCAATTCTGTTTTCGGTTGAGTCTTCAGCATAAAATGAAGTCCAACCGGATCTAGTTTGTCTATGCCGCCTAAGAAGTGATCCCGCCTACAGCGCCTCCAAAAATGGGGCAGGACAGGGTAGGGTGTGGGGAAAGCAACTTTTAACTTGTGTGGCGACTACTGGTTCTACGCCGTTGCATATTAAATGCTCATTCGCTGGAACATTAATTAAATTGTAAGACCCGTGCAAAGTAAATGGTGTTGGGGCTGACGTCAATGAACGATTTGTTATGCCCATTCGGATACCGATACCCCATCGCTTGGTCAATGCTCTCTCCGTCCGTCTAATTGGATAGGTGTCCCGCCCCCCCCACTACAGCCTCCGATCCTGTCAAGGTCAGCTACTTTCTCGTCCAAGGTAAGCAACATTCATGGCGCCAGAGCCCCAAGCCGCTGAACTTTTTCGACAACAACAACGATTTTCGGGTGTTCCCGACTGCTCATTTGCATTAATTTACATATCGTATGCCATTCCCGGTCGAGATATTCAGATTTGAGATCGAATAAATCTTGCCGGTTCTTGCAGTAATATAAACGTATGTAGCTGAATCGCTGAAAAATGAAATATGCATTCAGTTTGGCCACTAAAACGTAAATTGGTTCGAAAAGCTGAAAGCTTAATTTTTATTGAACCATTTTGATGGATGTGAACCTGTTCCATAAACTTTGATGATGTGCTGAAAACTAATTGGAAGATTAGATGGCTCAACCTGCCGGAATAATAAAGAGACACCACCCAGAACGGGAAGCTATACTCGTGGTGGACCGGACACGTGCTCTCCATGGCATTTCAGGGACGGGCCCGAAAAGTTCACGTTCAGCGCTTTTGTATAATGCATTTTCACACCTTTATGTCCAATTAATTTTATTAGTGTTTGGTATTTATACATTTTCACCTGCGAATTGGCAATGTAAACATACCCATCAATTTGGTTCTTTAGTGAAATCTACGAGTCCGGGATGCTCTATCAAGGTGTACAGCATGTGGAACTGCCTTGACTACATTTCGCACATCCCTGCCCAGTCCCTGCTTCAGTCGAAAACAAAGCCATTTCGTCAGAGATTCTTGCAAGTCGACTGCTAATTGGTAAATAAAGTTAATGCGTTTGACAATCCCCAGGTGTTGTTCATCAACAAAATTCCATGTTGGCGCCACACTAATTAACTCCCATGTTCAAATATCTGTATCTGTATCTGTTTTCGATCTGCGGTTTTTTAATTTTTATTTTTTGATTTAGTTTGACAGACAAGAGGAAAATTTAAGGAAAACCACCTTAGAACGGGATGAAAACAATACCACTGATTGAGTCAACATTGTTGTTATTCCTATCTGGAACGTCATCTACATAATAAAATGTTTATAATAAACAGACAACGAATCTTGATTCATCACAGTTCGACTTAAATTGGCCCGAAAGTTTCGCTGGAAATTAGCAGCATTTTTGGACTTTGAGGCGTAAATGAATAACTTATTAATACAAATTCTTATGGCGCCAGTGAATCAAAAAAAAAAAAAACCTATCTGGAGTCCCCGTTGTTTACAGGCCGCGCCACACCGAAAATGTATGTGAGAAGAGAAGAAGAATATGCAATAAAGATGCGCAAAAGCAACTTTCAAAAAAAATTCCACCTTTTCATTTGAATGAAACATTTTCAACTGAACAGAATAAAATAAAATCGTATAGAACAGACCAGACCAGAGGAAAAAGACAAACAAAACTAGTCTTTTAATCAGAATTCCAAAATTGTTTATACATAATTAAAATCGTATATGTCACCCCAATTCACTTCTCCGACAGGGGCTGGGTCTGGACCAGAGCTTAGGTGTCCGCTCAGCTGGAATACCTGTTCTATTGTCGGTCTATTGTCTAACATTTTCTCTTTCCATTTCATAATTTGATTTCGCTCTCCAGCGTACACATCTTGCGCAGTTCAAAGAGCAGACTCTGATATTTTTGGGAATAGTCGAAATCAGAGCAACGCCATTTCACTTCCGTTTCCCCATTTAGGCATCAGGGATTGCAGTTCAAAATTTTGAACTTTGCTGTCGCGCGCTCACAGCTAGGCAATCATTGGCGTAGTATCAGCATGTACATACATATATAAATACATATGTATTTATACACAAAGTGTTCGCCTTAAACGAGATTTTACGACCTGTTGGCTGTCATAATAACAAGCTACTGAAGAGGAGTCTCCCAGTCCCCCAGGCCCCCAGGCAAAGCAGAAGAGAGCGGAGCGGCTTTAGCGAATACTAAACACTCGCAGCGACAGAGGCGGAGATAAATTTGAGAGTGCCGGGGAGACGCAACTGGCCGCCCCAGACCCCAGAAAACCGGCAAAAATATTTCGCTGAGCGGCGACGTATAAAATATCACGACTCCGTCAGAACGGATTTAGATTGAAGCGAACGTTCAAAGCGCGCAGATCCACAAACCACAAACCACAACGGAAGCAACCAAGTGACAAAATTTTGATTATTGCGGTCCCAAAAAGAATTAGAAGAAAGATCAGTGACAAGTGCAACAGAAAAGAAAACAGAGAAATGGCAGCCAAAACAATGCCTCTGCTCCGTCCCCACACCGTACTGGGCCTCGGCCTAATTGTGCTCCTCATGTGGGAGCCAGCCCCCAGCACAGGCTACGCCATCGGCCAGTCCAAGTTCGGAAAGATCGAAAAGTTCCCCTACCAAGTGATGCTGATAGGAAAGCAGCTGTGGCGCAAGCGCATTCTGTGCGGCGGCACATTGCTGGACAGGCGTTGGATACTCACTGCCGGCCACTGCACCATGGGAGTGACCCACTATGATGTGTACCTGGGCACAAAGAGCGTGGAGGATACGGAACAGTTGGGAGGACTGGTGATCCGATCAAACAAATTCATCGTCCACGAGCTTTTCAATCCGGAAACGGCTGCCAATGACATCGCTCTGGTCAAGCTGCCAATGGATGTGGCCTTTACAGCGCGCATCCAGGCAGCCTCGTTGCCGAGCAGACAGCGGCACGACCAGTACACGGGCATGAGCGTGGTGGCCAGCGGATGGGGCGCCATGGTGGAGATGTCCAACTCGGACTCGATGCAGTACACCGAGCTTAAGGTGATCTCGAATGAGGAGTGCGCACAGGAGTACGATGTGGTTACGTCTGGTGTGATGTGCGCCAAGGGCCTGAAAGACGAGACCGTGTGCACAGGCGATTCCGGTGGCCCCCTGGTGCTCAAGAACACCCAAGTGGTTGTGGGCATTACCAGCTTTGGTCCAGCCGATGGCTGCGAAACCAATATTCCCGGAGGCTTCACCAGAGTCACACACTATTTGGACTGGATTGAGAGTAAGACTGGTGGTCTCACTGCACCACAGCGGGTCCCCTCAACTCAGCATTATGTCCGGCCACAGCAACAGTTGCAGCATACGCAGCAGCATCCGCAGCAGAATCCGCAGCAGCATCCGCAGCAGCATCAGCATCTGTATAGTGATGACAATCTCATTTAGGATGAGTACGTCTAGCCGTAACCCCCCTTTGACTGAATCTTTATAGCTTTATCTTGAAAGAATTCTCTAATCGTGTGATATATGTCTAAATACTCCCCTTCAGTTAGCTAATGTCTCCATCAAAATTTGTACATTGTTCTTAGCTTTAACTATTTAAACATCTATATATTTATTTTAATTGTAAGGCTGGAGCAAATGACAGCTCCAAATGAAAAACAAAACCCCACTGAAATGTGGTCTCCAAACAAAAAGAAAGCATACAAATGCGATGCAAAATATAAAGAAATTGTATATGAAAATAAAAAACAAAAATCCAAACAACAAACAACAATATCAGAAAACCTGCTTGAGCTCTTCTTTCTTGTCTGTTTAGTCATGATGATTTTTTGTGGAATTGGAATTCCCGAACTCGGAGATCGCGTCCAGCGATAATCGTCCGATAAAAACTTTTACGTCGTCGCCATGTGATAATTTCTGATCAGTTAACTGTTTCGCCACTATACACCCAGGGGTATCTGTCTGTAACTTTATTCTTTCAATGCTGCTGCTGCTGCCTTCTACATAATTCACGAAACGAACAATTATTAGGCATGCTGCCGATTCTGTTGCGCCGCCTCTGCCTGTCGCCAACCACTTCGTTTACATAAATATCTATGTTGACTTTGCGCTCGACTCGATCACTAAGAACACGAACTCGACGAAGCCCACTCCAGTTCAGTGCGGAGGGGAACACTCCACATGATGACGCTCGACTGCTCCACATGGTATTTAGTTCCGTGATAAAAGACAGATGATTCGGTTCCTACCAGTTTCGAAGAAGAACAGATATTGCCGATTCTTGATACGATTTTACTCTTGCTGTTTGTTGGACTATTATTGATTTGCCAAAAATTATGTCAGATCTATTTTGCATTTAACACTCAAAATTCGTGACGCAAACATTCGTCAGCATACAACTTAAAATTTATAAACAATCGATATCATCTTGATTGAAATATATAACCCACTTCTAATTGAACATGGCTCGCATAATTGCCTGACCCGACCGATTCGATAAACATACGCCAGATTTCAAAACAATTCGATCATTTGCTCGACGATCTACATTTGTATTTAACTTCTGACTAACGCTGCGCTGCTAATGCAATAAACGTTTTGCGAGTCCAGCTCATTTGAGTTCCCATGTGTCATAAACAAATATATAAATCTGCGAAGATTTTAAAGGGAAATACCCATACGCTATCCCATAAACAAACAAAATTTAACGAGTCGTTTTAAGTACTTTATGGCACTCTTGTAATTAATAAATCTTGCAGTACAATTTGTTTCGTTTCTCTCCCACAACATTTAGAAACTAAAACTGGTTTAGTTGGTGTAGAATGAAGTTGTACTTTTTAATTTGTATCATTTAAGCACGTGGCTCTCACACTCGCATTCAAGGCGAATTTGTTTCGAATGTTTTCCTTTCGAACAACCTGTGCCCTTGGTGCTTTCAGTTAAGGCTTATAAATATTTAATCAGAGGCTAGCTCACGGAAAGCGACTAACATTCGTGTAAAGGTATATTTGCATTTCGCTCATTAATTTAACAAAAATATGTACTAGCATTTCGATTAAGAATTGTGATTCTGGAATAATGAATTAAAAGGTAAATTCATTTTGAAACTATCATTTTCCGCATCGCATGTAAATCATGGACTAAATCTTGAATTAATGTGTAAATTTATTTAGAGCATTAGATCAACCATTTCTCGCATGCGATTAATGGGATAACATGACATTCATTTAAAAACTAATAAATTTGGTGCCTCGCTTTCACTGTTGCAGATTTGTGAGATTTCTTTGAGTTTAGCGTTAAAAAGTGCGTATAAATTTTTGGCTGTATTGCTAACTTTGGTACTGTTTCTTAATAAGAGTGCTCCCCACTAGCACTGAACGGCTGATTTCGCCTTCTTCTTGAGCACACAGTCGATGGCCTGGACAACCTCCTGGAAGATGTCATCAACATCACGCTCGGCATTGATCTGTGGATAAGCGAAAGTTATTTAATAAAAGTTGATGCACGTTTGCCTTAGAACCTGCCGTCAGGGTTTTGTCTCCGTATAGCTCCAGAATGGCGCTTGTATTCAGCTTGAAAGTCTGCAGACGCGTCCTAATGGTTTGTTCATTGTCATCGGCCCTTTTCACAGCAGCTGCAGCGGCACGCGCCATTATACGCTTCAGCATGGTGTCTTCAGAGCAATCGAAGTACAAGGCCAGATCGGCGGGACCAATACGCTCCTCAAAGGCAACGCCCTGGTTCTTCTCACGCGGATATCCATCGATGAGAAAGCCCTTCGAGCTACCCTTGGCCCGGCTGATAGCATCGTTCAGCAGCGAAAGGACCTCGTCGTTGGACACCAAGCCGCCCCTGCTCATGACTTCCTGCAGTTGACGACCCTTGTCCGATCCTGAAGCCACCTGAAAATGTTAAATCGCAATTAAATTTCACAATTTCACATTGCACTATGGAAGATTTTTCGAGCAACATTACCTCATTGCGCAACAAGTCGCCGCTGCTCAGATGTGTGAATCCGTATTTCTCCACAATCTTAGCACACTGAGTGCCTTTGCCGCAGCCGGGACCGCCCAATATCCAGATAATGGGGATTTCAGACTGCAAAAGTGGGATACAGGTTAGACGGGACCAACACACAGACTCGAGTAACATCTACAATTAGCTAAGTTAGTGTTTACTTAGACGCAAGCTTAGTTCAGTTAGGGAGCAGGGGGGGGTCTTAAAAGGTTGGTCTTGAAGCGGCGGCCACACAGTACATTGTACATGCCATACATCAAATAAACCTAGTAGAAGATTACGTTGCCCGTCAGTCTGCCTTGTGACTGGGGCTACTTACAGCGGCTTGAGCCTTTCGGAGCTCCTCTGCTTTGAGCTTCTCCTGGGCCTCCTTCTTCATGGCCATTTGGTGACACATAAATAACTACACAATCGAGACAGTTGTTGGGGATGGTTAGATATCTCAATGTTTCAGTGTTATTGAGCTACATATATCTGAGATGTTTTCGCTTTGTTAAAATTTAGTTATTAGTATTCTGGGAACTTTGCCAACAGAAAATTTACCTCAAATGTTTGCCGACAATAAACTTCCTAGCTATAGAAACAGGCATGCCACCAGGCACAACATCCATACATGTGCATCCCATGAACACCCCTCTTTATATACGAGTTCGAGGGCGAGAACTAATAAACTGTATATTCCCACATGACATTGATCTTGAGCAGAAGGCTTTGGGTACGAGGGGCCGAACGAGCACAGAGCTCACCGCTCCCAGCCATCCATAGCACGTCGAAGATCTCATTCTCATTCAGCGCAATTGGCACCTCTCTCCAGCCCCAAGCAATTGTATTTATGATAGTTTAATTTCAACGAAAAAATCTCAATTACTGTAAACAATTGAGTCGCTTTTTTTGCGGCTCGTGACTCCATTGCGTGTGTAGGTGGTTCGTGTGCTTTTATCCACTGCTTGTGGATGTGGATCGGATCCCCCGCTGACATTCGCCTGTTCCGCATTGTCGCACCCCAGCAAAAACTTGGGGAAAGGGGCAATTCACCAGACAAACAGAATGAATGAATTCTGGCAGCTTTGATGATGCGCAGGTTGTTCTATAGCACCTTTTGGTTGATGTTGTTGTTCGGAGCATACATACATACATTTTGTTTTCGTATTCTTTTTTTGCTCTGATCTCCTGGCTTTTCTTTTAGCACATTTTCTACGCATCTTAATTGTTGCGTGTGAAAATTTATGATTCTCAATCGGATTTACGTAATTTCGTTATATTTTTAGTAGTTCAGTGACTTTTCAATGTCATTCTCAAGAGTCCGCAACTAGGGCGTTCCGTGTCCAGCGTTAATATTTCAACACTGACCTCTAAACACACTTGTGCATTACGTACAAATATTCGTATGAACAGTTGTTAAAGTTCCCGCATTGAAACTGCCAATTATAACAAAACTATTATTTAAGTTAGACCACACATGCGCTCTGGTCAAACGGAACTGCAAAACTATCCAGCTAGTGGAGAGGAATTTTTTGGGAAGCCAACTTTTGCTCTTTCAATCCAAAGATTGCTGCTGTTTTTATTGTAATTAATTTAATCATTCCATCCGTCGCGACTGAATCCAAACCGGCATGACTGTCTAGTTCGGGTAGCGTCAATAAACACATTTAACTGCTCTGGCGATGATGCTGGAGACTGGAGACATGCTAATGAATCAAGCTCCGCCAGAAATTCCTGAGTATCGAGCAACTGGTCATAAATATATGCAAATTTATAGGAATTTGACGTCAAAATTCAGTGTGTTTGGAATGTGAAATTTCGGCTTTTTACCGCGATCGATCCAGCCATTTGAGTTGCTAATTTGTTAGTTGTTTGTGTTTGTGTGCTTTGGGGGAATTTCACAGGCACGTAATCGTCGCTATTAGCCGAGTCTCTATTTATACCAGATCAGCGGTGAACAGCTGATGGAGCCTCTAAGCTGTGAGTAGAAAACGTAGCATCGGATGCGATGCAATGCGGACTATGTGTAAGAGTACGTGTACTCCCCCCGATGGCAATTGCAGCGACTTGCAAGGTCAAGTGCACAAATGCAAGTGTCGTGGAAGTGGCTCAAGGTCGAGTCGTATATGCAATCCCTAAACTCTCGCTCTCGCTGTTCGACCGGGAGGGGAAGTAAACAAAATTCGAAAGGAAAGAAAATCTGATATAAGTGGCATACAAATAAAAATAAATCGGAGCAAAGCAAAAAAAATCCAAACAAATGTGCGCGGGGATACGAGTACAGTCACACTAGCACACACTCTCTCTCTCACTCACCATTGTGATGTATACGAGATATATGCGTTGCTTCTGAGGGACTTTCGTAGAACAAATCGCGAACTTTTCGGTAGTTTAAGAGCCGTCGTTGGACTTTCTTGGCTAGCCTTGTTCCTTGTTGTCGTTGTTGTTGTGGATTTGCTCAGCGCCAAGTTATTCGATTTCTCCGCCCGACGATTTTCCAACACCCTCACTCGATGCAGCGTATGTTGCGAGTGACTGAATGAAAAGGCTTTCGGCTAACGGTTTCAGTACGCGTAGACGAGGCGTTGACGCAAGCTTTCGCTGTGAGCTTTTCGTGTTCCGTGTGCTTTCTGCTGTTGGTGTGCTGTGGAGCTAAAGTTGTATTTGTTCCGATTTGATTTGAATGTCTATGGCTATGGTGCTGTATTTGAATTCCAAGCAACTTGAATTTTGAGGCTCTAGCGTCCGATTGAGATTTGGGGCCCTCGGTTCTTCACCAGTGTCTCCATGTTGGGAACTAGGTCCTCGAACACTTCATTGGCATCCCGCTCGGCATTGATTTGCATCGTTATGTTCGAATATTTTTGTAGCACTGCCTTGGGTTCTTTCTTATTGGTATCACCTTGCACATCCAACGCAATGATCATAGTAGGCGGCCCAAGACGATCCTCCAATACCTTGGCTTCGGCCTCGTTGTGCGGATAGCTATAAATATGCGCATGCAGTATAAATTAATAGAGGGATATTACATCATATGGAGACCAATATTTTACCCATCGATTAAAAAGCCCTTTATTCCGCCCCGTTGGCCCATGATTAGCTTTTCCACCAGCGGCACTATATCGGCCAAGGGTACTTCCTTGCCATCTTTACGTATTGCTTCGAACTTTTTGCCATCTGCACTCTTAGCCTCAATCTGGTGAAGATAAAAATGTCTCAACTTGTATTGCTATTGCGATTGTCTGATTTGTGTCACCTCTTTGTCCACCATGGCGCTGGGATTGATGTGTGTAAAGCCATATTTCTCCACAATTTTTTGTACTTGGACGTCTTTGCCGCTGTTCGGGCCGCCAATTATCCAAATTATTGGTGCGTTCTGAAATAACACATATGACAACAGATAAGTGGCCAATAACTCTCCTCCCCTCCCCATATTATGCTTACCATTTCCGGGAGCAAATTTTGTGCAGGCCAAAATTCTAAACAGTATAAACAATAAACTAATTTTCTTCGAATGTTTTGACAGAACTTCTCCTGTCAGCACTTTGTGGCACAAAAAGTAATTGGCAACTACAACAGTTTAGGCGCATTAGGCAATTTTTGAGGCGCATATAAAAATAATTAGACGTACATTTTATTGAGGTAGCACATCCGCAGAATCCGACATCATCAACTAATATAGTACAAGAAGGCCTGTATCTGTTTCGATTCGCTAACGGACACGACGAGCAGTGGCGCTGTATGGAGCTGTTGACGCTGGCTCTGGGCAATCTCACTGTGTGTGGGAAACAGCGCATCGGGCGGGAGAATCATGACGTTGAAAGTGGGTGTTTTCGGCGTGCGCTTTTTGAAACCTTCATTATGAAGATACAAGTCAAATGATATCCTGCGGGAAGGTAGAATTGTATCATCAACGGCTGGGTAATCTCTGTTTTTAAGCTGCACAATATCGAATTTGTTAAAGACACTCTTGAATCTGGCAAAGGTCGCTTCTGTCTTTGGCAGCTCTACCAGGCTCTTGGCCGTCGATAGACATGCTTTCTTGCAGCCAGGATCGCCGTTCGACACTGTATTTGCTTTTCGCTTTCGTGTGTCAAATTTGAAGTCGATCGGTTCTCCGCAATTCTCATTCTCTTTGATATTTGGCCACACGATTAGCTGTTTGATATCTTCCATACGTTTCTCCACAATCGCATAGAGCGGTGAAGCTCTGATATGTGAAGCTACTGGGATATTCCCAGTCCTCTCCTCCAGCAGAGCCCAGATGCAATCTGCTCTAGTTACTGCTTCTGTTGTTGGCTGATGGCGCTTGTGCCTAACCACTATGTAACCAGCGCGAGACATCGTTGAATAAACCAAGTAATTGCTGAACTTTTCGCTCTCCAGTTCTCCAAGCAGCAAGACATAGGCCTGCTCCACTGAAACATTCACGCCATGGTACTCCAGCTGCAGGCGACCCTGGAATTGGTTTCCGTGTAAATAAAAATCGATACGGAATAATATATATTACCCACCAACTCTAGAAGGAACAAGGCCTCGTAGTATTCCAAATATTGTTTACCCTGCACGCTGTATCCGAAGCTCTCGAATTTGCCATCTTTGCGTAAAATTGCCGCTGCTTGCTGTTCTTCATCCCAAGTGGCCAGAGCCCTCCCCCCGAGCCGTTCAATGCGTGGCACTGACAGTTGAGCTCGCAGATTAGCTGAAGTAGCATTAACATTATATTTAACTGATTTACATCAACAATACAACTTACCAAGAGCCGTGGTAATTTCCTCGAGTTCAGCTGCACTTCCCTCATTCTGTGTGCGCTTCAGGCCACCGCACGGGGCTTCAATCTCCAAATGGCGGTGCTTAATAAGTTGCTCGCCACTGACATTCGAAGAATTTATTAATTGCCTTGAAGATTTCATTCATTAATTACCTTAAAAATGTGTTTGTTGGATTAATTTCAACCAATTCCATTTTGCACCAGTGTGACCATTTGTGTCCATTTTACAATTATTTGAGCCCGATACTATCACGATAGTATCGACTGTTTTTTTTTCAAAACATTCAACGTTGATATTCCTCGAATTTGAAATTCCGTTTAATATTACTAGCTAGCTGGAACTCTCAGCCCTAAACAAATAGTTTTATCCGATAGATACATAAATTTTGTTGAGGATTGGCTAGTTTTCAGAACTATTTTTCATTGGATTGTTTACATATTAAGGTTCAAACAAAAGCGGCCAAAGCATAAAACGTAAATGTTGACTAAATGTGACGTCAGTGTTGCTGGTCAACCAAGTTTCTTTTATGCGTATGTACTTTTGTATACCTTATTTCTTTTAATTGGTGTTAAATGTTTTGTTCCAAGCTCCATTGAAACATTATTTATGATTTTATCCTAGATTAGCATTATTAATAAGCGGAAATCAACATTTGTACATAATACGATGTTACTTACATACATACATACATATACATATGTACATATAAGTATGCCAGGTAGTAATACCATAGTATAGTGTTTTTGTATTGCTTTAGCAGTAACATGGACGGAAGCTACATATATATGTACATTATATATTGTATAGTTTATTAAAAAATCAAAAAATACAATTTATATGTGTGGTTTAATAGGAGTGGGCGGGAGGCCCAGAATATTCGATAAGGACTTTATTAAGGATCTAAAAGCCATGGAACGCACAGATCGGGCTGCACAATGAATAGACTTGAGAAGTCCTTGAAAAGGAATCTAAAAAATTATGATTTTTTCCCGTTCACGGGTAGGCGTCGCACGCCCCGATCGGACGAGAAACAGCGGACTTATAGCGATTTAAAGGCAATATCCTTATTGTCCTTGAAGCGAAACGATGGGGGTAATCCTGCCGATTACGAGGATACTTATCACATCCAGATCGGATGAAAAATGACAGAGAAAAGTAAGTATTTAAGACTGGGGGGAATATCCTTGATCCTTGGTCCTTTATAAGGACTTCACAAAATCGAGGATTTTCTTCCGATCACGAGGACACGTACCACGTCCTGATCGGTCGATAAATAACGGAGTTCAAGCGATTTAAATAACGCTAAAATTATTTAGCTTTTGAGCCTAATAGTTTCAAAAAGTTAGTTCCAGCATTGGCCGTCGTTAATCATGGGGGCGCTAGTGTGCAAACAAAATTAATTGTTGCACAGTTGCGCCCCCATGGCCAACAACGGTCACTGCTGGAACTAAAGTATGGTAGTTCCAGCAATAGCCGTACAATACTGGGGGCGCCACTGTGTAAATAAAAAATTTTGTTGTTGCACAGTGGCGCCCCCATAATGAGCGACGGCCACTGTTGGAACTAAATTATTATAGTTCCAAAAATAGCCGTTAATAACTGGGGGCGCCACTGAGTAAATCAAAATTTTTTGTTGTTGCACAGTAGCGCCCCCATAATGAGCGACGGCGACAGATGGAACTAAAGTATGGTAGTTCCAAAAATCACCGTTCATTGTTGGGGGCGCCACTGTGCAAAAACAAAATTTTATTTGCACAGTGGTGCCCCCATTTTTGAGCGGCGAAATCTGGAACTACCATACATTCATTATTCAGCATTATTTAAAATGCGTATAACTCTGCCATTTCCAGTCCGATCTGGGCGTGTTACGCCTCCTCGTGATCGGGAGAAAGCCCCACATCGTTTGACGTCAAGGACAATAATAATATCCTGGAATCGTTATAAATCCTTTATCCCTTCGCCATTTTTCGTTTGATTAGGGCGGGCCACGCCTCCATGTGTCCGCCATAGCCGATGGACAGTTTGGATCCTAACAATCCTGGAAAAGTTGGTCCTTCGAGGATTTGCCCCTATTTAGCCGAGATATCAGTCAGCTTTTGTCATTAAAAAGAGTTTTTTGTTTTTTTTTTTAATTTTTATTAAATTTTTACAGGATAAGGATCACAATAATAGCAATAGTAATATATTTTGTAGTTACATCTTATGTACATACGATTCACATATTAAAAGACTTGAAACAGACACATGCTATGCAAGCGACTACTCCTCCACATCCGGATGACCCTCAGGCACATCTTTGGCCTCTTCCGTGCTCGTCATTCGATCGAGCTGCAGCCGGCGCTCCTGGATGCGGACACACTTCGGACATATCATGTTCTTGCGCGTGAGGCACACTCTGTGGTAAATGGAGTTGCATTGGTCGCACTTGATGCAGCCGTCGTCGAAGGGGAAGATGACCTCGTTGTTACTGCAAATCTCACAAATGTACGCCTTGGCCAGGCACATGTCGCAGGACCGAATGTGGTCACCGAATGCTTTGAAGACCCCCTGCAGGAACTCCGTCAAGGCGCCGGACTCCACTTGAGTGAGGTCGCTAAGCGAGTAGAACTCATTGGACTGGGCCAAATGGCGCCTGCCGGCCATCTGCTGCTCCACCAGCTTATGTTCCATGGCCAGCTTGCAGGCAGCCAGGTAGTGGCGCATGTGAACGAGATTTTGGCGCAGCTTCTTTACGGCACAGAGCTTCTCGACGAACACAAACAGCTTGGGATTATCCTCCTCCAGGCGTATGAGGGCTCTGTCCAGGAACAATCGAATCTCCTGCAGAGCTGCACGAGACACTCGTCGGGGAGAGAAGTCCCAGTTGTGGATTATGCGGGCAGGCACGAAGCAATTGTCGTTCCAGTTGCACGAGGGGCAGTAGTAGAGGCCACTGTAGTCGCACAGCCGTGGCTCAATCCAGGAGCTCTCTGAAAGAATGATGCGAAATCAGAATCAGAATTTGAATCCATGCGCCAACTCGTCAGAGCCACTCACTCAAGTTCAGCAGAGTTTCGCACTCGGCACACTTGTAATTTTGGGCAGCCAGGCCTATCTCGGGGCAGATCTCCGATATGGGGTGCTGTCGCTCCGAGACCAGAACGTGGGCACACACCCTCTTGACGTTGTCGATGCACTTCTGGTGCACCAAGTAGCCGCAGTCGCTGCATACGTACGAGGCCTGCACCACACTCCAAATTATCGTCGTGCAGTGGTCGCAGTAGAAGCGTTTGGCGGCGTCCTGAAGCCGATTCTTTCTGCCGTGCGGGTGGTGCGGAACAAAGTGGTGACCCACCACGGCCTTGATGGCATTCATGACCACCACATCCGAGGCCAGAGCCTGGGCCTCCTCCAGCTCCTGCAGCGAGTAGCGAAGATCAACTAAATGGCGCACCAGCCAGCGTCTCTCCTCGCTGCACTCTTCGCTAAGCAGCACCAGATCGCGACAGTGTGCGATGGCTGCATTCAAATCCTGGATGTTGGCATCGGACGTGAAGATCAGGCGCCATTGTTCCTTCACCAGCGACGCTGGTATGGGAAGTGCCTTGTATTCCCCCTGTGGAGCACTCTCCTCGGACGCAGATCCAACTGTTGCAGTGGGCGTGGACGAACGGGTGGACGCCTGCGAGTGCAGGTAGTTGGACGCCGTGCTGGCGCTCTCGTTTATAAAGTTGGCGACTGTTCCTGGAACGTCCCGCCAGGAGCTCATCTTGGACACAAACAAACAACAAAAACAGACAAAGCAAAAAATAACTTAACCCACTATTTAAGCAGTGAAAAATCTTCAATTAAGCTACGCAAAAAAATACAGTTTGTGAATGCTCTTTATAGCTCTATTATCCTCTGTACTTACGAAACAAAAATGTGCATGATATCTTTCGCCTGAACTGCGCTAAAATTATTCAAGTATCATAAATTTCGTGGGAATATATAATTACCCCCGTGGTCGACAATGGGCTAACGTCTGTTTCAGTTGATCGGAAATCATATTTGACGATTTTGATATTCGGTTTAATATTACGAGCTAGTTAATACTCTCAACGCTAAGTATATAATTTTATCTGATTGATGAATAATTGACCGCAAGATTGGCTAGTTTTCACAACACTTTTTTTATTGGATTGTTTCAAAAAAATAGGTTTCTAGTCACTTGCATTGGATTTCTAAAAAAAAACGCTAGAGGTCATATGAGCCAAAATGTCAGCACTGGTGCGATGTTTATCTCTAACGATACTTCTCCTCATCAAACTCAAGCGAGTTGGCAGGGCATGAACGATGAACGGAATTTTAAAATTTGAACTTCAAATAAGAAAGGTAATGTAAATCCGGCTTCCAGAAAATCGTCTTAATCTCAAATGAATATGATGATATTTAGATATGGATTTAAAACAAGTGCTGCTCTCCATTCCGACCCAATTAAATTACACATTTGATTTTCTCTATTTATAAATTTTTATTCTTTGTATAATTGTAGTTTTGTTAGTTTCGCATAACATACGCTTAACATTTTTGCCCTCTCATGCATTGGAGCTGTCGAACTCTCGAACTCGATTTAATTTGTCATATAACATTTTACACCTTGAAAATACACTTAATGGTAACTTTATGAACATTTAATTACACCACAATGTTTCTTTTAACTCTAATGCTGTTAACATTTCTCCCCCACGTTCTTTCACTACTTTCAACTTCACGTATATTGCAGGATAGTATTCTGGTTGGGTATTTTTTGTTGTGTTGTTGTTTGCCTTCCTCCCATTATCGCAAAAAGCATTAAACTCTGAACAACGATGCGGACTTGTTTGGGTCGCTGTAAAAACTTAAATATACAAATGATACATACTCTCGTACACTATAGCTAACCATACACATGTATACATATCTTTATATTTATCTATATCTTTATCTTTATCTGCGTACGTACTTATAATTGATTTATATGTTTTGCGTCGTGTATTGTATAAACAGTTTCTCCCCATATAGTATTGGTTTCTCCTCTTTGTCCTCTCTGTTTCTCCCATTAATGCCACTGAATTGTTAACATTGTTCACCACATTTTGTGTCGCTATACATACATATGTATGTATACATATATGTGTAAATGCTTAGTTATACCATATACGTATATATATATATATAAATGTATATCTATTTCGAATGCGTAACGCGTTAAGGTAATATTTTAGCTGCCTGCTGATAGGTTTATCTTCTCATCGCTCGTGTTGGTTGCCCTTCGACCCACCACAGCACACACAAATGCAAAATGGAAGATGATAAAATGAAAACCTCGACAAGCACGTTTAATGGAACATTAGTAATACTCGACAGACCCGAAAACTGAATATCTATTGTACAGGGGGGCACAGGGTGCCGGGCAAGGATCGGCTCAGACTATGTTCACGCTGGAACCACTGGCTGCCGGCTTGTTCGACTTCACCAGGCATGACTGCGAGTTGTTGCCCATGCTGGAACCGTCGAGGCTGTCCAGATCCAGCGCCGTGTCGATCATCGTGGTGTCGTGAAGCATACGCAGCCGATCCGCTGACTTGGCCTGCTCCGCCCCGTCGCCGATCGACTTGCGCTGCGAGTGAGCGGCCACAAATGAGGCACTCACTGGATCGTCCAGATCGAGGTCGTCGCTCAAGAGCGTCGAGGACAGCACCGTGGTGGCCTGGAGCTGCTCACGCTGATGCTGCTGGGCGCGCTCGTCTATGATGTTGGAGTAGACGTGCAGGGCGGCATCCGGGGGCGCTGCGTTGGAGGCACTCGCCATGTGCGGCACATTGCTGTACATGTTCTCCGTCTTGGCGACCGAGCTGGCCAGCGCATGGCTACCGCCCATGGCGACAGCCAACAAGGCAGCACCAGCCGAAGGCTTGAATACATCGTTGGAGCCCGTTGCCGTGCCGCCAGCGTCCTCCGCACCTGCATGCCCGTCAGCCGTCAGGGAGGAGTTGACCAGTGCTGCCTCAAAGTCCGCGTCAAAGAGATTGCTGTAGCTGCCGCTGCGATTGCGCAAGCCCCGCGCTTTATTGGTGGCAATGGCTGCCACTGCAGCCACCACCTCCGGACTGCTAACGACCACAACCTCGGCGTCGTCCAGCTCGTCCTCGCTGCTGGCGGTGGCCAGCTGATTCTCGTAGCTGACCGAGGCGCCGTTTGACAGCTGTCGCTGCTTGTGGTGCCGGTGGCGGAATTGGCGCGCCTGCGTAGCCGTCTGCTGCGTGTACGCCGGAATGTCCATCTGGGCAAGGGGAATTTCGTTGTCCACCAGCTGAGCTAGACTATTGGAATTACCTGCGGACGAGACAGAGGGCAGAGGTGACAGCGGTGTGGCTGATTAGTGAACAGTGTGGTTTCCATATTTCCGAATGTTTAGATCGTATAATCAATGCATGTAAATTATTCAAATGCTCATTACAACAAATTTGCCAACTAATTTAAAATTCGAATTTCAATTTTGAGCACTTTTTGCTAGTGGTTTTTGTGTGTCTTTTATTTGTGTGGCGTTGATGGTTGGGTTTGGGGTTTGGGTTTTGGGTTGGTTTGGTTTGGTTTGCTTTTGATTGGTTTTTGGTTTTGGTGGAGCGTTTGGATTCGTTGTGTTGTGTTTGTGTTGTGTTGTATTTGCGGTTTTGGCTGTGGGAAAAAACAAAACTGTCTAAAAATGCAAATAATCATAAATGCTGAAAAGGCGGCAATTAAAATCGTAATTCGTAATTCAATTAAAACGGTTTGTACATGTGTAATTGAATGGGCGATGGGGTAAATTTAAATGCCCCCTTCCCATTCCATTCAGTTCCCAGTCCGCCTCCATGGGCGGGCGTTGCGCACATGTGGGCCCGTAATGTGGTAGGGATAATCAACTTAGTTGGACATACATACTGCGATTGATAAGCTCTTAACCAATAAACAACGAAATATTAAATTGCAAACTATGAATGTGAAATATGCGCTAATTACTCGGCTTCAAATGGTTAATTCGGTGCCAATTGGAACAATTTAAGGCATGCTTGCAAAATGTCGTGAATACATTTAGTGGGTGGAATTTACAGTAGAACTGATGTGTTAGGAGGTGGCCAATAAAAACTTTACTAAATACTGTGTTTAACTCCAACTTTTGGGGGGGTCGTGTGTGTTTCGGTGTTTTTTGGGTGTTTTTTATGTGTGTCTTTTGGGTGTCTTTTTTTGGGTGTCTTTTTTTGGGTGTCTTTTTTTGGGTGTCTTTTTTGTGTGGATGGTGGTGTTGCCTTCCGTCTGTCAAAAGTTCGAGTATGATTGGTTGTATGTAACTTAACATGAGAATACTATATGTATGCATATATGTATGTAGTATGTATGTGTAGAACCGAATATGGAGTATACTTTAGCATTAGTATTTGCACTGGCAACTGGATAAGATAAGATAAGATAAGCAGGGGGTCAGGGGTAAATCAACTAAAATATATGGATGGGGATATAGTATGCGGTGTATGTAGCTAATTCCAAAAATGAATGTCTAAAGCGTTATTAATTGAAATTTCGGATATTTGTACATACAATACAACAATAAAATGCTTTGTTTTGTTCTTTAGAAATATTGTACTTTGCTTTAGGAGAGAACTCACCCAATTAAGGCTTAAAATGCATTTTTTACTCTAGTCTTAAGCGGCCCTCGACAACTTTCGCTCAATTGCAGTATTTGTTTTGTTTTTGTTTTTTTGTTTGGTTATATATCGTTAGTTTTTTTTTTGTAAAATTGTTCAACAACAAGCAACCAATTTGTATTGGTTGTATTTCCACAGTCAAGTTGAAAGATATAGAAAGAGTTTGACATTAGTGTGCGATAAATCAGGAGAAAACATTGGTAGGTTGATTGGTTGGTATTGGTATTGGTAGGTAGATAGGTAGGTACGAGTATTCGAGAGGTTATTGGCTGTGGATGTGGACGAGTGCGCGCGCTTTGCCATTCAAATCAAAACTAAGTAACGGAAGGGTAACGAAATGGTATGGATAGCGAGACAGTGAGACAGCGAGACAGTGAGACAGCGAGACAGCGATACAGCGAGACGACGACAGAGAGAGACGCGAACTAAAACTCAAGAAGAAGAACTGCAGCGAAGAAGCTCCCACGCAAAAATACCCCCGCTGGGGGTGTAGAGTGTGTCTCTGTCTGTGTGCGTGTGTGGATCGTGTGTGGTCGAGGTCGCGCTACTTGTTGGAACGTAAGCAGCAGACCGTAAGGCAGCATCATCTACTCGGATCCGTACTTATATTCTAGTTGTGTGTGTGTGTGTGCGGGATCTGTTCACACGATCCGCTAACATTGCATTCAGATCGATAAGTTTTATTGCCCAACATTTAACCATACATAATGTATTGTATATATATGTACTATATATATATATAGGTATATAAATCTACTTTTGCATCATTTAACATTCGCTTCATACTCCGATTTTCGATTCGGCATGAAATATATATATAATATATATGTATGTGTATATATATATATATAACTATCTATAACTTCAATTATCTCGCTAATGCGTCATACTATGCTTGCAATTAATTATAAAAGGAACTCATAATATTGTTAATGCTCAAGATTTAAAGCTGAGGCGACCATCCAACAGAGCCTACCAGGACACCCGCAGAGCGTGCGGCCTGTCCCTGTTTCTGCCCCCCCTCCCCCTCCACAAGAAATGTCAATTACTTAATAGTACAACTAGGTAAAAATACATACATATTTCGTTTCAATTTCGATTTCAACACACAATTTCCATATGCTCTATTGCTAATTATTTGCTGCAGTCACTTGGCAATGCTAATGCTCTCCAACTTCCCCGATACGAGTATTCAACGCTTAAGTATATATTTCAATATTTCATTTCAATATTTGATATTCGATTCAATTTTGGTTGTATTTTTGGTTTGTATTCGACTAGTAGTTAAAAGTGACTTAATTCCCTTTAAGCCGATACATCCTCATCCGCATAGTACATATATCAAATTCTTATTGAATTCCATACATTAGTGGTTTACGTTTAACTTTCATTGTAAAAATGAACAAAGTTCTAACAAAATGTTGCTTCGATAAATGGCAGTTATTTTGGCTCATTAAGATTTTTGCTAACTTTTTAATTTTCTCTATTCTCCAATCCAATTGCGTTTTTAAGTGTTTTGCAGTGTATCGTATTTGTGTTTGTTCTTCTTCTTCAGCTATGTGGTGTGATAATATTTTTTATTTCAATTTCTCGTTCGGTTGAAACCGTTCAAAATTAATCAAAACATTCAACGAAAGTCCAAGTGACTGCTATCGTTTGGTGGCGTGGCCCTTTGGCCAGGAATCCAGCATGATTCCGAAAACAAAAAAAAACACACACACATCAAATAAACAACAACGGAAAAACTTAATCATCTTTTAAGCGAACAAAGTTAAAGTTGAACATGCTTGGTTGGGATGTTGGGTTGGTTTTTTTTTGGTTTTTTTTTTGTTTTTTTTTTGGGTTTTTTTTTTGGTTTTTTTTTTTGGTTTTTGTTATGGTTGTTGGCATCACTATTGGAGGTGGCGGCGATGGGACGTAGACCAGGGTGGATATACATACATACATATATATACATGGTGGGGGGCGGGGAGATTCCTTCCTGGCCCCCTGGCGCCGGAGCGCCCTTGCACCGCGTGTGCAGAGGAGCACCGGCGTGTTTAGCCAGGGAAACAGGTGCTACATAAACGTAAAAGTTTCTATGAACCAACCACTTTTCATTTCACATCATTCAGGATCGGGCGGGGCTGGGGGCTCTACAGCGGATATCGGACATGGACAAAAATCATAAGAAACAATTTAGCAATTTACATACTTCTATATATCTACGCAAACAAAGGGTGGAAACTGAAGAACAGGATTGGGGCGGGGGCTGCAAACTGAAGACTTTACTCTCCTCCTAACATCTAAGCGCGTCATGGAAGCCAAATGTGTTATGCCCCATTCAGACTGTGCAAAAGCCCCTCAAGTCACTCTCTCATCGAAAGGAATGCCAAGAATGCCAAGGAATGCCTGCACAGCCTGCAGATGGCCAAATATAGCCAGAAGGAAAACTGAGCTTTCTCTAGCAGTGGCCTGGAAGCAGTAGGAGGCGGCCCAAGGGCCCTTCCTTATGTACAGCGCCTAACAACCAATTAATGAAGTCCAGGGCGACTTCGAGCACCGCACGGGGCAGGTGGACAACGAAAACGACAAAGACAACAACGGGGTGGCGAGCTGCGTACTATGACGAGTCGCTGCCCGCGGCATCCTCGATAATCGAGTTGAGATCTATGTTGAACGAGTACTCGTAGAGGTTCGAGTAGCGGTCGCGCTCCTTCCACGGCGACCGGTGATTCATATAAAGATTTCGTTTACTAACACGGAAGATCTGGCTGTCCTTGATCGACTGATCATCGTCGCAGGGTTCACCGCCACCGCCAAAGTCGCACTCGCGAATGGTCAGCCGGTTGGTCGGCGACTTCAGCTCGAACATCACCTCCTGGTGCTTGTAGCGCGACCGCATCGGCAGCGGCTGGTATCCGGCGATGTTCACCTTCTGCGAGTCCACCGACTGCGTCGACTGGCGGCGCATACCGCGCGCCGATTTCCCGAACGGGTAGTTGAACTTGGTGGTGTTATCGGTGTGGCGTTGCGGGGAGTAGTACTTGAAGTCGCTGGGCGCCGGCGGCTGGGGCGCCGTCGTGTGTATGGTCGTCAGCGTGGTGCTGCTGCCTGTTACCGCTACGCTGCCCTGCAGTTGCAGCTGCAACGTCGACGGGCGTCGCGGGGCCAGTGGCGGCGGCATCGTGGCCAAGGAGGCCGAGGCAGAGCCTGAGGTGGGTGCCGTCGTCGAGGACGATGAGCCACCGCCACCGCCACCGCCTGCCGACCCAGTGGCTGCCGCTGCCACCGCTGCTGCCTCAGCCATTGCCGTGGCCACCGATACGCTGCCAATGGCAGTCGTCTGCTGGGCGTGCACATGGTGGTGCAGCAGTGGCAGCGGCGAGTTTCGCACATCGTCGTACGACGGCGTCAACGGCAGGTGCAGCGAGCGCCTCAGGTTCAGCCGGTAGGAGGATGACGTGGCCGGCGAGCGCACCAGCGAGGGCGATGCGAGGTTCGAGTGCGAGCGGGCGAGCGCCTCCTGCTGCATCTGCAGTTCGGCGGCCACCAGCTGCTGTTTCTGGTGCTGCTGCTGATGCTGCTGCTGATGCTGGTGCTGGTGGTGGTGCAGCTGCAGCTGCAGCTGATGTGGTTTTGGTTGTTGTGGGTGGTGTTTGAGTTGTTTGTGCTTGTTGGCTTTGAACTGGTGCTGGGCGCTGGCGGGCAGCAGTGTTTGCAGTGAGCACCTCTGGTGCTGCTGCTTGCGGGACTTACCGTTTTGGACCAGGTCGTAGCTGGGCGGCGGGTGTTCAAGGCCGGTGCCGTTGCCATTGCCGTGGCCATGGCCATGTCCGTGTCCATGTCCATGGCCGTGGCCGTGGCCGTTGAGGGCGGCTGATGCGGCGGCCCCAGATCCGTCCATTGTCGAGGAGGAGGGATTAGACTGGTGTTGGTGTTCAGTGTGGGTTATTGATTTGATTGATGTTGTTGTAGTTGTTGTAGTTGTTGTTGTTGTTGTTGTTGTAGTTGTGGTGGTTGTTTGGTGGTTGGTGTGTAGTGGTGAGACGGTCAAGTAGTAGCAGTAGTTGTTGTTACCAAAAAGAAACATTGCATAGAACACAAAAAGAAGGAGTAGAAAAAAACACAGATCAGATCGTCAAAATGGTGTGCACAAAGGAGGATCATCGGTACGAGAGATTTAATAAGGATATTGAATTTATTTCAAGCAAGCAGAGTGCCCAGACATTTAGATATATTGTTCGGTGAGAGGGTGCTCAGATCGGTTCGGATCGCATTGGATTGGTTCGGTCGCTTACCTCGTCGTAGAAGCGGGGCTTCAGCTCCGCCCCCCCTATGCTGATGCCGCCACCCGCCCCACCAATGCCACCAACCGAGCCGCCGCCGCCGCCGCCACCCAGCATGGGCTGCGCGGTGGTGACCATATGGGAGGTGCTCAGCACATCGCTGAGGGCGTGCCGGGGGCTGGACTGGTGCTGCATCTGCTGGATGTACTCGTCGGTGGCAATGCCGCGCCTGCCGCAAGACGATTAGTTGGGATTGCAGTTGGCAGTTGGGAGAGAGAGAGGAGACTCACCTGTCAATCATCGACGGCGTCATGGGTCCGCATAGGATGTGGCAACAGTTGAGGCAGATGTTGCCCCGCGAGTAGGGGTTCTGGGTGCGCGGCCCGCCCTTCGAGGAGAAGGATCCCTTAAGCTGGGAGGGGGAGGAAGAGATTGCTTAGAGCTGTCCTCGGCCATCTGGAACCCTGTGGCATACTCACATCCTCGTTGGTCGTCTGGTCGCTCGTCGTCAGGTAGGTGTGGAATCCCGCCAATCCGATGACGGACCATATCGAAAAGAAGCAAATGAACACAACAATCACAGTGCAGGGCGCCTTCTTTATTACTTCGAAGACCTCCTGCTCGGTTTTCATCACTGTGGGAGGGGGGCAGGGCAGAAATCATGGAATGGTCACTCATTTTCGCTCAGTGGAGATTCCACAACACTCTACTCACATAAAACTAAATGCGTCACAGAGCACGAGAATATAAATACAGCTAAAAATGCCAATGAGACTAGAAACAAATAAAAGAACCGATAGTTCCGCTTTCCCACGCAGTTTCCCACCTGCAACGAGAGAGACAGAGAGAGAGAGAGAGAGAGACATTAGGAGCAGAATGAAGACGGTTGGTTAACAATCCCTGCCAGACCCTTGGCATAATAAGGTTAATTGCATTTTCACGAGACCTGTGCGCCGCAGCATTTCGCAATTTGTTGCCAGCGTCGGAGAAATGCCTTCATTTCAACAGGCATCCTCCCCCCCAACCATCCATCGCGTACTTTGAGCCCCCCAAAAACGCCTTCTGCCAAAGCCCCAAAAGGCAGTAGTCGACCTTCAAGCTGCCAGCAGCAGTAGCAGCAGCCACTGCGGTATGATAGGGTCCTCCTCTGGGGGGTACGAAATACGCTTCTGCCAGCAAATGAAAAAGGGGTGCGGCCGAAGGAAGGAAGGCAGGACTCTGCTGCGAGCGGAGAGGCGCAGCATTGTACACTCTTTAATCCATTCTTGTATTGTGTATTTTGTAATTAAGGAGCGACTTCTCTGCTCTCAGAGCGGCAGTAAAACGAAAGTTTCGTAAACGGACTTGGAGCGAGCGATGACTGAAGTTGAAAGTTAGCAGACAGACTCAGACTCAGACTCGGAAAAGGGCGAACTAAAAACCAAGCGACCATAAAAACTATCGCAAACGGACTTGAAAACGAGTGATGCTCGTATGTGGCTAGGATCATCTCGTAAATGCTTCGCAAACGAATATTTTACGTATTTTACGAGCTAGCGAGCAAGAGACTTTTACTGGATTCAATTTTAATGGTATGACTTACAGTGTTCAATCTACTGGCGCTGAAAGCAACATAAAGCCCATGGATGCCACTTCGCTTAGGGTATCAGCGTGCCACACGTTGATAAGTATGTATGTATGGCATGCATGCATGTACATATATGTATGTATATGTATTTGTTAGCCATGCAAACAGCATGTGGTCTGTTTGCTTGGTCCGCGCCCAGCCACATCTTGTTGCATCATTGAGGCGCTTGCGGGTATCCGCTTTGCGCGCTGCCTGCGACAAAAACAACGTGGCAGTGGGGCCCTGTGGCCGGGTGCGCTTTTTATACAAGAGAGAGCGAGAGAGTGAGAGAGAGCGAGAGAGAGAGTGCGAGGGTTCCAGCGTGAAACACGATGCGCGCGCTCTGCTGAAATTATTTTTGCTAAAAAATTAGCAACCTCAGCGGTTGGCGGTTGGCGCTGTGGAATTGGGTTAAAGTCAGACCCGCAGTGGCACAAAGAGCTCGCTCTGTGGGCGGACAGACAGACAGACGGAGAGACAGACAGACATTGGCTGTTTTTGTGTCCCACATTTGCGCGTCCAATGAATGCGCACAGCAGCCTAATGCGAGGGGGCCCAGGCTCAATGTCAGGCAGTCTGGCCGGGCCGGGCCCACTGGGGACACTGTCGGCCCGTGATTAAAAGACCAGGCTATAAGGGCTAACGAGGTCCTTGACTTACCCAGGGACAGTGATGATCGAAGCGGTCCACACAGTTGTCGCACAGGCTGCAGTGGGAGGCGCGCGGTGGCCGGAAGATCTTGCAGGTGAAGCAGTACTTCAGCTTGACCGTCTGGCCCCTGACGAGCACCTCCTTGGTGCGCGGTGGCGGTCGGTATGTGGGGCTGTTCAGCGAGTTTGGCACCTCTGTACAGCAGCCATAGCAGTAGCATTACCGGAACCGGATGTGCGGTGCAGGTGCAGACGTGTAATGGCGTGGAGGAAATGCAGCATCAGCATCAGCATCGACAGCACGAGGTCCAAAGGCGAGCGCGTTGTTGACATGCAAAAGGGAGGGGTGAGTAGGAAGAGAGAGAGAGAGAGCAAAAGTTTTCTCATTTTAAATATTTTATATAATGCCAACAACAACAGCGACTCATTAGTGCAGAGGGAAACGCAGCAGCAGCGGCAGCGGCAGAGCTCGCTTTGATGATGATTTTCATGTGGACTTTATTTTTCCTCCATTCTATGTCGTGGCACGCTCATTACTTTTCATGTGCCCCCTTGCCGCACACACACACACACACATTCTCGCATACCATTGGGCAGGCCCTCCTTAGCCACCCCCTCCCACCCAGCACACACACACACAAACTTAATGAAGTGAAAACAAATATATAAGTATGACTGTTACTGTAACTGTGATGGTGTGTGTGTGTGTGTGTTCAGGGGGTATTTGCGAGGAGGGGTGGGTGGGGGGTGGGGCATGACATGGCCAGGATTCCGGCGGCGGTATTCAGGCAACAGGCGCAACCGACGACCTTGGCCACATTTCCTTTCGGATGGACTCTCGCAAGGACCTCGACTGCGAGCAGGAGGACTGCAACTGCTGGGAGGAGGAGTAAGTACGTACCAATTTGCTTTTCAATATAGGCTGCCTCATCATTGGAGGCCCGCGGTATGACGCCCGGATCCGTGAAGGTTGTGCGCAGCAGGGAGCTCATCGTGAAGAAGTACAGGACGGCGCCCACAATGGGAATGACTGGGTTGATGCGCTCCGCCAGGAACGGGCAGCTGTAAAGGTAACCACATATAATTACAGATCCCATATACAGTCGGTAAATACAGTTTAAGATTCATGATTGGGCAAATAAAAGACGGGAATGCAGACTCAGTTCACAAGTCCACAGACAATCCAGCACGCACTCCGATAATACCTATTAAGTCTAGACTTCTTAACCAGTGGACGTAGTCTTGAGTAGTTCTCTATTATTGTGGTGCGCCCATTGCACTGCCCACTGTACCGAAACACAGTCACATACATCCATACACACAGCATACCCCTATCTCGATGCTCAGCAGCAGCATCTAAGCTGCTCTCCCGCTAAATCTCTCTCCCGATCTTTCGCTCCCGCGCGCTCACTACAGCCTGACTCGTCGCTGACTTCGTCTTGTAAACTTAGTCTTAGTCTGCACTCAGATCTGTAAGCTTTCGCTATAAATAAATATTATTAATTGAAACATTTCGCAGCAGCTATTTAAGCCTAAAAAACCTCACCAAATAGAAAGTAGTAAACAGAAATGAAAACATGAATTTGATTGAAGAAGTCCATTGAATTGTTCTTGCTTCATCATCTGCAACTATGTAACTCCCAAGGCTCCTTTGTGCCGCCTGAATGAAGAGACTGCCCTGCCCCTGAGGCGGGTGTAGCACAGCGATGCATACAAAAAGTATCCCCGGTGTTTTGGCAATGCCCCAAATCCCATAGCCCCTGCAAATATGTGCCGAAATATGGGGGCACGTGAGGGGCTCAATGTGCCCCACGCATTGTATTGTTCCCCTAATACCCAGTGCGTGCCAACGATTTGCGAATAGAATAGCCAAAGTCGCCGCTTTCACTTCTGTCCACAAACAGAACGAAGCCCCAGCCACGGTGACAATTATGTGTGACAAGTCCCAGAGCTACGCTCCGAATGGAATGGAATCAGATGGGATGGGGGATGGAGATGGGGCAGTGGCATCATTTCGGGGACACTCACTCAATGCAGTCCGGAGCCAGAGCGACAGTAGAACCATCCGAAAATAGTTAAATACATTTGTCATGACAACGCAATTCCCCCTGCCACAAAGCCGAGCTAAATAGGAATGCATTCAGAAAATGGTTTCCTCGCATTCAGCTGGCAAATCGCTGACAATGCCCTAAAGAGGATGATGCAGGGGGTGGGCAGGCACGGAGCCACAAGGCATGAGGCGGGATGCAGGAGGCAGGCTGCAGGATGCAGGATTGCATTGTACTACCTTTTAGCGATTTGCATTGCGAGCGCGTCGGGCGAAACACAATTTCAGTTTGCCCACATCCCCGGACTGCCGCCAGCTGCCAGCTAGGGTCTATGTGGATGTGGATGAGATGCTGCCACTACTGCCACTGCTGCGACTGCTGCGGATGTGGGGGCGAATATGTTATGTGAATTCGTGGGAATATCTGCAGGAATAACTATGCGAGCACTCAAAGGCATTGCAGATATTGTAATGCCCATCCATGCTCCATAGTTCCTGGGCTCTCCTCCGCTTCCACTCGACTGTGCGCTAATGCAAAGCAAGCAATGGAAATAAAATCGCAGCGGTGCAGAGCGGTGAGGCACAGCGCGGGTTACTTTTCAGCAGCGAATAAATTTTGAATTGCAAGGGGGGGTGGGGATGCGAATGGCGGAGGAGATGCACACGGGGGGGCTCTAGGTCGGGGGATTCCAATCTCTTTCTTTGCGGTGCAGCACACATCCACTCCACTCCGCTTCTCAAATGCGGTGCGGCGCGGCGCGGCGCGGCGCCTCCTTTCGGCTCGGTGTTCGGAGATGATTTCGTGCAGAAAATGTTGAGCATAATTTGGTCTAATCGCGCTGTCGGCACTGAGCCGGTAGGACGGTGGCAGGATGCAGCATGCAGCCGCTTTAACATCCTGTTCTATTGGTATTTGTACTACGTGACGTATGCGTTATTTGGCCAAAAGCCCGGAAAACGCACACGGACACGGCAGCATTGCAACTAAATTGAATCCCAGTTAAACGTTTGTGGGTTTTCCCTCCACATGTGTGCCCCACACGCCTCGCCTCTCCCACGTAATCGTATATTTATTCTGTACAAACCCATAGATCGGGCATTATTATTGTTATTATTGGAGCAACGTGATCTGGGGACTGCTTATGTTAACCAATCGGAACACTACTCCCTAGGGCCATAGAACCCCAACTTGAATTACTGTTCTTTAAGAATTATTCTAGAAGGAATGTTACTCCCTTGCCAGGCGACTCTATACAAAGGATTTGATGATTCCGGCAAGGAATCTGTGCCTGCATGTTTGCATGCTCGCTATAGTTTTTACATTCATTTTATGTATTTATTTATCTATTTATTTGTGTAACTAAATGTATGCACAGCTAAAGAACAGCTAAAGGGTCCTGTAATTGGGCCAAATGCCAAGCCGCAAGAATATTTCTTTCCTTTATTGTTTGGCGTCGCACTCACTCAATTCAGTCCAATTCGAATGCCTTCAATTGGGGTGATATTGTGAGTGAAGCCACACGTACATAGATCTCAAATAGCCAGCACTCTTTAATTCGATTAGGGCGGACAACTGTGCGCTTAAAATTTCTGAAAGCTGCTATCAAAACTTTTGTTTACAAATCTTTTCATATAAATTTCAATTTGGTTTCTTTTCCATATATTATTTTGGCGGGGGAATGTGTTCCTTCTGTGTGACAACCCAAGCGCAGAGAGAGATCCCAGATCCCAGTGACACTCTCCTCCAATTTAATCGAAGTAATTTACACATCAAATGCCAGGCCTCAAGAAATGTGGGCCGCATCACTGAGTATCAAATGAAAGCAGAAATTTAAGCAGGGCCAAAGCGGAGGAACTCTGCTCCCTTCTCCACACTGCTGTCGGCTGCTGCCATTGGGGCAACACATTTGAATGCCACAAAACCAGGGGGCAGATTGACAAATCAAAAGCTGAAACTATTTGTGGCGCTCTGCGGTCCATGCCGAGGCCCGTAATTCAACAGATGCTCTGCAGAGAGAGAGAGACGAAAAAGAGATGGGCAGACTGAAAAAGTATCCAGCAGCAGGAGGCGGAAGAATGCTGACATCGTTCTTTGCCAGGCCAAGCATAACGCATACGCCACGTTGCACAGCAATAATTACATGCCATTGGATACGACGAGAGGCAGAGATGGCACGACCCACTGGCAGCGCCATAGTCCAAGAGTCCACACTCAGAGACCATTAATGTGGGCGTAATTGGAAATCAAGCATGATCCGGATTCCCCCCAGCTGCAGGAAGGGTTACCGGGCGGGGCGCAATGCTTAATTAGCAACGTATACATTTTGCAAACAATGCAACTACCCACCAACGGAATGACTGACAGACAGACAGACTGACATACAGAGAGACAGATGAGGATGCTGAATAGATGCCACGAGAAATGCCGCAAAGGGCCAAATGGGGAGGCAGCGAACCGTTGGGATACTCACTCGAACGCAAAGAAGAGCGCACTGGTGCCGGTTATCAGGATGCACGTCAAGTAGAAGACGCCTGTGTGTGGTGCGGACATTAGCAATCCATCGCAGTAGAATTTATTGCGTCCGGCAAACAGTTCCCATTTGCGTGTGACGCGCTGGTTGGGCGCCATGTTACTGCAACAGCAGCAGCAGAGCAAATTCATTGGTGCGGGCTTTGGGCTGGTCTCAGCCTCCTCCTATGCCTTCTCCCGTGCTGGGCTTCTGCTTCTGCTTCTCCTGTATGGGGTGACAACAAATTCTGGATGCTGTATGCTAGTTGCTGGATGTGACAATGCTGATGCCTTTGCCACTGCTGCTGTTTGCTTCTTCTCTTGCTGCTGCTTCTGCTGCTGCTGCTGCCGCTGCTGCTGATGATGATGATGATGAGGGTAAACCGCCGCTGGAGGTGGTGGTGGGTTATGTTTTGCAGCTGTTGTTGATGCCAGTGCCAGTGCCAGTGCTGCTGACAGACGACCGCTTGGCTGCAGTTGACGAAATTATGCTGTTTGTCTCGTCCTCCTTACTGGCTCCCGTCAGTGCGGCGTGTTCATGTGTGGCTGCTGCAATGCTTGCGGCATGCAAAACCGAGTTCAGTTTCCCTGCCACAAGATGCCTGCAACGGGAATGCTTGCCTGGCCTCTGCTCTGTTTCTGCTCTCTTCCAAAACTTTAACTTGGTATCGAATGTTGTGGCGGCTCCTCCTCTTTCGTGTTTACTGTTTTCTGTTTTCCGTTTGCTGCTTTTGGTTTTTGGTTATTTTTGGCTAATAGTTCACTTTCGTATGTATGTGTGTGTGTGTGTTTGTGTGTGTAGGTTACTCAGTCGTTGGTCGTGTATCTGTGTATCGGGAATCAGGAATCAGGAATCGTGGCTAAAATATGAATATTAATCAGTATTAATGTCTAGCTCTCTATTTAGCTCTCTCTCTCCTTCTCTCTCTCTATGGGAGCTCGTTCCGGCTGCCTGTCTGCGGGTCTGTAAGCGTTCGCGCTCTTCCAAAAGCAATTTCGTCCACTTTGTTGCGTTGTCCACGGTCCACGGCATCAGCCACATTGCGTTTCAATTGCCTCCCTTTTATTGCCGAGCCCACACTCCGTGTGCTCCGTGCACGCCCCGCGCACTCCTCCGCGCCCAGCTTTAATTAAAGCAGAACGCCAGTCATTTCACTGCAGCCGGCCTCTGTGCAATGCCTCTCCCTGGGCCACGGACAGTGAACAGAACAGAACACTGAACGGAACGGAAGGGAAGGGAATGTCCTCCTTTTGGGTAGAGCAATTATTTGCTCGGCTTTGTTGGCGTTTTCCCGCTGCCGAACTTTCGGGGCACGCACACTTTTGGGCAGCTCCTCTCCGTTTTTCGGGCGTCCCCCGGCCCCCGATTCCTTTATGATTCAATTATCCACTAGTCGCTGGTGGCGCCACGAACAGTAGTTAAAATTGGCGTTGGCGTTGGCGTTGCCCGTCAGATGGGATTGGATTGGATTGGATGGGTTTGGGTCCTGCAATGAGAGGAGAAAGAAAGGAGTGAACAATTGCAAGCAAATATAATCATTAAGTTATTTTGATTAAGAACTTTTGTGCGGGTGGGTGGGCGTTTGGGTGGGTGATGGCGTGCGCGTCTTCTGCGCAAGGATTTCAAAAAAGTTTGAGCAGGGAACAATCAGAATCCGAAACGGAAACGCTTCACGACAGAGAAAAAAAAAAGTTCTTTTCTAGGGATTTCTTAATGCTCGTCGTTATTGTCGATTGGTTCTTCTCAATTGCTGAATGGAGAACGGCCATTGGGTTCGCGCTGGAGCGCCCATTCAATCGAATTGTTATGGCAGCGGACATTGAGGAGAGTTTCACGAAATAATAGACTTTCTGCATTTATAATAAGTCAATCTACTTATGCTTAGGTCAATATATTTCGACAAATGCGTTCAATATGGAATTGACAATAAATAAAATTGTTTATCTGTGATGCAGATATTACTACAGTGCTCCCTGTTGTAGTAGGGTTCGGGGAGGCTTAAAATAATTTGCCAACATAAATCCCAGCAAGTCCCCGCCTTTCGAAGCTTAGAGGGGGAGTCTATAATTCATGCTGTGCCATAAGCCGACTAAAAGATTACGCGCATAGATTAATTCGCCACTGAAATGCGCTAATTCGCAGATTTTCGGGCGACTTGCGCCAGCTAATTGGCGGTAATCAAGTTAACCATACGCACTGTATGCCCCGCCCGCCTCTGCATGCCTGCAATCCTGTAATCCTGCCATGGAATGCACTGCGGATGCGAGAGAGTGCTCGTAAAACGAAGCTGTTATCGTGGGCAAACAGACGCGTGTGATGGCAAAACAAACCAGCAAACGGCACGGCACGGGCTACAAAGACACAGAAGAGACCCCTCCTGCTCCTGCTTCTCGGCATAGCCCCATCCATTTTCCCCATTTGCGTTAATTAGCCACATGCCGCCCCATTAAAAGGCTCCGCTCCACTCCCAGGCTGCTGTGGAGAGGCGGCGGCGGCGAGGCGGCTCCAAATGTTTATGCAAATCGTGTTGCAATTATAGCGGCAAGGAGGCAATGCTTTCTGCTCTAATATACTGGGATGCGAGACTATTGGCCTGCATTTAGTATGGGAAATGGAATGCTTTGAGCAATTAACATTAACAGCAGCAGCAGCAGCAAACGAATCCAAACAGCTGATGACATGCGCCGAGAAGTGGCAATTAAACTGGCACAACAGACACACACACCATACACACACTCGTGAATGGGAGGGAAGGAGGGAGGGAGGTAGGAGGCCCCTTCTGGCAGTCTCTGGCTGTTCAATAAACTCGTAAATTGCATAAAATGACGCAAATTTCCCAGTAACAATATCAACAAAAGTGCCAGTGCCAGTGCCATCATCAGCAGCAGCAGCAAAAGCAGCAGTGGCTGGGTCTATGGCAAAACAATAACCATAAAGTAGCGACAACAGCAGCAGCAGCAGCAACGACAAACGAGGCAACTTTGAAGTGTGCCACTCAACGCAAATATGTAAATAAATGGCCATTTACGGCAATTCAATGGGCAGATTGAGGGGGGTGTTGAGGGGATACTATGGCCTGCTCTGCCTGCTGCAGGACAGGCATGGGCACGAGTGAAAGGGGAAAACCCCCCGTCATATGCCGCCCCATAGAATATGCCAATTAAATGTTTATTAATATAATAAAAAGAAAGACAAAAGCTCAGGGCCCCTTTGGCACATGTTGGCATTATTTAGCAAGTGGAGAGTCTAGCTGAGAGCGGCTGAGAGAATACCCTGTAATGGGAAAATATTGCGATAACTGAAGCTCAAACTGGGCTCAAACATCGGTCTCGGGTTCCTGATTTGAATTTAATTTTCCCCCCAAACAGGCTATGCTCTCAAGATATATGTAAGTAGAGGTAGAGGCTTGCACCTATACAGTCATACCTTTTTCTTTCCAAAAAGTAATGGGTATAAAAATATATCGTGCCACACACACAAACACGTGCACATTAGTTATATACACAATTAAAGGAGAGAGAGAGTGAGTGGGAGAGTGAGAGGGACCGACTCTAGCCGACACTTGGCATTGTAAATTGTCGGCTGCTGCTGCGGTGGTGGCGTGGCCTGGCGTGGCGTATACGTATTTTGTAATACATCAACCTCTTGAACAGCAGTGCTCTTGATGCTGCTACCCGCGTAACCGCTGACGCTGCCGCTGCCGCTTACGCTGTTGTGGAACTGCCACTCCCCTCCCCCTACTCGCGTTACTCACACGCATGCATGGCGAGCACACTCAGCACTCAGGCGGGGCGGCGGCAAACACTCACTCGACACATGGCAAGTGCACCCGCAACCATGCGTGCCACACGGCCTGGCGTGACGTGGCGTGGCGTGGCCAGGCTTGAGTCAAGTCGAGTCTGGGTCCTGCTCTCGCCCTGGCCCCGACTTAGCCCCGGCTCGGATCATTCATTTACGCAACACGCCCACCCATTCAGCAAACAAACAAAACCAGCAGCAGCCGACACATACAGACACAGACACCGACACAGCATCCCATCCATATGAATGTGTCGGCCTGCAGCATATGAATAGTGAGTGCGAGAAGTACTCGCACACACACGCACACATAAACGTACACGTATTAGTTAATGCCGTTGCCAAGTGTCGGTCCAGTATTCCAACACTGCAGTGCACTGGAGGCAGGAGAGGATGTCGATGTGGCCACAATATCAGCCATTGAGAGTCTTCAATTGTCATTCGGACTCTCTGAATAACAATGGGAAAACGGCAGGAGAAGGCGGAGCGGAGCGGAGGATACCGATTTGTAATCGATGTTTAGGCCATCAACAAATCGTTTCAATTACAGAATTACATAGGGCATACAGACTCTCCGATCTCTCTGCTTCAACTGCTGTTGATGTTGATGCTCTGCTCTGCTGCCACTGCTGTTATGCTATGTTATGCTGTTATTATGCTGGTATGCTGCTGTTATGCTGCTGTTGTTCCGCTGTTATTCTGCTGCTATTCTGCTGTTATTCTTCGCTTACTGCTGTTACTCTGCTTGGACTGCTGTTCTGCTATGCCGCTGTTATTCTTCTGTTATTCTGCTGTTATGCTGCTGATATTCTGCTGTTATTCTCCGCTTACTGCTGTTCCCATTCATGGCCGCTGTTTCTTCAATGCTCTTTCCTTTCTTATATTTTGAAAGGTTACCCCAAACAGATAATTATAGGATAATCAATTCTCATTTTTCGTTGTCTGGCTACCCCACGAGTTTTTATTGATTTAACAGATATTACTGGTAACCAGATATTTCTCTGGATGGAAGAAAGAAAATGAGCAGATCTCCCATTTAAAATTAAAATACAAAATTGTATATATATTGAGTCTGATTATTCAACATCTTCTAGTGCATATCCATACCCGACCTTGGCTCTCCTTTGCGTTCAATCGAATGTTGGGTGCAAGAGCATTTTGAAAAACAAACACCCGACCAACTAATAGCCCACACAGCCTAAAGAGGAGCCCAAGAGGAGTCCAAGAGGAGCCGTTGCAAGCGGAGCAAGGGATGTACAAAATATGTACATATTTGCAGCGTTTGCTGTTGCCGTTACAGCTATACGAACATTTCCTCAAACAACCGACATGGCGTCCATTTCCGTTATGGCAACAAAGCGAGACGCACACACACACACTCGTAACGTGTTTGCTTTTGCTGCCGGCATATTCACACACGTCGGAGCAGGCGGCCGTCAAAAGAGCGCCGTGAATGTGACAGTGGAACGACAGAGTCGCCATCAGCCGTTTGGCCCACGATTCTCCTCCATTTTATTACAGAACAGAGCCAAACAAAACGAAACAAAACGAAACGAACCCTATGGCCAGCGCCCATTGTCGCTGAAATGGGGGTTTTATGCGCTGTTCGAGTGTTCGGGCGGGAGAGTGTGCGAGTGAGCGAGTGGGTGGGTGTGTGGGGCAGTAACCGTTGTTAATCTTTGGCCATTGTTTTGCTTTAATTTATAAATTCCTGTCCATTTGGCAGATGCCATCTCTTGTTTGTCTATTTGCCATCCGCTGGTGCTTTGTTTACTCTCTCTCTCTATGTGTGTCTGTGGCTCTGTGTCTGTGTGTGTGCTTTCATTTTGTTGTTTGGTTTTCTGTTTCTATTTCCATTTCCATTTCCATTTCTGTTTCGACTTTGCGTTGCTTTGGTTTAGTTTCTGTGTGTAGAAACTGTCCAGAACTATTCCTGCTGATGGACTCTGACTGATTCAGCATTTAGTTTTTATTTGTTCCCCCAGTCTTCCCTCGCATGCAACATTGCGGCTGCACGGAATTAATTGTCGTTTGCCAAACCATTTGCAAAGTTTGTACAGATGCAACAAGGGGGATGTCCGAAGCCCAAACAGAAGAAAGATTAATCTATGAATGGATGGAAATGAGGTGACAAAAGTTATTGAAGCAATCACTGAGACAGCAATCAGATGATCTCTTTGGAGGATACAATATCTGCTCTGCAGATGGAATATTGATTATCCAAAGTGTAGGCACATTATTCATGGCCAAATAATAGATATAAATCTGTACAGTAACCAATTTAAGGCAGACCCAGAGCAGAGGCACAAGCAGCAGCAACAGCAATGAAAAAACATATTTTCCACCCGCATTCCTTTCAACAGAGAAAACGCCCAGACCACTCGCCCCCAAACTCACAAAAACGAAAGAAAAACTGCTTATGATGTATAAATGAGAAACATTTGCACGATAAGAAAACGGCAGCTAACGGCAGACCCCCAGACCGCCAGACCCCAAACCGAAAACCGATTTATAGCATGTACAAATGTTTATTCAGGCCCGAATCGAACCAGAGAATCGAGGCGAACCCTCCTTTTATCACGGGCACGCCCATCTCTTTGGTGCGAATCGATGCTATTTTTCCCCGGGATTATTATTGCTTATTGAGGGAGATTTTATTTATCTTCGATTTCGCATCGCTCGAATGCT